TGACTGACCGAGGACAAAAATTTGAGAAGGATTATTCTCCTCGTTGACCCGGAACGGAACGCATACGCAATACCGCCTACCACCCAGCATCAAATGGTTTAGTTGGACGGTTTCATCTGCAACTTAAAGGTGCACTTCGGGCACACGAACACAAAAATTGGTACGAAACCTTACTACTCGTCCTCTTGGGTATCAGAACGAGCTTAAAGGCAGATATTCAATGTTCCGCCACCAAACATGTATACGGCACGACATTGGGTCTGCCTGAACAATTTTTCATACCACTGAGCAGTAAGAATTTCGGTAAATCAAACTACGTCCAACGATTGTCTGAATATATGCATACACTTCCTCCGGTGTCAACAGGAATACCGCATCGACAGGTCGCTTTCTATCGATAGTTACCTACCTGTTCATATGTTTCTATACGAGTGAATTCGGTACGCAAACCTTTGCAATAGCCTTACGAATGAACAATTACATAATTTAAATTTTCCATATACAGTTGGCCTTTTGTCGTCGGTGCATTGATGACTAAGCATTGCCAGGACCATTTGAGCTTCTTTTAGCCAAAAGTAGGCGTAGGAGTTCTTCTTGATAGCCTTCATCACTCCTACGCTCCATTTTTCTGGATTACTTATTATCTTTGGATTCTTCTTCAGGTCAAATAGTCTTAAATCTGGGTGAGGTACAATTCATTTGCACAACATTATGACATGTGGGTTGGATCAAACTCCAACATAGCTCAGAATACTTGCGTCTTCAAATATATATATGTATGTATTTCCTTATGTATGTAGGTCTTAACCAACCAGTCAACAGCTTGGAGAGAAAAAAAAGACGAGAGTGTGATTTTTTACTGATTCCATTCTTTACTTGTAATGTATATGTGACTTACCCTCCGTAAACGACATTGCGATTCGTCCAACAAAAGAATTTGCGTCAGATAATAATGATCTTCTCAGGTACACCAACTTATAGAGGAGGATTCCGCAAGCTTTATTATCCACTTTTTCCAATACTTTCTCGAAGACAACGGATGATAGTGTATGGTGTCGACTTTCCTTCAAGTGATTATCCAACGATGATCCGTAGCGTCCTGATTTGAGCGAAACATGATCTATTGTAGCGGCAAATAATTCCACGAAATCAATAGCTCTGTAAGTGTTCGACTTCGGATGCTGACCACATTAGTTTTAATTGACTCATCTAGCTGAAGGCGCTCAGTCATGCATCTGAACCAGATCACCAGTGGGAACGTCGTGCTCAACTTCTCCTGCGATCACTAGCCAGTTTAGATCATTCACTCCTCGATATATTGATAATCTATCAGATGTATCTTCCAATCTCCTTGCTTCTGACTTTTGATTTTACTGGGTGGGCACGATTCAATTATAGCAGAGGTTGTTGGAATCTTCACTATCATTACGCATTGTAGTCTGTTAACTGCTGGACACAAGCTGCCCGAATGAGGATGCTGTGAATTTCTACTTAAAGTTGATGATTTTTCATAAAAGTTTCCAATTAGTGAAACATGATCGTGGAATTTAAGCTTGAAAAATTCGTAAGGGTTTAGAGTAGATTTGGTTTTATTAGCTTCTAAAATAGATTCTGATGCTTCACTTAAAGGTTTGATATCTGGGTGTGTCTAGTACTGTGGAGGTATAAAAATTCAGCCGACAGAACTCCAAGTATAGGATTATTCAGTTCCTCTTAAAGGACAAATGATTCCTTATGGTATCCTACAAACAGTCCATAAAACATTGAATACTTTGCGCTTGAAAAGAACAATGGAGCCGATTTAGTCTACAGCATGGAGTACTTTCGTGGCTACGACCTTGAAGTTCAATGACAAGACCTCTAAAATATGTAGTGAATACAGATTTATACAGGAATCCTGCTTATTGATTCAAACATTTAAGACATTGCAATCTGAATATATTCTCAGTCGACTTCATGGTTCTTAAGTGATCACGAAAGTTGACTTAAAAGATGCTCATCTTCGAATTCCCACTGATCAATCTCCATATATTTTGACAGTGGTTAACACTAATTTTTGTCTACTCAAATATACCTCCCATTTGGTTTAAATTGTTCGCCTGCCGGCATCTTATAGTTCATGGGTCTTATTAAGTAACTCCTGATCAGAGACTTCTTACTGTATTACGTTATTTCAATAAAAAGAATAGTACAGGAAATCCAAATGCGTCTCCATCTTGTGTATCTGGTTTTGAATATTTCGAGTAGCTTATCAGCCGTGGGTACCAGTGCAGTTTGAGAGCAAGAAAGTTAACCCGTGAAAGTTAACCCGTGTTTTAGGTAAACTTATTGCTGTTGAACAAGGTCGGAAAATCATCCTTCAACATGAATTCCATAACTATTATCGATTGAAAATTGCGAGAAAAGTCCCGCAGACTACTCTGGCTCACCTCTCGGCAGATATTATTTACTTGTTGTCAGTGAATTGAGGTTTTGCCACAACATCGTCGTATTCTGACTTCTCAATTCTCATAGTAATAGAGACTGGCAACGTGTCTACTTCTTGCATCAGATGCTGTTACTACCTGTTTGAATGATAAAGGGTCTAGACATATCTTCACTGCTCCAAGATAAACTTGTTCGAATGCTCAGGTGAGAAATTACGTAAGGACTACAATTTTCTATCTCAATATCTAATGACTTGGAAAGAAAAGCAGTCACATTTCTGCAGCAACACAGAAATGAGAAACATTTCAACTGTTCGTAAGAAACCTTTATACATGAAATTACAATTCAACGGGGGTGTGGCTAGTGATGCTCTGAAAGATAGGTTAACACAAGTAATTAGTAGGACATTCTACGCAGCCTATCTGGCATTGATTTTCTCGAGTCGATCAATGATGTCTACTCAAACGAAGGATAAGTTACCTGAGTTGGCTTCCTCTATGTGCATTTATAAGTTCAGCTGCTCCTGTGAAGATAGCTATATCGGGCGTACTACTAGACAACTTAACCAACGAATGAGTGAACATCTACCAGCATGGTTTGGGAAGGGCCAAATAGAAACAATACGCTGTTCTATCTTGGCACATCTAATTGATAGCGGTTTTATTGTAGATAAATTGAAATCATTTTAAGTGATCTATCGTATAGCTCCATCATTTCACAACGGAGTTCGCTCCAGTCTCCTTCATATAGGAGAAGCCATAGGAATTCGTACATTCCACCCCAATTTATGTGTACAGAAGAAATTCGTAACCCCCTGTCCCTTCCATGGCCAGATATAACTTAACAAATGACATTATTATTTGTAAACTTTATTTTCATCATCTTAATTTTGTTATCATTTGCTTGTAATTTTCTGCCTCTTTCCATTTGTATTCTTCACTATCTAATTACTTACATACTTCTTATTACGTAATGATTTTAATGTTTGGTAATTACTATTTTAGTCTATTTACCCTTGACTTTTTCTGCCCTTATATGGATAGTGTTCAACTTGGACTTTCTGGTTTTGCTTCTTGGATCTTTCTCAGACTGTCTACATAGACTCACTGTTAATCCTAGCGCTTTTTAAGGCTCATTGTCTACCATCTTGAGGCTATTACTTCTTTAATACATTTTCAGTTTTCTTCATAGTATATTTTATTCTTTGAATTGATCTTGTAAGACCCAGGACTTTTTGCTAAGACTTATTCTGTACTTGTTGAGATTGCTAGCATTTTAAGGGAAGGCACGATAAAACTCCACCAATTTTGTTTTTTCAAAAGTCCAATGCTTCTTTAGCCACAGTTTCCGTTTGGACATCACCAGGCAATGATCTAAGCTATGTCGACCCCTCTGTCAATTCTCACATATTTCATGGACCTTCTGAATGCTTTATTGATACAAACGCATCTGGGAGGTGAAATTATCCCACACTTGACTATGTTGTTGAGGTATTGTGAATTTGAAGTGCTTTTAACATTCTTGTTACTTTCTCTAGGTCCGTGTTGATGATGTCATAGATTTTCGGAGTTTGACAACACCCTCTATAATTGAATAGTGCCCACCCAGTAAAATCAAAAGTCAGAAGCAAGGAGATTGGAAGATACATCTGATAGATTATCAATATATCGAGGAGTGAATGATCTAAACTGGCTAGTGATCGCAGGAGAAGTTGAGCACGACGTTCCCACTGGTGATCTGGTTCAGATGTATGACTGAGCGCCTTCAGCTAGATGAGTCAATTAAAACTAATGTGGTCAGCATCCGAAGTCGAACACTTACAGAGCTATTGATTTCGTGGAATTATTTGCTGCTACAGTGTTTGCATGCTATGTCGATACTCAAGTTTGTCCATTCCTGTCTTGGCTTTCAGTTCTGATACTGATATGATCAGGTCTTTCTGTATACGTTTCTTTAAAGTGTTAATCAAACCCATAAAACTGGTCCTTATCGTTCCTACTGCCATCATTCTTAAGTGAGTAGAATTGGATAAGCCTCACTGAAGTATTTTCCTCTCTCTAATTCCAAGCAGGGAGATTTTAGTTCTTCTTGTTAGAACCGCTATTATAATGACTCTCCTAGTCTTCTATATTGTCAAAAAACCAAAAATGAATTCTCTCATGGAGTTAAGAAGGACTTTTGATCTCGTGCTTTCAAAAGAATCTTATATTTTTTATGAGAAGTCATACGCTTTTTATCAGGAGACTCTGAAAATCACATGGAAGAGTTTAAATAATTGGACGGGGTCACTTTTATTAGCTTGAAGATACCACCAGTATTGCAGTTTACTAGTAACGCCCTCTATAATCGAATCGCGCCCACCCAGAAAAATCAAAAGTCAGAAGCGAGGAGGTTGGAAGATTTATTAAATGGGTTATCAATATATCGAGAAGTGACTGATCTAATCTGGCTAATGATCGTAGGAGATGCTTCTCACACTCTTCTGAAACGTGATCTGGTACGAATGCATGACCAGCTAGGTGAGTCCTCTAAAACTAATGTGGTCAGCATCCAATGTCGAAAACTTACGGAGCTATTGATTTTGGGGATTTATTTACAACTACAAGCCCTACTACTAACCCTCCTTCTCCGTGGTCTGTAATTGATAGTATTCCTACTCTCCTTCACTCTGTGTTTATATATATACTATTGCAGTAGTTAACTCTAAACTATTCAACACTGTATGTATCATACATTTTTACAGCTTGAGGAATTCCATTTCGGCATCTTTTGGCCGTTTCTAATAAATATATCACTGCTGTCCATTCCTACCATACACGTTTATGAATTGATGGGGTGGCATACTTTTCGCGCGCTAGTGGGTTTCTGTACGGTTGCTCGTAGCATGGCGGATGAGTTGCACAAGATTTCCACTGGTCAGTTGGGCTTTTTCTCTATGTTTCGAAAAAAATATAAGTTGTGTTTTAGCTCCAATAAATGTTAGTGCATAAGTTTTCATTCCTTAGTAGAGACTTTTAATTGTATGTATTGTCTGGGCATTGTCCTCTAGAAATCGGTGTTCACAGTTGTTTAGGTTTCCTCGTATTGTTTTCTGTTGACATAATTCGGAACTTTGTGCCTGGCTTTCACACCTTCAGGCTTTCTCGCCGACTTATATGCTGTTGGTTGACATACTTTTATTGTCAGTATTTTAGTTGTGTCATGTTCTGTGGATCAGATATCTGATCCCGAGAAACCAAACCATATGGTTTAGTATCAAAAATCTTACAATTATTTTTTGCACGTCAGCTTTTCATTTGTATGAATTTTGTGTCCACTGATGTCTTCCGACGGTTGTTTCCGTATCTTTTGGTTAGCTGTACGTGTTTTCCATGGTTTTTGACCAATCTGACTTATTGGTCTTTGTCCACATAACCTATTGACTTTTTCTTTATAAGTTGATAAGTAGATGTTATATAGACATGTCTACTTGATCCAGATTCATCGGAATACTCCGACTTTCACTACTAAATGCTTTTTTGTTTCTTGATGCCAGTCACGCATGTGTTGGTATAAACCGGCCTCACCGTGATTATGCACAAAATATTGCCTTACTAAGAGAATTCTATTAAATAAAGACCTGGGTTTCAACCTGGTGAAGTTGCTGAGTGACGATACCCACTCAGTAAGTCTGGAATCAGACGAAGAAACAACAAGTGTCATGGCCAGTACCGTAAACTTAGCTTTTACTGTTGTTGACAAGCTGAAATACTAACTTTCGACACACTCAAAGACGAAACAAACTCTACCCAAAACATTTTTATATGTAACCGTAATTATTTCTTCATCAGAAAAAGGTAAATACCATCTGTCGGATGTGCACTTACTCTAAGTACTACTGATGGGATGAATGCAACCTTACAATGTACGGAAAGCCCTGCTTCGGTTTGGGCACCCGGGCAGTATCACAGCCCTCACACAAATCAAATGACATTTGTGTGGCGCATATGTATCTGGTGTCTCTTTGTACCAATATTTATGTGTTCAAATAAATAAATGTACGGAGAGCAAAAACTCACTTAAAAGTTAGATCCTATAAATGAATGAATTCTTCCGGAAGTTAAAACCAGAAGGACAGCTAAAGTAAAGCTTTCTGTAGTTAACAGGAAGGAAATGATAACACAGTAGAAAGCCGTTAACAACTTCCAAGGAAGTCATACCCTTCCTGGTTTAATCATTTGAATCTGGAGGTGTCAAAAGAAAACGACTGTTAAAATTCATTCGCGCGACAGCGTTAGCGAAGTCTGTCATCAGAAAGACTGCCAGAAGAGGTTTTCGGAGAACATATTACTTCAGTAAGAAGACTCTGTAAGTGGGTTGGAGACGAGACGCAACTAATAAGGATCTTGAAGATAATATTCAGAAGTTACCGGGAAAGAGACTTTTTACCATGTAGGTCGTGAACAAATCGAATATTCGTAGTCGACGGATACAAGTGAGAGAATGCTCTTATTGAGTTAAAAACTCGAAAGCAGGGCGGAGAGATGAATTTTAAGATTCAGGATTTTAGGCAATCAGGTCAGAGATGCGAATTCTCCCGAGACCTCTATGGGTAGAAATAGTGGTTGTCAAAGCACCTTAAACGTGTGTCACACAAACGTTCCTAGTTTTGGAAACAAAACCTCTGAGCTAAGCCTGATTATGGATGAATCGCTCCCAATATAATTGTTGTCAAAGAAATGTGCCTCATCGTAGATATAGACTGTTTTCCAATCAATACAGGACATCTGTATTAGAAGTATTGGAGTCATAAATCGCAAGGAAGCATATTATTATATGTTAGGGATTACTTCCGTGTACAATCGAGCCCATCAGAGGTTCACTATACTGTTGTGTATGGCGTAGCTTGTCCTACAACTAAATCTAGACATTGGTCAGTGAATATAGAAGGGAAATAACATATTCCACGTTGTCTTGCTGGCGAATTTGTCTTAATTCATGTTTGTTCTTGGATTGTAATTGATATTTGTCCCATAATTAGCGATTACAATAAGCCGAAACTTCGGGTGAATATTTTGATGGAGGTCTGTTGTCAACTGCCATTGAGTGCCCCTTGTACAATGTACCACAAAGCCGACACATTGGATTGGAACCATTATTGCTAGACTTCGTTTTTGAACACCACTGTAGCAATGTCATTAGTGACTACTCTACACCATATATGTAAGACATCACTTGGGGTACTACGTCCAAGCAGCTGGTCCATATCTTATTGAGAAGGTTGACACACTTGAGTGTGTTTGGCGTTGAGGATAAAGTTATTGAAGGGTCTTTCCAAACTCCCTTACGATGAGCATTTAAAACTCCTGAGCGTGTTTTACTTTATGTATCTTAGAACGCAAGGTGACCTGATATTGGCGTTGCATATATTTAATATTGATTTGGGTGCTAGTATCTTATCTATTTGCTCCCTTCAGAACTAATTATCACCGAGGCGATATGGTTCAAAAATCGCAACCGAATAAACTCTGAATGGAGCTCCATTTTTCTCATCTAGTAGTCATTGGCTCAAACGTCTTGCCCGAACAAGTGGTATCAGTCACATCAGGGAGTATTTTAGATGAGAAACTGCACATGCACCGGCCAACAAGCTCCAAGAATTAACAATGTCCACCGACCTAATATCCGTACTACTGAACGCTGAAGTCCTTATAAAATTTTATAGCTAACACTGACGATTTTTTGTCAAGAACTATTAATAACGAACAAAAAAATCTACTTAAGTCGATTAGGTTGAAGTGAAGATTACTTGTCTGGTTGCACTCAGTTCAAACAAAATCTCATATAATTTATAAGGTGAAGTCACTGAATTGTTTAATTATTTTGTTTGTTCCTGTGTTCACAAGGTGCGGTGTATTACCTCTAAATGCTTTACTTGGTTCTAATAAAGATTACGATCAATTACTGTCTCATTAAGGATAAATGTTTTAGCAGATATCTCATTATAAGTATAAAGCAGGTATTAGCGACCAAAAGTTAGATTCCTTCAAACCAGTTTCTCACTCATCTACTAAAGTGTATGTTTTTGATTTTAGGCACGCAATACTACTTAAGTGGCTGTTAATCGGTTCCAGTCTTTCATTTATGACCACATCAGGAGTAGTAATGGATACTGGAAATACGGTGTTTTCGCAAAAATATAGTAAACCTGGTGTAATAGTGTCAGGTCATAAGTGTCCTGTTTGTCCTTATTCCTGTGCTTCTCAATCTGGACTAATATGTCATCTAACTACAAAACATAAAGAGCGTTTGGCTGCTGTTTGCAAAATTTGTCAACAGATCTTTGCATCGGATGCTATAGGTTCTCATGTACTTACATGCAAGGGTAGCTATTCCTGTCCTTACTGTCGTGCTACGTTTTCATCGCCCTCTTATTTGCAGCGTCACGTCTCCAGGCGTCACGAGGTTTTTGATCGCCCCACCTGTAGTGTTTGTGGGAAGGGTTTCTCATCGACCAATTCATTAGCTGTTCATAAAAGATTGCACCGAAGCAAGTTTTGTAATTACCTTTAGTTGATGTTTGTAGATCATATGCCATACTACTGCCAGTTTTGCAGTGCTAATTTTGCTCAGAAAAGTCATCTTAAATTGCATTTAGACTCTCATCATGCCTATGTTGAATTAGATGAAACGCCGAAACCTTTTGTGTGCAAAACCTGCGACCGCGGATTTCTGTTTATTATCAGTTTGCAACAACACCTATTACAGCATTGTAAGCTTAGTCCTAAAAGTATGTTGGCCTTTATCACTAAAATTTGGGTTCAGAGTTACTGCCGTGCAAAGTGTGCAAAAAAAACTTTGCTCACCAAAGTGAACTAGAGCGCCACAGCATCATTCACACGAAATGCTCACCATATCGATGCTCATTTTGTTCTCGTACGTTCACGCGTTCTAACTTGCTGAAGAACCATGCTTTGTTACACACCGATCCAAGCCTCCTAACCTGCTGTTACTGTTCTCGAGTCTACGCTTCTCGTTCTTATTTGCTACAACACATAGAGAAGCATGAAGAAAAAATGCAAATATCTCGAATTTCAAGTTTAGGTACAACTTCCATTTCAGAGGTAGAAACGAGTATCCTTGACAATTTCAGAGTTAATGTACCGGAGGAAATGGATAAGGTAAGTGGGATATATGTCTTGGTATGTAGTTCTTCAGGTATGTGAAGGTTCGACTTCCAAGGACTTATGTAATGATCGAATCGTTTCCCCAGATGTCGGCTTTCTACATGCGTTGTTATATGAACAAAATATGAATTGATTATTCAAATGATTGATATCCAGGTTGTTACATGTAGTTAGACTTTTACCAGTGATTTAGTTTTCTAGTCTTCCTTAGTTCAGTATTCCTGCAGTTCACAATCTTCGAACTATACAAATCGACTTTGTGCTCTAGTTCATTTTCATTTCCGTACGTTGATTTTGCACTGCATTGCAGCAAACATTTCGCTATCAGCTGATTACAACGTACTGCATTTTTAGCTTTACAAGTCTTTCGAGGATAGCTCACCTTTCCGATTTGCAGTAATTTACATGGGCATTTCTTATTCTTATCTAACTTTTATCAAATTTGCTTCAGCTTATTCTATAATCGCTACTTACAACCATTTAAGTCAATTAAGTGACTATTCATTAGATTTACTTCCTCCCCACACTACTTTCCATTTTGTGATAGCTATTGTATTTATCAAGTGTTAACGAATTCTTCGACAAGCAATTACGACCTAAGTTCCATGCTTTCGTCTTATAATCATAATCCGGTTCTCTTTTCGGACCTTGCGTCTTTCTATGGAGTTGGAAGCGTGGTTATGTTTTTATGCGGTTCTCAACTCCTTTTCAACTTCCTCAGTGATGAGATTATAAGTTAATTTTTGTCTATCTTACATCAATGTAACGTCACTTATATTTTCTTAAGTTATCCACCGGACTTACATGATGTCAGAGCATAACTGCCTGATCGATATCGTTTGGTTTTTATATGTATCTCTTTTTTGATTTTTTACACTGCCCTCATGCATTTTACATGTTTTCTGGAAAAATACTGTTTACAATAAATTTCAAAAGGCTTACTGGTCTCGAATTGTTCTTACTGCTGCTAGGTTTCTATGGGTCACAACATCATGGCATTGAAATTAAGATAGCTAGATCTGACCACGTTTTCAAAATCTAAAGTTCCTTCGCTTCGTATTCATTAAAAATATGTTTATTCAGTAGTATACAAAGTTATGAACAACTGACATCGATGGGATCATACTTTATCTTAATTAATTAAGTCAATTTGAATAACCGGTAGTATTTTTAGCCCTCAAAAAATAGTACTACTGAAAGTTGAATGCATAAACTGATACTTATTAAGTAAGGTTATCTTACTATGGTTGAGGTGACATGAAGTTAATGGAAATTAGATAGACACACACAGAAAGCACGTGCCACCAAACAAAAATTTTTTACAGCCCTTTCTGGATCTGTTGGAATTGGGTAACTAGTCTTTTTCCACAAATTCACATGAACCGGAATTATTAAGGATGAATAACAGTATTTCTTGCGATGTACATTTTGGGTCGAAAGTGTTTTAAAACTGCTTTGTACATATCACATAATCACCTCCAGAAGTCAAAAAAGTCTGGCTTGCGTAAATTATTTATTTATTTAAACACATAAATATTGGTACGAGGAAGCACCAGATAAATATGCGCCTCACAAATCTCATTCGATTTGTGTGAGGGCTGAGACACTGCCCGGGTGCCCAGACTGCAGCGGGTGGTTTTCTTAGAGGGCCACACCCCGAGCCTTTGACCTAAAGGTCTAATCCACAAGGCAGTGGAGCATCGTGAGGAGATGCAGTCCCATTATAACCAGCGACCAATAATTGGTTCACACGCCATTTGCTCCCTCAGGATACTGGAGCCCATGTGCACCACTGGTTTGGAATCAGGGTTTTCCAACTCCCCTAGGTGGACTCGCCTTGTCCACCAACCCGGTTAAGGCGCCGGACATTCGCTTTTCGTCAACAACAGTAATGCCATGAGAAGGCAGTGAGTAGGACTTCCCTGGCAGAGGCTATAAATTCGCTGGCCATGTGAGAGCATTTTGAGAGGGAGAGCAGACTCTCCCCACTCTCTGTCGTACCAGGGCATTTCGGGGCAATCCGTAAATAATGTAATTTGTTTACCTGATAGATCTCAATTAGTCGAATCATTGTCCACTTACTGGTCAGTCATTTTATATGGGACATCGGACCTAGCATTTGCGTCAGCTCAAATTGACACACCATATTGGCACGGAGACGGAATTAATTCGAAAGAGATCCCGCAGTAATAACGTCAGTAGTAATAGAAAAGGCTAGGTATAGATGGAATAAAAAGGTAAAAGAATGAATGCACCTGCGGCACTGTGCACAGTCCTGAGTCATATCCCAAAAGCTTAACCATTGGTTATGGAAATTGCGCGGAACCAACATGGCGATCTGCATCTACTTATATGGCTCAGTCCAACAGTCAATGACTTCATGGACTGAAGCTCCGTTTTAGTTTGACCGTTCCACTTATGTACTGACTTGCAACTAGTCCTCATAAAAGTGAACGTTAATATCGTAACCCAGTAGTTATTTTCAGTTTTCTAGTGCTTTCATAATTTCACCAATGCAATGGTCGACGATACTGCTTAATTACACATACTTTGATATGTGTTAATGGTCCCAACTAGTCGTTAAGGACTGCATGCCTAAAATTAGTAGCGTTTACGTATTCACACAGTGTATCTGGGATTATTTCGTTTCGGAACAGCAGAACATCGTAGCCTCCAAGGTACTTTCGACAGGAATTCTTTATTTTAATGAATAGAACGTTACCAGTAATTTATTTGTGCATATGATCACCTGTGGCTCACAGTACGCTGTGTTAAAGTGAAATGCGGAAAAAACCACGAGTTTCTGGATTTGCAGTGAAAACGTTTTAGTGTCGATCGATAAGATAGAGACTTGAATTCTAGAGATTTATATGGTGAGCTACCAATTTTAGTTGTCATCTTTAGGGTTCTGTAGTAGTAGAAACCAAATTCTCAAGAAGGAATATTTTATTTTTCAGCTACAAATTTGTCTACACGGAAAACCAGCTATTAAAAATAGTAAATCCCTGATTTAAATTCGATTGGTTTAAAAAAGCGAGATATTTCCATGACAAGAATTATCTTGAAGTTTCTGTACTAAAAGTCTAATGCCAATTCCAAATTAAACTTTGGAGTTGGTTTCATTTTCCAGAAGTGAAGAGCACGTGCATATCAAGTGTTGATCACCGTATACATCATCCAGCCGACTCACAGTTGGCCACAATTTCGAACGTTTACTTACTGACTCATCTTTCACATTTTGCCATGGCGCTGGAAATGCTGCCACTCGGCGTGTATATGGCCTGTCCCATTTCGAATCCATTACTGTCTGAAATAGGTAATAGTGCATAAATGAATTATTGGAAAAACCGCTTCCAGGCATTGACCCATGAATTCAAACTTGGACAAAAAGTGCTACACGACATGTATTTCTAAACTATTTTCATCCTTTATTGCAGAAGTAGCAACCTGAGTGTTTTAGGAGAATTAAGGAACACCTTAAATTCCGATCCTTCGTAGCAGAATAAGCTGCCTATACCATACACAAGCTCTTATTTGTAGTTAGTGCTCATCTAAATTTTTACAGGAACATCTTGGTCTTTTTATTTGTAATCCTCTTATCAATTTTCAATGTACGAACAAGTATTTACATGAAATGCTGATAAATACATAAATATATTATTCTAGATCGAATCCTGGATTATTCTCCAACTCATCTTAATGAAAATTATTAAGCAAAAGATTGCATAGGTTGCGTCATTTCACAACCTCAAAAATAGAAAATGAAGAGGGAATGGAGATGTTTGGAATTTTGATTTTGTAGGTAACTACCCATGCCACCTACAGTTTAAAACCTTTGATTTATGGCGAACCCACAGACGAAACCTGTGCATTCTAAGTGACTCAGGTCAATACTCGATAACTACAGACTGATCCTGTTCTAAAAATTTAATACCATCTTTACAACCATAAGTTGTAGGGTACATAATACCTAACGTATGATTTCCTGTAATCACTAATGTGAAGTCACCTGGAAGTGAACACAGGGTGCTGGTTTTAAAAGCTTTAAACACAATATTTTGCGCACAGATGGATGGTGGGTAGCGGTGGAACCCTAGACACACGATTTGTTCTATCTGAGACTCGTCAGCTGGATGTACTTGCGTCCCACAGTTGGTATTTACTTCGAGATTCGGACCCAGTACCGTTCTCTTCAAAAGTCATCGCGTTATCCACTTAGCTACTGATTCCGGATAGCCACTGGTTTGTGCATTGGGGTTGATTTTTAAAGGTTTGTCACGATAGTACGTTTAAAATTAGACGAAAAGATATTTTAAATACTTACTTCCATAGTATGTGGAGCCATTTTCAATGGATTACATTCGATATCCCATTCTCCTTTGGTCACCTTGTCAATTTCTCCTCTGATCAAAATGAGTGCTTCACATAGACGGTCGCACTCGGCTTTAGATTCACTCTCCGTGGGTTCAATCATTAGGCTTGATGTCACAGGCCATGACATAGTTGGGCTGTGGAAACCTTCATTTGTTTGGTTTCAAAAGTAATGGGACAAAAAGATGATAACTTGTTTATCATAAATTTCACAATATTGTTATAATATTCAGTTTGTAGGGCAGTCGAGCGAAGCAATGCTTGTAATAATGTTTACTTACACATCGAAGCAGGACTGAGAACCATTTACGTAACGAAAATTATTCCAAGTTAGGTTTCTTTTTTAACCATTACAATGATTTGCTTGCTTTATGCTCGGAAATGAGAGATCAACAAGAAAAAATTGTGGAGTCGCTTAAAGCAACTACCTAATCTTCATCCAAGTTCATATACTAAATCAATATCTATGTATGCTGACTTAATTACCATTCATGAAATAAACTATGGCACATAAAAAGTAAGAAATTCGTAAAAATTTAGATTCTACGATCGGTTTTACCGCACTGAATCTCCATTTTTATCTCATAACTGTTTTCGGTTGACCTCCCACTTCTATTAATTACAGAGATAATAGGTAGAAAGTCTGATATATATGGATTGAAGATAATAGACATAAGAATACTACTCATGAGATTAATCAATCAAATTACTAGAAACTTAGTAAGATATCACATTGAGATATAGCAGCTGAGGGGTCTAAGTAAAATAGAATTTACAAATTTTGTACAGTTAATTATCCAGTGATGAGCTTCCTACGGACTTAAGTTTGCTAAAATTTCATCATTGGGATTAAATTAGTTCAAAATGGTTGGTGTTTTTCGCAATTGCACAGTCGAATCGCCATAACCTCATTTATGTTCAGTGAACTTATTTGTAAAATTTTCGGGTAATAAAAATTGGATCAGCTAACTTGCAAATACACTGACTTTTTTAGTAGAAATAGATAATAAAAATGGAGCAGAAGATCTTCAACTTGTTATTAAACTGGTATTGTTTCAGTATTTATCTGCCTAAAAATCGAAGTTTTTGAGACGAGCATATCGAATATTTTCTTTTAATCCTGACAATTATTATTTACAAGATTATTACCCTGATTATAAGTCAATAGAAAGATGGAATTTCAGATTACTGATTATTAGGAGTTAGTGAGACTCGGTATATAAATAAAAAGTGGTCGAATTTTTAATATTCTGTAGAAACTCAACAACTGTAGTTAATAAAAATGCTTTTTAGAAACACTGAGCTTTCAATTACTAACCAGGAGATTCATGAATATTTTTACTAGATTATAAAGTCACTAAAATATAATAGAGATATACCGCTCGATAGGCTGCAACTTATAATAATCACCTACCGTATTCCCTTCAACACACTTCTAATATTTTGACAGGTACAAGTGCTTTTAGAACTTATTCTTGCTACCGACTATTTCTGAATCTACTCCAACCTTTTACTGTGAGGAATTGTTTAAAGTGGAATTCTAAGTGCAAGAAACCGTTGCAAAATTGCGGACAAAACAGGCTTTATCTGAAAACACGTAATCTTATATAAAAGTAAAACAAACTAACTCCAAACGCTGGACATCTTGTCGCTATTTACTCTCAATGAGGTTACAATGCTACTATTGGTGACACTAAATTCATGAAGCGACTTTATCATAACGAAGACCTAGTTATTATATCGAATTCCGTATTTGAAAGCAATTTCTAATCCTGGTTAAAGTAAGAAAAAAAATCAAGGCCTAATTCATGAAACATACCATAATCCATTAATCGCTTTGCAATGTCAGTCACATCGATATTCTGTTTCGAGAATTGTGAACAATCTAATATAAATTCATGTGCACACATCCCCGCGCTGTTTACATAATGTATATTATAATAGTCTCGGAGACGCTTTAGCATATAATTAGCGTTTAACAAAGCCGTCTGACTCGCTCGCTTCAAACCTATAAAGACAATGACAGTTAATTATTTGGCTGTATTTAAAAGGAAAGTTATATCACTTCGTAAAATGCTAACCGTTACATTCACGCTTTCTAGAACCTTCATCTTACACTACCCTGATCACCATCACAGATAAAAACTTTCTCCGAAAGAGTTGGCAATATTCATTCCTATCCATCATCATGGGCAACCATCAAAGCCGAGTCTGAAATCTCAAGAGCCTATAATAATGAAAAATTCAGCCTTTTATTTTCAAAAAAAATCAGACCGAAAACGTTAGGGCACAGCTAGATCGTTCTTTGGAAATAACTAAGTGGTTTTGACTAGTAATTACCAATATTCATAATATGAAATCGCAAAGGCCCTGAATAACTAGAAAAAAAAAGTAACTGTTGTAAGAATTCATTATTACCAAAATGTATATCATTTTTTACTTCCCATACAATTTATGTGTAACGAACTTTATTTTGTGATCAACCATTCTGCAGTTTGTGGTAGATCATTTCCAACTAAATAACCAAACAAAGTCTTGGAGTGCTTCCAATATCATATTGTTTATTCTATAGTATTAATGAATTCCTATAGGATCACTGAATATTTTCTAACGTATCATTTGGGTTCAAGTCATTCGCTATTACATAGTTGAAAAGAATCAATAAAAAAACGTTATTCAGGTGATTAACACTTTAATTTCAATGTACGAATAGTTTAGCACGCCCCATACTTCAATATTACTCAGGCCAATTCTACGTTTGAGATCTTAAATTCCTTTCTCACCTTCAAGTTATTAATTTATAATCAATAAGTGATTCACGTTCTCTCGTAAAATTCATGATGTTTTTGATCAAATATAAAAATTACTTTCATCTTTTCCGTACAGAAACGCTGCCTATAGCTCTTCTAGAGTTACTGCCGGTCCCAAGCCCGGGTAAAGGAGAAGGGTTGGCCATAGGGTTAGCGACCCCATCCTGTAGAAAACTAACTCGCTAAAAACGCTAACCAGAAAAAATAATTCAAACCGTTTAAACTCTGCCTAGGGAGTTGAAGGAATAATTATGACGTCTCATGATGAAAGCCGAAATTCTTCGGAAGTCACGAGACCGATGCACCTTCTAACAACCAGAGCAATAATTTTTATAGGTACATGGAACGTCCGGACAATGTGGGAGACCGGGAAGACCAAACAAATAGCTATGGAAATGAGGAGATTGGCAGCACTTGGAATCAGTGAAACCCATTGGACACAAGCTGGACAACAAAGGCTAGGTACAGGAGAGATGCTGCTGTACTCCGGTCACGAAGGGGAAAATGCTCCACACACTCAGGGAGTTGCTCTAATGCTGTCCAAAGAAGCACGAAATGTACTTGTGGGATGGGAATCTCATGGACATAGGATAATCAAAGCATCATTCAGAACAAAGAAGAAAGGGATCACAATGAACGTTATCCAATGTTATGCACCCACCAATGATAGCAACGACGATGATAAAGATCAGTTCTATGAAAGGCTGCAATCAATTATAGCGAAGTGCTCACAAAAGGACCTCACCATCCTGATGGGAGGTCTAAATGCTAAATTTGGAGTGGACAACACAGGATATGAAGATATAATTGGACGACATGTACTAGGAGAGAGATTTGCAAATCCATGCGCATTCAACAAATTGGTTATAGACGGCACAATATTTCCACACAAACGCATACACAAAGCTACATGAATCTCGCCGGACCACACCACAGAGAACCAGATAGATCATTTTTGTATCAACAAAAAATTCCGAAGATCAATGGAAGATGTGAGAACCCGGAGAGGAGCTGACATAGCTTCAGATCACCACCTGGTTGTGGCCAAGATAAAACTGAAGCTAAAGAAACACTGGACAATGGGGAAGCAGTATTACAAAGGTTCAATATAACCTTTCTTCGAGATACTGACAAACTCAACCAATTCAAGATAGCTCTCAACAACAGGTTACAAGCTTTACAGGATCTACTGAAAGAACAAGAAACTACGATGGAGGACAACTGGAAATGGATCAAAGAAGCACTAACTTCAACGTGTCAGGAGGTTCTGAGTCGCAAGAAGCATCATCATAAGGAATGATGGATCTCTATGGGAACTCTGGACAAGATTCAAGAAAGGAAGAACAAGAAGGCAGCAATTAACAACAGCCGAACACGAGCAGAGAAAGTCAAGGCGCAAGCAGAGTACGTAGAAGCAAACAGGCAAATGAAGAAGAGCATTGAAACCGACAAGCAGGAATACATGGGAGAACTAGCAACAACAGCGGAAAAAGCTTCAAGAGAAGGGAATATGAAACAAATATATGATACAACGAAGAAACTAGCGGGGAGATATAGTAAACCAAAGAGACCAGTCAAGGACAAAGAAGACAAGACAATCACGGAGATTCAAGAACAGAGGAAATATGGGCAGAACACTTCGAAGAGCTGCTGAATAGACAAGCTACATTGAATCCACCGGAAATCGGAGCAGCACACACAAACCTTCCTATAAATATTACACCACCAGCAATCGAAGAAATCAGAGTAGCCACCAGACAAAGCAATGGTGCAAAAGCAGATGAATCAGACAACATACAAGCTGAAGCACTGAAGTCAGACATAGAAGTAACTGTAAACATGCTCCACGTTCTATTCAGGAAGATTTGGGACGAAGAATAAGCGCCGACGGATTGGAAAGAAGGTTACCTCATCAAGATAACAAAAAAAGGAGATCTGAGAAAACGTGAGAACTACAGAGGCATCAGTTTGCTGTCAGTGCCAGGAAAAGTTTTCAGCAGAGTGCTGCTGAATCGGATGAAAGACGCAGTAGACGCTCCATTTCGAGATCAACAGGCTAGATTCCATAAGGATCAGTCGTGCACAGACCAAATTGCGACACTACGGATCATCGTGGAATAATCGATTGAATGGAATTCGTCGCTATACATCAACTTCTTTGACTGCGAGAAAGCGTTTGGCCGTGTGGACGGGAGAACATTATGGTAACTTCTTCGATACTATGGAGTTCCAGAGACGATTGTCAACATTATCCGGGATTTATACGATGGACTGCATTGCAAAGTCGTGCATGGAGGACAGCTGACAGATGCATTTACAGTAAGGACCGGGGTCAGTCAAGGTTGCTTACTCTAACCCTTCCTCTTCTGGTGATTGAGTGGATTATGGAGACCCCGAAATCTGAGGAAAAGCACGGAATTCAATTGACATCTCAAAATCAATTAAATGATTTGGACTTCGCAGTACACACGAACAAATACAGACGAAAACAACAAATGTAGCAGCAATATCTGCATCAATAGGCCTCAACATACACAAAGGAAAAGCATGATTCTCAAATACAGCACGGAGAACAACCCAATCACACGTAATGGAGAAACTCTGGAAGATGTGGAAACATTCATGTACCTGGGAAGCATGATTGATGAACAAAGAGGGTCTGATTCAGATGTAAAGGCGAGGATTGGCAAAACAACGACCTCATTCCTACGATTGAAGAACATATGGAACTCAAAACAACTGTCAACTAATTTCAAAGCGAGAATCTTCAATACGAACATCAAGACAGTCCTACTGTACGGAGCTGAAACATGGAGAACTACTACATCCATAGTCAAAAAGGTACAAGTATTTATAAACAGTTGTCTATGCAAAACACTCAACATTCACTGGCCGGATAGCATGAGCAACAGCATTTTATGGGAGAGGACAAACCAACTTCCATCTGAAGAAGAAATTAGGAAAAGACGTTGGGAGTGGATAGTACATACACTGACGAAATCACTAAGTTGCATCAGGAGGTAAGGCCTAACTTTGAATCCGGATGGGAAGCGGAAAAGGGGAAGGCCAAATAATACATTACGACGGGAAATAGAAGCCCATATGAAAGGGATTAATAACAACTGGAAAGATTTGGTAAGGATCGCCCAGGACAGGGTTGGATGGAGAATACTGGTGTACGGCCTATGCTCCTCCACGAGGGGTAACAGGCGTAAGTTTTTGTACAGAGTGAATTACAATACAAAACAAAAAGTAGGATTTTGAAGATAAAAAAGAAACTCGAGTAAAATCATCTACCTTTCGGGCCTAACAACCTCATATATGCCCATGATATTGGTAATAAGCTTGCGGAACCGAATGGAGCCGAACAAATTGCGTAATGATCAGAAGATTTATTTTCAATGTTCATTTTGTGATCAGGAAGACTCACACAAGTATAACCATATAAATAATGTTGAGGAAGAAATGGTGCTAAGTGCGACTTGACACAAACAGGGCCACAACCAGGTCCACCTCCACCGTGTGGAATACTGAATGTTTTGTGTAAATTTATGTGCGAAACATCTGAACCAATATCAGCAGGGCGGCATAAACCAACCTAAATAATTTTGAAGGATGAAGGAAAAACATTTCCCTGTTCTCTATTATATATATATATATATATATATATATATATATATATATATATATTCAGTAGTTTTTTAGGACACGACGTACCTGAAACACTGCTCACATTTAAGTGTAAGCAACAAGGAAGCGATCTTATCTTCCTCAAATCGTTTGCATAATTCACCCTAACAAAGGTGACACAAGCGCGTTGTCCTCGACGTTTGTTTGATATCAATCATTTCGCGAAATGGCAAACCAGCTCAAAATTACTAAAAAACACATATTATTACTCACTGATTCTCCTGTCTCCAGATTCCTATTCTGCTTTGTAACTCATGGAAAATCATATCATAAATATCAATTGTTTCTTTTTTGAGACGCCATTGTGGGAATGTTTCAATGCATCGACGTACGAAGAAGGAATTCCACAACTATTTCGCTCTGTCCATAATAGTAATAATAATAGGAACTTATAGATCTAGGTTATAAATACAGCCTTGCTTGATTTTTAGAGGATTACCAAACAGTGAACCGATATGACGACAATTTTTATTAAAATAAATATCTGTACAATATTCACGTTTGAGTACTGATAACCCTTATTTAAAAGTTCTTTAATTAGAGTTTAAGTGTATAGTTGGACAAAATTGTAATAAACATCAATTGGCATGTAGAGGCTGGTACCGAGTCAAGCACATATACGTTATTCTAGCTTCCATACAGACCAATTTACTCATTCTTCTTGAGTCATGTTTTGACCTTGTGGATTATTCGCTCATTAACATTGACTGTTTTTATGTGTGTGCTAATCCCTTTCCCTACTCACTATATATCCGTAACCTAATTTTGTCTCACTACGGATTTCCCTCTCCGGCGGTAAGGTCCTTTGAAGAACGGAGCTAACACGTCAAAAATCCCCCCAATAAGGCCGTGCATGACCGGCCTCAAGCAGTTGTCCCTTTGGCACTGTGGTCACGCTCCCAGGTCGTTAAGACCAACACTAATCCAACTTCCTTTTCAGGTCCCTCAAGAAATACCCTTCCACGGTGTGGGCAGCCGGGAAGTGATATTAGCCCTATTACTCGTAACTGCACACGAGACCAAGTTGGTCACACTCAAATCCTTCCTACACCTGCTAATAACTCCCTTATCTCCACGACTAACCCTTCCCACGTCCTTTTATCACCTCACACCGCTAGGGCAAACGATTCGAATACATGGAACGTTATTCATGGTCTCCTGAAACCACGCTTTCAAAAACATTTCGGAAATTTTAACGTCCGAACATTGTGCCAAATAGGACAACGGGCCTCCTTAGCTAGGACTTTAGAATCTCGTACCATCGATGTGTGCTGCGTCTCCGAAACGTGCATACAAGACCCGAGTAGCGTCATTCATTTGACCGCACCTAATCAAAATAAAGAACCATCTCGACACACGCTTCGTGTATCTGGAAGCCCTGATGCTGCTTCCCGTGGTCTCGCTGGCGTACACATAGCATTGAGTCCTAGGGCAGAATTAGCTCTTTTAGACTAGATCCAAGTAGACAGTCGTCTATGCGCTGTCCGACTAAACGGATCAGCAAGGACTCGGAAAGACAGGGAAACTCGTCGTTGCCTCTTTGTCGTCTCTGCCTACTCTCCCACTGACTGCAGCTCAGATGATATAAAAGATGAGTTCTACAGGAAACTTTCCGACCTTCTCCGAAAAGCTAGGCGTTCTGATGTAGTAGTCGTGGCAGGTGACTTTAATGCTCAAGTAGGTAAACTAAGTGAAAGGGAAAGACACCTGGGTGGATCTTATGGTGTCGTGGCTGAAAGAACAGATAATGGTGACCGTCTGTTGCAGCTATGCCCAGATAATCCCCTGTTTCTTGCAAATACTAACTTTAAGCATAAAGAAAAACATCTTTTGACATGGCGAACCTCGAATTCGTCCCAACGTTGGACCCAACTAGATCACATCTCTATCAGCCACCGATGGAGGGGCTCGATAAAGGATTGTCGCTCATTCAGATTCAGATCATGCTCTAATGCGAGCACGCATCTGTCTGCGTCTTACTGGACGTAGGAAAGACACTGCAGAGAAACCTCTTAGGGTTCTACTTAATGATAGGCAAGATAAGAATATATTTCAGGAACAACTGGAAAAACAGTTAGGCAGGCATGTAAGTTGTGCCCACCCCGAAGCAGCGTGGAATGACATCCGAAAAGCTGTGGAAACAGCAGTGATATCAGCTAGTACGATAAACCATAAGGTTAGGGAGAAACAATTGATCTCGGCAGCATCTACCGCACTGATAGATGCTCTAAACATAACGAAGAGCGAAGTCGGCTTAAGCGCAGGCTAATAAGAAGCCTACGCAATGATCGTGAACAGTGATGGGTAGCGAAAGCAAGAGAGATGGAAAAGGCAGCGGCAATAGGTAACAGCAGACAACTATTCAGACTTGCTAAAGAAACCGGTATTAGGAACCCAACTATCAGCGAAACTATTTCAGATGAAGTTGGACATATCATTCATCCCCAATCCAGGAAATTGGATCGATGGGCAGAACACTTTTGGAACCAGTTCAACTGGCCTTCAGCCACACTTCAGTTACCCACGATCCCCAGTGGTCCTGAATTGATGTAAGTCCTCCAACCCTCTGCGAGGTTGAAAAAGCTATAGGAAATCTAAAGCGAAGGAGAGCAGCAGGCCCTGACAGGTTTACCCCTGAGATTTTTAGGGACGGTGGTCCAGTACTAGCAGCGAGATTGACTGAGGTCTTAGTTAAAATTTGGGAACTGGGCGTAATTCCATCTGACTGGTCCCAATCACTGATTGTGCCAGTCTATAGGAAAGAACAAAAGTCCACTTGTGACAATCACAGAGGAATCCCTCTAACTAATATAGGTGTATACATTCTTTATCTTCCCTTAAACCTTAAGATTAAAATTGCTTCATAACGTTCTTCCTTCCTATACTATATACAACCAATCTTTTAAATATTACTACCACTAAATTAACTATTTCTATGAATACGGTGTTCATCTTGTTGTGCGAATGAGGTACGGCAACTTGGACCGATGCATAAATGTGCCTGGTCCTACGTTGTAACTGACTGACTGACTGCTAAGAGTAGAGGATATTCGTAGGCTACTAGTATTCGATCATAGGCGTCTTCGAAGCATTGCTCGTATATCCTGGGACCACCGAGTGAGTAATGCAGTTGTTAGGAAACGGGTACTAGGTAAGGATGGCAAATCGATTGATGAAGTGGTGAAACTTCACCAGTTGAGATGGCTGGGACATATGTTACGTATGCCCAACCACCGACTGCCCTGACGTGTAATGTTTTATAGTGTAGGAGTAGGTTGGAAGAAAGCTAGGGGCGGCCAGACCAAAACGTGGCACAAATCCATGAAGTCACTGACAAGTGGACTGAGCCATTTTGGAAGGTGTAGACTACGTGGTTAGGACTCAGTGGCCGAGTGGATAATGCGATGGCGTTTGAAGCGAGGGTACTGGGTTCGAGTCCCAGAGTGAACATCAACTCTGAGATGTAGGTACATTCAAATGACGAGTCCCAAATAGGACGAAACGCGCGTCCTGGATTCCACTGGTAGCCACTATCTATCTCTGCTTAATCAATAAAGCTGATTTCACAATGAAATCATAATTTAAAATCAGCCCCCAAATGCCCTGGTACGACAGAGAGTGGGGAGAGTCTGCTCTCCCTCTCCGAATGCTCTCATATGGCCACGCGAATATATAGCCTCTGCCAGGGAATTCCTACTCACTGCCTTCTTATGGCATTACTGTTGTTTACGAAAGTGAGAGGACGAAAAGCGAATGTCCGGCGCTTTAACCGGGTTGGTGGACAAGGCGAGTCCACCTAGGGGAGTTGGAAAACCCTGATTCCAAACCAATGGTGCACATGGGCTCCAGTATCCTGAGGGAGCAAATGGCGTGTGAACCAATTATTGGTCACTGGTTATAATGGGACTGCATCTCCTTACGATGCTCCACTGCCTTGTGGATCAGACCTTTAGGTCAAAGGCCCGGGGTGTGGCCCCCTAAGAAAACCACCTGCTTCGGTTTGGGCACCCGGGCAGTATCACAGCCCACACACAAATGACATGAAATGACGCAATACACTAACTACACTGCTCTCGTTCCTAATAGGAGAAAGACAATTTGCATTATTATTATTACCAATATTTACTACGTCGCTTTTTCACTCCCTTTATTCCCAAATTGTGTATCCTTCCTTTACAACTTATGCAGCAGCTCGCCCATGATGGGAACTATGGCTATGTCTTTGGAAGGTCTTAATGTTGACGCTTGTTGTCTATCCGAGACTTGGATTCAAGACTCTAGTGAAGTACTACAAATCCGCTCTCCATCTGTCGCCTCGAAAAGCTTGTTTCACGTGCGTCTTGCTGGTGTTGGTGTCGCACTAAGCGCTAGAGCTGAGGCAGCACTAATCGATTGGATCCCCATTGACAGTCGGTTATGTGCTGTTAGATTAGAAAGTTCCATCAAAGTGAGAAATCGGCGTGAGAAACGATGTCTTTTTGTCATCTCCGCCTATGCCCCGACAGATTGCAGCCCGGATGCAATCAAGGATGAAGTCGACCACCAGTTAACTGTTCTCCAGAAAGCGCGTTCGACAGATATTGTAGTACTAGCCGGAGACTTGAATGCACAGGTCGGGCGTCTAGGCACAGAAGAGAGTCGTTTAGGTGGCCGATGGGGACTTGTTGGTCGCAGGACAGATAAAGGAGACCGTCTACTGCAACTGTGCACAGACTACAACCTGTTTCTGGCTAGCACTAACTTCCGGCACAGTCATCGCCGGTGTGCCACCTGGCGTCCTCCCTCTGCATCCCAAGCCTGGACTCAGATTGATCACATTGCGATCAGCTACCGCTGGCGTGGTTGTGTACAAGACTGCCGCTCCTTTTGGAGTACCTATCTGGAGTTTGATCATGCCCTGGTCTGCGCCAATCTTAACTTACTTTTCAGTGGCCAACAAATTGACCGTCATCAACGGATTGATATTAGTAAATTGGTTGCAACTTCTGTTGTAAGTAAGTATCGAACCGAGCTAGCTTCTAGGCTAGCTACCATCCCACCGAAAAGTATAGATGAGCATTGGTTGCAACTGCATGACGCCATGAAAATGGCGAGTAAAGTCGCTTGCGGCTTCACGAAACGTCCCGCTTATAAGCACTGGGTTTCTTCTGGCTTCTTACAACTGACCGAAGCCCGTTGGTCTACTCCGGGTGACCGTGAGTTTCACCACAAACGAAGGCTATTACGCAACGGAACTGGGCAAAGCTTGCGTAAGGACCGAGAAGCCTGGTGGTCGGAGCGTGCTAATGAGATGGAAGCAGCAGCTGCATCTGGTAACTATCGGAAGCTCTTCCAACTCATCCGAGCCACTGGCAGCAAGAAGTCTGGTGTGAGTGAAACAATCTACGAGGATGATGGGATGCCAATCACTAACATCTGTCGACGTCTTGGACGATGGGCGGAATTTTTCGAAGGGCAGTTCAATTGGCCTGCTGCTCCGGCAACATCCACCAGATTGTCCTGCCCCCCATAGCTGGTGACGACTGACCCACCAAACGAGGCGGAAGTTCGCAAGGAACTCCAACTCTTGAAACGCTACAAATCACCGGGCCCAGATGACTTACCTCCAGCTCTTTTTAAAGATGGTGGTGACTTTCTGACTAAGGAATTGACTGTGTTGTTCGCAAAGGTTTGGAAACAAGAAAGTTTTCCAACATCATGGAATGAGTCGATAGTCGTCCCTATCTTTAAAAAGGGTTCACGTTGTTCCTGTAATAACTATCGGGGGATAAGTCTACTTCCGATTGCGTACAAACTATTGGCCTCTATCAATCTTCGTAGGTTGTTTAAAACACGAGAATGATTGATTCGCGAGGAGCGGGCTGGTTTTGACGTGGGTTTGTACTCTGAGCTGGATGGTTTGGTCGTGGAGCTTTCATCGTCCTTCTGAACGACATCATCGGCACAAACATCGAGTAGAAGTGAAGTGTGTTCGGGCGCAGAGACGATAATTCAATTGGTGTCACCATCTTGAAACACCGACTTCGGTGGCTTGGACATGTTCTACGAATGTCGTCCCAGAGACTTTCACGTCGTGCATTATTTGCCGACTCTGGGACTGGTTGGAGAAAGCGGAGAGGAGGTGAGTGTATGACATGGTGTCGTGGCATGAAAGAAAGCTGCAAAGGGCTAGCTTCTGTTGGTCCTTCACGACTCCCTGGCTGGGGTCCGAGAGATGGTGCAACACAGTGGCTAAATAAATAAATAAATAAGTAATAAATACCTGGTTGAGATTCGCGAGATGATAGCAACCGATGGTTAGAGACCTTGAATGACATGGTTCAGAATCGTTTGCAATGGCGAAGGTGCATCCACTCTTTGTGCTCAGCCGAATTCCAATTATCTGAATTCATGTCTCTATCTTTTTTCTCTCCAAATTTATTTCACTGTAATATACTCCTTCAATAACATCTTCAAACCCTAATCTTTCGGATTACTGCTTATACTCTTACTACTTCTACCACTATGGGATTTGAATCGACAACTTCATCTCTGTGCTAATGTGGTATGGCAACTCGAACTGATGTACGTACGTACGAAGTTCTACGGTGTGACTGACTGACAAGTATCGAGTCACGCTTGGTTAAATGGAGTTGGCTCATTCGCCTTCTCCACTGCATGTTGTTTTAGTCGCTTCCCTACCTCGATTGCGTTTCTCTGATTGTCCGTTCAGATCGACGATTGTATGAAATATACGTATTCAAAATCCATTCTCATATTTGACTTATTTAATTCCGTTATTCACTAACGTGATTTATGTCGATGATTACATACGAGGGTAGCCAGGATGTATATTTCGATAACAATCAAAACGATTTAATTGGAGTCAGATATGAAGCCACATGAGACGAGTGAATTTCAGTTCGTCAATCACAATGTAATGATTATTGTTAGACTGTGTGTAAACTCTTAATGATTTTAGATTAAAACCGACTGTCATCACCAACTTATACAACTATTTTACCAATAAAATACCTCCAGTGATTAAATTAGTGTGTCACAGAATATTTAAAAACCGTTTTTTCTTTTGGTGAATTGAAATATTTAGATTTCTGTCTGTTTATCGAAGTTCACTGTAAACAATATTTATAGAACACTTCATTGACGTGAAATCGGAAAGCGTTTCCGAAACAGAGGTTTGCAGTTATGATAACCTTTCAGAATTAAAAATCGGGATAGGGTGTTAACCTTAATCGATTAGGGACTTATGTGGAAAATTCATCTGTAGGCAAATCAAATCCTACTCAACTTTTATTTTGATCTGATTTAAAAAGTCATATGTATTTCTCGAACATAAAGACGTTACAACGACATTTATTCTTTAGATTTTCGTACGGAAATCGACATGTTTTAATTTGTGTGAAAATTTCCAAACCTGCTCAAAATTTCTTTAGAATAATAAAACTCGAAGAAAATAAAGCGAATTTGATATAATAGATCTGATAATATTAATTACCATGAAATCTGAAATCGTATGTAATGATCTAATATCGTATTGCTAAAACCGTAACACTTTTATTGTTACCTCCTGATTTTAATTTCTTACTTATTATCAATGCTCAATTTACGCAACATTACCATGTTGCAAATGATTCAATTAAGAGCAAAATATTATATATCGCAAAATTCGAAAACCAGTAATTTCAGACATATGACAGCAAGGCGCTGTGTATTTCTGCGGGATTCTGAAAATTTTAGAGTAAAGAATTTCTCTGTTACAGTCGGACATCAGGGAGCCATGAACAGCTGTTTTATTCTAGTTTTAGGACCCTTAGGATAGCACATTTACAAACCCAGACAGACCATGTTAAAAACCACTCACAAAATCGGGGAATTTTTTGCACACTACTTATTAAGGTATATGTTATTTGGAAGAAATGAACATTAATAGTTATTAAAATATAGAGGTAATACCTGTGCATTCAAATTGGCACCATCCATAAAAACCTGTCCACCGGCTTCGTGAATGATTTCACACACTTTTTGAACATTACTATCAAACACACCAAATGTACTTGGATAGGTGATCATAATGGCTGCCAAGTGATCTTTATATAGAGAAGTTTGTTCTTCCAGATGGTTCATGTCTAGACTACCAGTTGATGTAGTTTTCACGTGTTTGACAGTCATACCAGCCATTTGAGCACTAGCAGGATTTGTCCCATGTGCTGAGGTAGGGATTAAACAAATCTGTATTTCAAACAGAAAAAAAAGGTTATATTATGTTTTTTACTTATCATTTGTTTGAATTACTGAACAAATAGATAAAAATACGCATTTAGTAACTAGTTGGCGGTTGGAGTCTATAAAATCGAAGTAGAAAAATGTGAAATAGCCACTTATTAAGTCTGAAGAAAAGATTTATTTTAAGCAATGAATTCTGTTTCTAAGATATTTCATTACATTTCATAATTTTGTTACCAATCGAAACAAATAAACTTAACATTAAATAAACAGGATTTAGATCAAACTTTGCTTAATTGAGTTTATTTCTTAAGATGGACGGTGTTACGGTTGCAATTCACATTGATGGTATAAAACAGCTGATAAAAAAGTAAAGAATACATCCACTAGAATTACGTCAACACAGAGACACAGTTTCCTCAGTATAGACGGGATACATTTTGCTCAGTGATAGTATTAACATCTGGATAAAATATTTGTACACAGTTGAATGAGCATGAACGAATTGCAAATGGTCTAAGGAATTAAATAATTCTTATACCAAACAGTGAGATAGCTCTATATATTTAATGGAGTATTTTAGATTGTACACGGCATAAAGTGTAACGAAACAAGTCACGTAACAACATGTAAAATGTGTCCCTAACTATAAATAGTTCTTAAAGAACTTGATTAAAAAATAAGCAGTTGGTTGTTTAAGCTCGAAACCCTCTAAAAGTCTAATAGTGCTTTGTTCCTCTCGATTCCGTGAGGTTGCCTAGTTAGCATCTGACAAGAGTCAACTAGAATTACTGAAAATCAATCAGCGTGAAAGTTAACAACCGTCATTACAACGAATTCCATACAACTCTTTCGAATTGATTACTGGATAATAAATAATCCGATTAAAAGGTTTGTTCAGCCTCCTTTACGAAAAATGTTTATAATATTTGTAGCCAACTCAGCTCAAAATCAACATAAGAACCATAACCACTCACTGTACGTTTGTGTTCACCTTTCCTATCCAGATATCCTTTGATAGCTTTTAGTCCAGCGTACTCACCCTGTGCTCCACTATTCGGTGCAAGACAAACATAATCATAGCCAGTTATCTCTTTGATGTCATTTTCCAGTTGTGCAATCAATTCCAAATAACCAGTAACTTGTTTTTTCGGTACAAAAGGGTGCAGTTTGTTGACATTATCCCATGAGCAAGCCTATTAGTTGCAAATAGATAAAGTAATCAATATGCATCCTTTAACACACGATGTGTTCTGTTACGTATGTTTCTTGAAAAGTTGATTTTTCTGAATATTTTTCAAATAGTTACCATATCAAAATTATCTGTCTGCACTACAAAGTCTTGATAGTTACCTGATAATGACAAAAATCCTATCAAATCTGCGGCTTTTACCTGCATTTTTCACCAGTTAACCAACTATATAGTATTTTAAGTTCTATAGCTACTCTGATTCGCACAATTTTCATAGATTACAGTTTTAAAAATATGCTTGGATTTCCAGGCTAATACTTATAAGGTTAAAGAGAGACTTCAGAGTAATTTTTCAGTTATAAAAATGTTAATTTTATTTAGTTGCAATTTAACATAATTTAGCTAGAAAGCACAAAGCGGGCAATTATGAGACAGGGATGTTGGTTTCGGCCATATGAATTTACTGAGGTAAGTAAGTTACGTTCATCAAGAACACATATGATTGTTTGCATGGTAAATGCTAACAGCTTTCACAAGCATAAGTCAATACATCGATTCATTGACAAACGATATTAAAATTTTTACTAGATACAATATACTATTTGAGTCGTATCAAAACATAAGAGGGTTAAAATATTCTTTGCATGAATCAATCGAATATCACTAATTATTAGCATGTATTTTTCTGGAAAAGATTGAGATGGGCTTTTGTATGAGATCATAAATCGATTGATGTAAGACCACTATTGAAAACCTGGAAGCACTGGACGGCCGTTTTGTCCTAATATGGGACTCTTAGGCAGTGTGCATGCACACAGGATTCGGACCCAGAACATTCGGTCTCGTGCGTGAACGCTCGATATTCATTGATTCATGATAACAATCAAAAACAATCTCCACGACCCTATACAGATATTTAGATAAGTGTTTATATTTATTTACTAGGCAGATTTTTATCCAGAGTAATAGATCAAAGATATTTGTGAAGCTCAGCTAATACTTTAGAAAAGAAATACTTTAAAAATAAATAAAAACATCACATTTAAATTACATCAATGTAGTTCATATAGTATTTTCTGACTTATCTACATGTTACCGTTTTCTTTTTGCCTACTGCCAATATGAGACGGGAATTATTAAATAAGTTCTCGGTGAACGCAATATAGAGCATATAGTCAAAACGTGTTATTTCATCTGTACTCTGTGCTGCTTCTCAATGTAAATTTTAAAATGTTGTAAAAGCCCCTGTCTAATAAGCTATTTTCATCACCAAAACTTGCGAGAGTATTTCATATTTCTCAGATACACAAACAATAATCTAAAATTTCAGGATTATTGTTTCATATCGAGATGCATTACGTGGCAGATACAGGCTGTTAAGGCTTATAGGAAAATTAAAATTTGACTGCTAAATTTGATTTAGCTATTTCTTATTTCGATATATTGTTCCAGTTCTATGCTAACCATCTTCGACTGTTTTTTATTATACATTTTTCTGATTCATCTTTCACAACTTATCTTGTTTCTCTCTCTAAATGGATTGAGTCTAGAGGGCAATTCAACAGCCTCTACTAATTTTATATGAAATGATCGTTATGTTAAACTTGTGACTGTTTCTTTGCGAGGTTTTTGATTAATGCTCGGCTGACTATTTACATCGACCTGCATCATCGTACCGTTTTTTAGATCGCAGGAAAATAGATATTGTTTATATATTATAAGTGTTAGGTATTTTCACTCTTACATCTCAAAAATTACTTGGCTAAAGATATGTTTTAAACTAATAAATGTTATCCAAAATGAAATTGGAGAAACTCGAAAAATGAAAGTATAATAATTTCATATAATCATAGACAGAATATTTCCTGTTCACTTACAAGTAGTTCAGTTGTACCATTTAGTTTCATAGTGCAAGAGCCTAACGGTATCATAGAATGTGCTAAAGAAATATCTTTATTCTCGAGTTTTTTCATATACCGTAACAATTCAGTCTCTGAGTGAAAAGAATTGAATACAGGATGTGTTAAATAGCTATGTTTACGCATTAAATTAGGATATCTGTTGATAGCGAAAATTGAATGTTCCTAAAAAAAAAGAACCCAAGTGCATAATTTTAAAGACTTTAAATGTGTGCATTTAATAAAACAGCGATAATAGAAACTATCCATTCTACATACAAAACACACCAATGGCTTGTGAATAAAGCGATAATTTCACAACAAAATGTTTTGATTACCCAATTCAAACGTGTGCGTTGAGGAGCTAATTATCGGATTGATATGAACAGATATGCCATAAATTATACAACAATTGTACCTCTAAATAAATTGCTCTCTTAAAATGAATAGCGAAAATCATGAAAATATAATGATCTTTGTAACTATTTATAGTATTGATCGATTAATATGATTTTGCTATAATGACTTTTGTTAGATTTTCTGATAAGTACCTTTTTCAAATTAGTGCTGCCTAAATAATCTTTTTCTTTTTAGAGTGATAGCAACGTTATCATATAGTTACTTAGAGTGATACACAATCAGTTTTAACTCAATTTTTCTTGCAATTAAGTGTATAATGGCAAAAAGCAACCATTACTTAAAAATAAGGACAATTCTATGGAATCCTTGTAATATTGAATGAGTGACTAATAGCTGACTATGTCTTATTATTATTTGTTTTTTCATCGTAAACTTGAGTAGAAAAGCGTGTTTTAGACAAATTGAACAATGTTATTGTGTAATGAAAATAAATATCAATTACAGGTACAAAGACGCAGAGTTTAAAGTAGTTCTTTACGAATAAACCATCAGCCGAAAATTCGAGGGTAAACATACAAAAAGATTAGATTTTGACTGGCAAAAGCTTCGGTATGCAGTAAAAGTGTACTGCAATATTATAGTTAATGAACTTTTAAATAAAAATGTATGTTCATCATAATTATTCTATGGTTGATCCATAAACTGCAACTCTTAACAATTGAAACTTGTAACCCGTAAAATCAAACGGTTAGCCCTGACTAAAATATGAATACATATTATCCAAAAATAACTTTGTGATTATAAATTATATTTGGTCGGGATTCTAAAACCAATCTTGGAAAACCTTAAGTAAATTAAGTTACCTTAGGCTTCACTCGAGTTGCTCCGAAAATGTACATTAGGTCATTAAAATCTTCACCAGTTAGAGTTTCATCTATTGATAAACCAACCTGAATAATAGAGAGACTATTTAATAAATATACGTATAATTTAAAGTGATCAACTCGAATGCATTTTATTTCTTTTTGTAAACACCTAATTAAAAACCCGAGATAGTTAATAATAAATTAAACAAAAAGTTTAGTGTCTGATACTTCATTTTGCCCGTTTAGAATCTGTTTGAAGCACTAAATAATTAAACCTAACAAATAACAGGCACACAATCTAGTTCTGTATATGAAGTTAAATGCATTTTGAACAGGTCAGTTTTAATTTTTCGGAACATACCTTTAACTACTTTAGATTAACGAAGAGCCAAAAGCTTTCTTGTTGTTACAGCTACACTTTTTATGATGAGCACCAATAATTAGAAAACTCTGGTTCATGGCATTGTGTCGATTGCGAGAAAAAAATTCGAGAATAAGCGAGTTGGAAATCACGCATATAAATTCTTCTAGCCCATATAAATCAGTTATTGTATAATCGACTGATTGTTTTGGTAATTGAGACATAAGTGATGTAGTCTCAACACCAAATAAGTAAACCTATTTTAATTGATTCGATAAAATGTACCTAGTTGAAAACAAGTCTCTTTTAATTTGAAATGAATCAGGAGCCTAGTAAATAAAGGATTATCATCCAGGACTGAAAGAAAAAAACATGCAGTGCAAAAAGTTTCTAGCAATAAAAAAGACATTTTTCTTGTCATGTTAGGTCAGTTGTATCCTATCAAACAAATAAAATAATCTAACTGGTTCAACAATCTAAGGGGGGACTACAGTATGCTTATTTTGGATTTTTAAAAGAAAACAACTTCTTAAAATCTATGATGAAACTAAATCAATGAATTAGCATTCAATACATGTGAAGCCATCGATTTAAAACAAGAGTTATGTGCTGAGATGTTTCACAAAACATGAATTACGAGCACGAAATTCACGCTGGTCAAACACTTTTTTTGATGGACCTAGTTATAAGACACGACAAAATTGGGTGTAGTGATGCTGTCCAGATGGAAAGCATCTCTGTTTCAAGACTTACAAACATGAGGATGAAAACCAAGTCTTAAAACTAAAAGAAGATAAGTAGACTAGACTAGATAGATCGTGAATCATATTTTACATATATCCCAGGCCCTATGAACATTTATTTAAAAACAAATAACAGGGTTAATTCTGGGTACGCGATATCTTGACAAGGTACAAATGAGCACAGATTTACTAAACGGAATGACCATTGTTAATACTTCCAAGACTTTTGAAGATTAGTGTTACGAGATTTTTTATTAAAAAGTTATGATTAAACATGGAAAAATTTAACTTGGGAAGCAGTCATATAAAAACAAATTCGAATATAGCTACAATATTATAATGGTATTTTTATTATGGATATCCAGCTCCGCTTAATATCTCTTCTAAAACAATCTGTAGTCTTTTTGAAACTATTTGAGATTTTTTTGGATCACTCCAAACTTTCTTAACTGAAAATTATCAACTTTCTTCTCGTAATCATCTTCTGAACTTTCATATTCATCCTAATTATATTAAAATCGATCACCAGGACCTGTTCTTTATGATTTACTTTGTCACCTCTTCTTTTTTTCGTTTTACTTATTTATAAAGTGAATTTTTTTCTACAACTGATGCCAATCGATTATTTGATGCTAATTCCTTTGATGTGAACAGTATTATATGCATACATTTGAAAGAAGAATGTGCCATAGTCCAGTGACAGATTTTTACTGTAACAAATTTTGTTATACTAAAAAAGCAGTTCTATTCATAATAAAATAAAAACGATCAGTGAACTTCTGTCAAACAATTTCCTAAGATTTTTCCAGTTATTATATTTTGAACGTTCTGAAGGCGTACAACTGTAATTCGTAGCTTGTAGCCTTAAAATATAAGGGAAATAAGGTATGTAAAAGTTAATTCTGAAATCAACTTACTGCCCCACCGTCTGGATAGTATAAGAGATTTACTCGTTTTTCGAATGCCTTTCTTTGAATAGACTGAAGACAATTTTGTTTAGAATTCGGTAACACTTTAATTGTATCAAATACTGCAGTCTGATTGGCAATCTAAAATTGGTTCACGTGTAAAGTAAGTAAACAGGTTAATAATTGTAGATCTAAATACATCCGTTACATAGGGGAGTACATGAAGATTGATACTAGTTTCTTGTTAAATTTATTAATGTGTTGATTGCTTAATTTTAAAGATTTTAGCTAATTTCCCATCTCAAGTTATATGTAACCAGTGATGCTATGGGGAAACTTTTTAACCATATATCATTCCAAACAGTTGATCATTCGATTTTCGTACTTACTGAGGAGTTTGTTTTGTTTTTATGTATTTATCTGTTTGGAGAGTGTTTTAATTTTATATTTTACTAAGAACTATAAATGTTATGGCAATACAAAGAGGCTTAACTGTCGATCTATAATAGCTTATCACTGTAGATAAATACAATCAAAAGTATCTTTACCACTTGTTGTTAACTACAGTCTGTATGAGTAAAATTAAGAAGAAAATGTGATGCATTCACTAGTGACAACAAATAATTATCGTGGTCACATGCCACGGGAAACGAATGGTATTGAAGAATTGCTGAAACCTCTATTATTCTGCTAAAACCGTTAATTAGTCATAAGTTATAGGAATAAATTGAAGTTTAAGTGTTTTATGACGTTAAAAATTTATACTAGCAAATATTTGAATAGTCTAGGATGTAGAAAACTTCGACTCTGGTTCAGAGTCTATAAATTGTTTCTGAGTAATTTATTTACATTCGCATTAATATAATATCATAAAAAGGCTTTTCTTATATTCACATTGTCTAATAGAAAAATAGTCATGACTAAAATTCAACGATAAATGTTTCCCTTTACGTAAAATTTAGTTGTGCAGACAGATATCATTTCGACCATCCGGAAAGGTTTAGAAGGCAAAAATACTTATTATTTTCGGTCGCTAAGTTGTTACCAAATTTAGTGGATGAAGTTAGTTTACATCATAAATTGACATAAAATAGAGAAATATTGAAAACCAGTGAGCACTGGATAACTGTTTCATGTAAGAGTTGGACTTCCGACAAGTTACCACTTATAATGTCGCCAGAGATCAGACTCAGAACCATCAGTATTTTATTGAGGGGAGGGTGTCACGGTTCGATCAAGCAATTGAGGATCCAAAGGTCCAAACTCCCAATATCAGTGTTTTCGTGCTGATGTGACAAAAACTAAGCTGATACTATACAACCTTCACATATCTTCTTACAAACATGTTAGGAAACATTATGAAGCTGTACTGAATAAGGAGACTAATTAACCATAAATATGATTAGAAAACGACGACTACTCTCTAAGATGAATGATCACGAGGAAAATAATTATTCAAATTTGGTGTGACTCAGAAGGAATTGAGAAGCTGTCAATAAACTTTCATCGTAAAGTCTGTTTTGGATGAGCATCTACTGTTCGAAAGCACTTCAAAGAGCTGGGTATTGAAAACCTTCAATGAAATAGAGTACAACTATGTAGCAAATTTTCTTGAAACGTTAATCTGTATCTACAATTAAATTTTAAGCTTATTTTCAAAGTCCTCATGAGCGAAACGATAACTCAAAGTAATTAAAACCTTTCTGATGTACTTTTTACGGGTCTCATGGAGTTTCAACTAACCTTATAACCGGCATTTTCTAGAGCTGATACTAAACGTAAAGTGTTTCTATGGATACGTGAAGCTATTCGTTTTAATCCTTCTGGACCATGATAAACAGCATAGAAAGCAGCCATATTAGCAAGTAATGCTTGGGCTGTGCAGATGTTACTTGTGGCTTTATCTCTACGAATATGCTGTTCCCGTGTTTGTAAGGCAAGCCTATACGCAGGTTGGTTCATCGCATCCCTGTAATTAAAATATGTAAGACTGATTACTTTATCTGATATTGATTGAGTCATATAAAATAACACTCGAAAATGTAATCATAGTTAGCAGAAGGGAATAAACTTCCATTCATGTCTCCATCTAACACATAAGATGAGAAGAATCATTGCACATTAGTCATAGTATCTATTCAAGTAGATCTAAGGTTTTTTAGTTTAAAGAACTTCTTAGTATCATACGAAAATTGTTCATCATACATTAACCACTTATTTGATTCAATTGAAATATATACTATCATTTGATTCTGTTCTGGCATCCGTTGTTTAGTCAATGATCGTTAATTTTTATTTCTGTAGCAAAACTATTATATGAATTTCAGATAATAGATGATTTTATTACGCCCTGACTACATGACATAGCGCTTTTTTTTAAACCCCCCTAAATTTCTTGGAACACATCAGACATCTATGACACATTAAGATAATTTAATATTCCTATTAGATTTTATATTGTAGTGCATAATTTAGATCCATAGATAGGATTTTAGTAGTAATGTACTTATGAAACAAAGATTTCGCGTACTTTGCTCATCTTGATATTTTGAGCAAGAAAATATCTTCAACTGTTAAAATGTCGTATTTGTATAATATTTATGTAAACAGTTTTAAACGTAATTTTCACTACGACTTGATGACAATTGGACGAAAAATGGTAACTTTCAAAATCCTAATGACCATCAAGTTGAAATTGAAATTGTAACACACTGATGACATTGAGTGAGGTCCACTTTTTATCACAGATAACTGATGTTGAGAACGTGGATAACCGTATTTCAACTTAGTTATCTGAATACATTATAATGAAAGCGAGAATTCAAGGATTTTTTCTGAATTTCAAATGAGATCTCGGGTGTGAACTGCTAAGGAGCCCTAAGATGAAACAAGTTTCTGATACTTTCTGGCTTTTAAAGGTTCTCTAAATGAAGTCGACTGATGATGGATATTAGATTTAGAATATACAGAAATCTCCACAAAAACACCTTTAAACATCTCTAATTTTTCATCAGATTAAGCATTTAATTTTCATTATTCAAAAAATATTGTTAGCTTCATTTAAATGGAATACAATATATTCATGAACTTCAGAGAAGAGTAAATTTCAAATCATTTTGTATATACTATAGTTGATGGAAAAGCAATAATATGAACAGAACTATAATCTTATTAAATATCAAATGTTTCGGAGAAGTACATTGTTTACAGGACTGATTCGTTAAATAAATGTTACAAAACGATTTAATTAATCGTTTTATCTTAACCACATCTCATTCTCTGGTAATAAAAAGCATGAACTTTTTTATTTTAAAACTTTGTATGCACAACTTAATCAGATATAGAAAACAGAAACTGCTATCAAAGAAGAAAAAGTAAGCCATCGATGCACTGTAATAAATTCACTAAACATACTAAATACTTCTGTTCTATTCATGGTACTATGGGTGTATTTTGATAAAAAACTGAGAATAGCCCAGGGCAGAGTTCGATGGAGAATACTGGTGGGAGGCCTATGCTGCTCCACTAAGGGTAATAGACGTAAGTAAGTAAGGTTAAGAAATAATTACTACTTTTAGATAGTTACGTTTTGAATTACGAGTCACTTACTTAGAAAGACCGACTATTCTTCCTGGTAATAATCTGGTAAGTGCTTCAGTTGAGGAAATAAATGCTGCATGGGGTCCTCCAAAACCCATCGGTATTCCAAAACGTTGTGAAGATCCAACAGCTATATCAGCACCTAAACTTCCAGGTGATTCAATAAGTGTAAGAGCTAACAAGTCGGTCGCTGTGATGAGAAGCGTCTGAAATTAATAACAACTTTCATCAAGTGATAGATGAGTGACAAAATTAATCAGATCTAGGATACTCTCATTGTCTATTAAAAAAACTATTCAGGTATTAAAAACAACACAGTTTTTACAAAATCACAAATTTCACTTTCACAGAATAGATAATAAATAAAATCTTTTCGTTTGGGATATATAACCTACACTTCATTTAAACTAATTACACATGTGCATATTAATCTCGGTGATAGTATATCATTTATAAACGGAATAACCTATCAAGAAAGTCTTAGCACGCCAAAATAAACAATCAACGTTTTATTTAAGAATTTATTTATTATTTATTTGAACATATAAATATTGGTACAAAGGGGCACCAGATACATATGCGCCACACAAATCTCATTTGATTTGGGTGAGGGTTGTGATACTGCCCATAGTGATTCAAAATACAATTTAACGGACTTGTTACCAGTGACTGAGAGCGATGTAATAAAAATCGAACAATCACAAACAGACAATTTCAATGACGAAAGCTACATTTTCCTTCGACCGTTATTACAGGACCAGTGGTAGCAAAAGCTGAAAGCTGGTAAGTTGCGCGCTTAGTATAGTCTGATAAATACTATTACGAATTCATTTTGTGTAAACACTATTCTATGGTGTAATCTTTTCCTTCGGAAAATCCTAAGTATAGTCGCTAGTTTCCCTTATTAGTTTTACTTAAAATGTTTTTATTTGAATGATTAAAAGAGTAAATAAGATTTAAATCTGACCTTATTTGATTTCGTTACTTCAGCAACTGCACATATCTTATCATCCCATATATTACCTTCTGTATCTGGATACTGTAGTAGATATCCAGAGAACTGTCCAGTACTAATAATTTCTTTTGCGTGATCGACATTGTCTATGGAAATAACTTCAATTTCAATACTAAGATTCCTAAAGAATAAATAGATAAACTACATTAAAAACCATTAATTATCGACAAAGACATTTACCAAAAGAACTTGTCAAAAGTTATTCGGTAATTTTTTTTTCTACAATTAGGTTCTGAATTACAAGACAAGATATTAGGACACTTACTAAATAAAAAGCTCTAATGTTAATAAGTCGATTTTTATTAATTTACATGTAAAAGTCGTAACAGACTTCTTCATACTTAAGATTAGAAGACTGTGGAAAGTTAAGATATCATTATCAAGTATGTGCAATTTTAAAAAGTTAAAATTATGCTTTCACTATCCATTTGCTAGTCATAAAACACATTACTGAACTACACACACGAGTTAATAAAGATCTTGACTGTCATCGCCGATCAAAGTTAGACCACCATTGAAAACATGAAAGCACTGGATGGCTGTTTCGTCTTAGTATGGAACTCCTCGACAATGCCCATCTACGACCCACTAGCCGGAAACCGAACCCAGGATTTTAACGCTTGACCTCTAGACCACTGAACCCGGAGTTCCAATAATTGTCTGACTGTGATCGATTTATAGCTTCAATGAAATTCAACAATCTCCACAACCCGATACTGTCACTTAATTTCAAAGCTTACAGTTCAAAGTACCAGATGAAAAATTAAACAAATTCAAAATGTGCACATTATCGACAACCGAATTCTACCGACTATCATGCACCAGTCTTCAATAGTATGACCTCATACAATTACGCCAAGCCACCCTAGTTTTAATTATCTAATACCAACGTTTGATAATATACAGTGAGTAGTGTTGCGAGTTATGGTATAAACTATTATATATCTAAATATTTCAAAAAAAATCGGACAGGTCATATGTTCCCACAGAAATTCACTAACAAAAGTTAATAAGAATAAAGAAAATTCAGCGAAGAAAATCTTCTTCTCGACGGAATCATTTACTTAAGCTGTACATTCATATTTATAGTTAAATGAAAAATATATGTCTATAGAAGGATTGATTCGAGACTCTTATTATCAAATAAGGTTACGCAATAATCAGAGAGTTAGAGAAGAATATAATGCTGAAAATCAGTTATAGGTCAGATGATAGTCCCATTGACAGATATGTAGAAAAACGACAAAAATAAAGGTCATAATTATAAAGATTGAATAATAATCAAGAAAAAATGTAGAAGGCAATAATAATAATAACTGATTAGATTTTAAAATTACAAAACAATAGTTTAAGAAGTCAATAGTGATCAAATGAAAATGAAGAAAGAGGAAGAAAAACTGAAAAATACCAATAAAAGGAAATTAGGGCCAAGGAAGGATGAGAGGTTGGAAGAACCGCTTTTGCACGCAAAGTTTGGGCTTGAGTTCGTGAATTGACAATACCTCAGCAGTGCATAAAATATCGATTCGAATTCCCTTCGATCTAATTCCTTTGACTATGTAGATTACTTTAAAAGAAGACTTCTTTCGAGCGATGTGTCCACAGTTGATTGAATGTTTCTGTATAGAACTAGTAATTCTTTTACATTCTCCTTTTAAAAGCCATGCCGAAAAGTGTTCTGACATGCGTTTTGAAAGTGATCGCATTGTGCGATCTAGAGTAAATTTATAATGCAATCATTTTTATCCATCTATAGACATAGATTTTTCATCTAACCATAAAAACAGATGTACAGCTTGAGTAAAAGATTTTGTCGAGAAAAAAATTTACTCCACTGAATTCCCTTTATTCTTATTCAATGACACAATGAGTTAATTTAATAGAAGTTAATTAGGACATGCTTCATCCTTGCGTTACACAACTTCAAATGTTCTGCCGTTAGTTTCTCAACTGAAGGCAAATAAACAATAGGGTGCAATATTATACACATTTTAATGTATGGTAGATTCGAGTGCAGGGCTGTAGGTAGCACCAGACAACTTTTCAGACTAATAAAACAAACTCGAATTTAGAAGTCATATGTAAATGAAACCATCTCGGAAAAGACAACACTGTTATATGTTCTCAGCCCAGACGTTTAGAGTGGTGGGTGGAACACTTTAAGGAGTAGTTCAGATGGTATTCAGCTACTCTACAACGACCCACCATTTCCAAACAGCCTGAATGGAACATTGAAGTAGGTCCCCCGAATCTAGCTGAAGTTCAAAAGGCTATAGCTAATCTGAAACGAGGAAAAGCAACTGGTCCAGATGGATTGGCTCCAGATGTCTTTAAATATGGTGGTCCAATTCTAACGTTTAGGTTGACTAATATTTTAGCTAAAATCTGGGAAATGGGTGTAATCCTATCTGACTGGTCGCAATCACTGATCGTCTTAATATATAAGAATGGGTCAAAGTCATCCTGTGATAACCATAGAGGGATTAGTTTGACTAATACCGCATCTAAAATACTAGCCTCAATAATTATCGGGTGCCTAACAAAGACTCGTGAACTGCAAATGCAGGAAAATCAGGCTGGCTTCAAACCTGGTGGTGGCTGCATCGACCACATATTCACAATTCGTCAGTTTTTAGAACATAGGCATGCTTATTGGGGTCAGACAATGCGTTGACAAAATGCAGAATTTTCTGTTAGTAATGAGTAACAATGCAACGATGTTTGGGATGAGTTTCTCCTCCCTCTAAATGCAAGTTGTTGCTCCAGGACTGGCCTGCGTCAATACCTGAACTAAGCATAGGGAATGACGTAGTCGAAGCGTGAACAACTTCACTTATCTTGAAAGTTTGATCAGCCCTAATGGGTTGGTGTCTGACAAAATCTCTGCACGAATTCAGAAAGCTCGTTTTGCTTTTGACAAATTACGTCACCTATGCTGAATACGAGATATCCGTCTATCAATTAAGGGACGAGTATACTGAACAGCAGTTCGCTCTGTTCTACTTTACGGCTGAGGAACATGGTCATTAAGAGTAGAAGATACTCGTAAGTTACTAGTATCTGACCACAGATGCCTTAGAAATATTGCTCGCATCTGCTGGGATCACCGGGTAAGTAATAGTGAGGTTAGACACAGGGTATTAGGGAATGATGATAAATCAGTTGATGAGGTCATGAATCTTCATCGACTGAGATGGTTGGGCCACGTGTTACGTATGCCCAACCACCAATTACCACGACGCGCTATGCTGACTAGTATTGGCGATGGTAGGAAGAGAGTTAGGGGTGGCCAAACCAAAACGTGGCATCAGTCCTTGAAGTTACTAACGTCTACTTTGAGTCATGTTGGTAGATGCAGACTACTTGGTTGGGTTCCGCGTGACTATCGAAACCAATGGTCAGAGACCGGGCGTTCATCTTGTTGTGCTAATGAGGTATGGAAACTTGGACTTGATTTCCTCGTAAAAAATTTGTTGAGCAATTACATCTTCAAAGAATAGAACTTATCAACGGAATGTATTAACTAACTATAGTACATTATGTTTACTGTAATTGAGATTTTGGTGCGTCACATAATTTGTCATTGCAAAACATGAAATTTCAGATGTTTGTATATGTGCCATAAGTCTTGAAGAGTTTAGATGTTTTAACTAGAGAATATCTCAAATTATGAAACACTAAAAACGGTGTTGTTACTAAGCTAATCAACATATTTTGAGAAAATTGGGAATAAAATTTATGTATGACAAAAAAACCACTCACAATTTTAGTTTCAAGTTCCACTTACTTTGCTCTAGATGTGACGACATTAATAGTTTGTGGATGACATCTCCTATCGAGGAGAAACCTTTTTCTGTTTGTATATCTATGGAACAAAAATAATCACAAGAGAGACCGAATGTAACATAGGTACACAGTTGCTGCTAAACATACACTTTTGTCATTCTTAAAAGTAATGGATACATGAAAATTTTCTTTATCGAAATAAGGTTTACATTTTTATTGTCTATTGCAAAAGTTTCGAGTCCTTTGGTTTACATTACCTGAGTTGTTATTTAAGGATACACTACGAACTTGGTTGATGAACATCAAACAACATTGCACAAAATGATACTATTTAAACTGTGATATTTTTTCACCTATTTACCTAAAACGTAAATCATATTTCACATTTAAAAGAAACAAAATTTTTTATTAGCTTCTTAATAATGTGGAATATCTTGTATAAAATACAAGAACCTACCTGACTGCCAAACACATAGCTTCTGCAGATGCTGTACCTTCATCCAACAAAGATGCATTTGCTCTCTCCAAACCCGTTAAGTCTGATATCATTGTCTGATAATTAAATAGTGATTCTAAACGACCTTGGCTTATTTCAGGTTGGTATGGTGTGTATGAGGTGTACCTGCAAAATGAAGGTTTGTTGAGGGGTGAAGATACAGAAAAAAATTCTTATTTGGGTTTGGGGTTTGAGGATTAGCTATTGGTTGGTAGTTGAGTTGGAGTGAGACTAACTTCTGTGAAAAATTATCAGGTAAATTGATTCGAAAATTGACAGTATTATTTTGATGTTACATAATGGTACAACTGATGTGAAAGGAGTCAGTGAAAAATAAAAACGGGACAGAGAAATTTAAGTGATGAAAATTGAAGCATATTAGCTGAGTTACGCTGATGGTTTAACGTATGATATCTAACTCTATCCGTTGCCATTATAAATAAATAATTTTCAACAGATGTTTGTTGAACATAGATCTATTTAAGTCAAGTTCTTGTCGACATATAATCAAATGATTATTAACTTATTACACCCAGGAGTAAAATTTTCTCAAAGATTTACAGAAGCTACCAGTAAGATCAAATGATACTCTATAACTCGGATATATGTTTTTAACAGTTATAAAGGAATTTTCTACACCAAATTGAAATTTAACGAAAAACGTAGTATGAAGAATGATTGTCGCGATCATGTCCAATTTTAGGCCTACACATTTTTCCTCTGCGATGATCGTTAAAAACAATTTTGATCAGTAATCAGATTCACGTCGTTGTTCTTGAGTCACGCCTTTAAAATGAAGGCCGTCAGTACTAACTATCTGACAGCGTATCACACAAGCCGGTATTGGAATTCACATAGTAATCTATATCAATCTTGTCGACTAAAATATGTTCAGCAATAATCATATTTATCAACATACATCTACAAACTAGATTATTTACACCATAAGTTTTCTCGTATTTTTAAAAAAGAAATCATGAATTTGATTCTCTGCATTTACAAAAAAGTTTTCCCCACCGATCTGTTCGCGTTATTTCTGCCTAACACCAGATAAATACAGTTTCTAACTAGCTTAATGAAGTACTCCCAAAGTGTATTTCGCGTTTTACTCAGCAACGTCTATTTCCAAATCCCAAAACGTCTATGCCCTGGCTATTCAACTGAGATATCAGTAGCGGAATCTACTTATTTTTATTATTATTGACAACTTTATTCAATATTATATTTTTGCTACAATATAGAAGGTATTTCAACAAGTTTCTTTTGCAAACAAAAATAAAAAAGTAAAAGAAACTGATGACTGCGTACATATACAAATTATTTGAGTAGATAAACCACCCGGAATTAAATGAAATGTTGTTTCTAAGATTTGAATCTGTACAACCTTTTTTAATTAGAAACATGTTTAGAAATACAAGTTATTAACTAGTTTAACTCTAACAACTTGTTTGCCACACAATATACTTGCTGATAAGGTAATGTAGAACTATTACACTTTCTCTTGCGTGCATGGATTCTAATGTATTGACGCCTCGTTCGACAAGAAGATATACAAGGAAAAAGATGTGACTGAAGTGGATAGTTAATACCTGATAAGATAACACTTTCCAGGAGTTCGCAAGACTGTAGATGTATATCCACAACCTCAAAAGATTCGCCACACACCCTGCTAACTGCCTTTAGAACTCTCTGCAACACAAAAAAGTCTTTTCTCAAAATCTCGGGAAAATAATGGAAAACAGTAAAGAATAGTAGGTAATATGCAAGAATTGACAAATTGTAAGAATAAATGTCGATTAATCCTAATAGCATGCAGCCTCTTTATGTGGTAAGTCAGACGAAAAACTTTCTTCGATAGCAGCAAAACATGAGAAGATGAAGAGAGATCAGAGGAAAAGGCGGAACCAAGATAATTGACTTTCATCATTGTGTCTATCAAAGAATATCCAGTGGTACAAGCATCATGGGATTCTAACACGGTGTTTAGGTGCTGTTCATGTCTCAGGCTAAAGTTAACAGATTGCCGGATTAAGTACGAGACTATTAATAACAGACCACCATTCAACACAAGACAAAAACTCGTTCATTTCTATGAAGTGTAAAGAGGTACGAATTGGCATACATACAGTGAGGTCATCCGTGTATTTCACAAAAGTGTTTTCTGTGAGAGATGGCAGATCATACAGAAAAAAAGAGAAAGAGACGTGAAAGAACAGCTCCTTGTGGCACACCTTCCTGAGACAGTATGGACGTCGAACAATTTCCTACAAATACAGTGTACTGTTCTCTTCCAGAGAGGTAGGGACATAGCCAATTGGTTATCCAGCTGTCAGTGTTGACGCTGATCAACTTGTTAGGTAAGAGGTGTCATGGGATAGAGTTAAAGGCAGAAGCGTAGTCCAGAAAAGCACACCGAATATGCTTCTTACCCTTTCCAAAGCCTAACACTATATTGTGGTGCAGAATAGCAACGGCATCTAAGGTGCTTCCTTTGCTTTTGTAAGCAAACTGATACGGATCACTGTGCTCTTTTAATGTAGGTTGAAGTGGGAGTATTAATAATTGTACCATTGTTTTGAGGAAAGGTGGAGTTATTGCTATGGGTCTATATTTCACATTTTTATCATCAGATACTTTCTTATGTATAGGGATTATCTTTATCTCCCTCCATATTTTCGGTATGAGGTTAGTTGACAAGGATGTGTTAAAATATCCGTGAATGAACAACATAGAGCGTCAGCACATTTTTCAAAAAAGAAGGTTTAGGGTTCCATCAGGTCTCAAACATTGGGATGAATTAAGTGACTGGAGACATTTTCGGACATCCTTCTCAGTGAAAATCGGAACACAACTATTCTTCGAACCCGTGGGTGGATATATGGAGCATGACATCAGATAACTGACATACGAAAGACTTAAGTCGCAAACATCCAGCTGGTTATCGCTTCTAATATGCCTCTCACCTGTAAGTTCTTGAAACAGTTTCCACATACTTGGAGAGTTTTTACAAAATAGGAGTTTCTGAGAAAACATTGAGTTCAGACGTCTCATCTCTTGGTTTGTTAGATCATTTAACTTTTGAACTTGTTAAAACTTGTGACCTGAATTCCCTGTTAATGCATAACGTGATAATACCGCCAATTAGAGAGCAGTGAATTATCGATCGGATCAATGACACATAAAACCCATACGAGCAGTCTAGAGTACTTATCGGTCCTGATTTCTGCCTAGCCCTGCCAGTTAAGTCCAGAACACTAATCTCAGCCTCCGTGGCATGAATCATTTATTTCAAGCATACTGGGTTTATATACAAAACAGACGGACTACATCGTACCATGAAATAAAAAAACATTTGCAAAAGATTTAGCCAAATGTGGCTGTGAATAAGGGAGATAGTAATCGATAGACAGGCCACAACTCAAGAATGGTAGATCGTGTAATAATAGTTCGTAAGTCGAAATAAAACTCATAATAACAGGGACATGAATTTGAATAGTTTAGTTATTTAACAATTATACGATAAAAATATACGCATAGTACTGGCCCATAAATAGATCCCAAAGTTACCATTCATTATTCATATCGGGACATAACAGAACTTCAATGAGGTTTTTCTCCTCCAACATTCTTTCTTTTACGCTCTGTAATCACTTTAGTTGTGGAGATGTAAGTCGATCAAAACTCGGAATAATAATTTCAGTGGAACAACAAGTATTAGAACAGAATTTAAGATAACAGGTGACAACATCAACGGTGTTTTCCAATTAGTTACTTGTAAATAATTCCCAGTTTGTCGTACGAAACATGCTTTTCAGATTTTGGACATTTTCTTCTGAGTAATTCCTGTATTTGACTTTCTTTGAGTGATGTAAGAGTTTAATTTTTCAAGCGTATCATATACTTTAGGTAGAGCACGGATTATACAATGATCAGAACACGACCATGGAGGACGCTTACAAGTCACATTTACACCCACATTGTTATTCATGAAAACTAAGCCTAAATGGCCACCCAAACGAGTAGGGAAATCTACTACATTTTGGCGACCTAGTGATGAAAGGAGGCTGAAGTCACATGAATTAAAATCACCACATACAATTGAAAGCAAACCACTGAAGGCAGTAATAGCAAATTCAGTGGATTTGTCAGCGAAAACAGACAGTGCAGATGAGTATAACTGGCGGCCTGCTTAAACATCTGGGCTACCTGTTCCCCGTCATCTATATATTTCAACAAGTCATCTAATATTGTTTGTTTTAATACATAATTATGGCTATTAAGCACACAAGCTATTCCGGTGCGTTTCTGAAAACTGTACAACCTTTCGCTGTAAATGTTACAAAAGGCCTAATCAGAGATGTCGTGTTTGCTGGGAACATGCAGCAAAAAGAATATACATTATTCATATGTCGATTGACTGAACTGCTGACATCCAACTGGCGATCACTGAATGTTTATCATCAGGAGCAACGAAGAAATAAGAAACGTAAACATGTTGAAATACTTTATGCTGAGAATTCGATTTTGTACCAAGTAATATAATATTGAATAAAGCTAATAATAATAATAATAATAATAATAATAATAATAATAATAATAAATGTGCAGTCTGGAGTCACGTATATGTTGATAACATAAACATAATTGTATTTATTTAAGTGTTTTGGACGGGGTGTTAAGTTTAAACGGTCGATTAAGTCGTTTAAAAACTTGAAACATGCACAGGTAGATCGACACCAGTCCTCGCTTACAAACGTAGCTAAACCGCCGCCACACCTATTCTTATTGCTTGATCAATCCTGTTGATAGATATTGAAATCTCGTAGTAATATTAAATTAGATTATTTAACCAAGATTCTTGAATTATGATTACATCGCAATTACGATACATTTTTAGATTTAGTAGGATAGTTCACCTTGCCAATTAGTGGTTGGCAGTTAGAATTTAGCAGTTCAGGAATCGACATCTGTTCAATGTTTATTCTCTTCAGTACATAATGGCAGCCACCACAATGTCTTTCACTGTACTTTTCTGTACCTTTTAAAATGATAGAATGTAAATTTTTCATATACACACCTGAATAGGTTATGCAATTAATAGACATAATAATGTGTTAAAAGGAAATAAAAAAGATAACTTGTTGAAATACCTAGGTGATAGAAACAGGTAGCCCAGGTAATCAAGTAGGCCGCTGAATAATGGTCCAAGACTATGAAACTGGTTGGGATAGGTTCCAATCCCACAGCACTCATTAGTTCCCTCAAAGCTGTAGGTACAAGTTGATATACAAGGTTTTCTACCTTCGACCACCTAACGTCAAAACAGTGCTAACAATATCAAGTCATTAAAACTAACAGATAGAATTCAATCAGAATTGAAGATTAGACAAACGTTAATCGGTTGATACTCAATGATTAATCGACACAAATGTAACCTAATTCACAAGTGAGCCTTCAGCTTGTTAATTAGGACTAAGCAATATCATTCTCTTGATCGTATAATTGCCAGCTGGTCAAACAAATGAACAGATTTCCGGATTTAAAATAATTGAGATATTGGAAGTAAATTCTATATATTCTTCAATAGAATATTTAGGTTAAAAATATTGTAAAACATATTGGAAGGTGGTAATAAATTAAAACAACATAGCGGTTGAAAGTAGCAAAAATATATTAACATACCAACCGGGATTTTCAAATATGTTACGTTGTATTGTAGATGGTGTTATAGTACCATAATATCCTTGCCCGATATAAGAACGCCAAACTTCATTCTTGTTCATGAGCAACTTTAAACGCCTGATGAGTTCTGCTTCACCTTAAGTTTATGAAATAATAGTTACGAGTGACATGAACGGAATTAATTAAAAGCAATTTTAAAATCAGCAGTAATAGAAAGTACACTAAGTTTTATGTTCTTTTTAAATTTCGTCTGCTATACCAGTGGATTTTTATTAATATGATCTGATTATTGAAACAACAATTAATACGGAGGTAAAGAGTTTTGTGACGATATATGAATACTATTGAGGCAACCAGTGAAGGATTCTAGGACAAAAATTGTTTATATTCTGATTACTAATTGTTAATAGTAATGTGGCTGAAACCCATACAGAATACAAACTACCTAAAAGCTACTTCAACTTTCTTGGATTGACCTCTTCAACCGGTGATCATCCTGAAAACTAGTCACATTACTATAAGTAAACCAAAACAATCCTAGATAAGTTTAATGAAATATTTTTATTCAACAACAAAATATGTGGACAAAATCTCCGAAAACCAGCATTTCTAATTTTGTCTAAACATTGTTTAAGTTCGATGAGTGGATCGGCAAATGAATGGGTTAATGATTCAGGGATTCATCTCAAAATCACTGAGAGATTAGTTTAAACTAAACCTAATTAAGTTTCACCTGAGACAGCAACACACTTATTTACACAGTACTTATTAATAACTACTCGGAATTTGAGCCAACATATATCTAATGAGTTGTATTTAATTTACTTTACTATTTATATTTACAAATGTATTCTTTAAGAACCCAAGTTCCATGTTTCACTCATAGATAGCAAAATAACTGATTTATCCTTAATAAATACTCCATACATACTTGTTTCATTTTCCAATTTCAAATCCCTTTGTAATAATATACTATCTGGTATTACTTTGGATATGAAATCTTCAATTTTCTAGAGAAAAGCAAACAAAGCAGTAATTGGTACAGCCCGATATTAAAACGAAAAAGACAATTTTTAAATAAAAAATAATTGTCAACAAGAGCAAGAACTATAAATAACCCCAATATTTAGAAATTAAACTATATCTTGACTTGTTCAATGGAAATCAGTGATTACCAGTGTGAAAATTTGTGAAATTAAGATGTGAATTAGACAACAAGCACACTGTGTTTTGGAGACTCACAGCAGTTTTTTCATATGTACAAGGACTATAACTAAAGAATATGTAATAAATTCTAAATTACTTGTCAATTTTTTTGCCACTAATATGTAATTGGACAAAAGTACTACTCCTTTATATGTAAATAATATGTGACCACTTATCCAACAGTCTTAAGATGTTAGGAATAACGAAAGATCATGAAACGCGACATGTAGGGTTTATTGTTTATAACTCAACTGTAGGAATTCTCAATAAATACCTAATTTATAACAATTATAGCTTTAACTACTATAAAAATTCTGTTACAGCGAGGAATTCTCAGCATCAATTGTGCAATATTACCATAAATTTCGCTTTAAAACACATTCGAATTGTAATCAATCAAAAATTATTTTCCATAACCGTATTTCCAATAGTAGGTATCTTTAACTTATCTTTAATGACGAAAGCTTACCATCAGTTCTGATGCTACAACAATTTTCTGCCCATCAAATATTGGGTTCCTGAATTTGAATATATTTCTCTTTTATTTCAAAATTTAGACAAAGTGGAGAATATTGTCAAGGTTAGTGTTTGATTTAAGATTTCTAATATTTACCATCACGGTAGGATGCAACCCTTTCACAACATTGCGCGAGTACATACAATTAAGTTTAAACAAATCTAAAACAGGAAGGTTTATGATAATATTTATAAACTTGGGAAACAGATGCCCAAACATTTGAGCAGGCCAATGTTATATTAGGATCTCACTTTTTGATCAACATTAGTAAAGCACGTGACTGAAGTTTTGTTTGATGAAATAGAATATTAAAAATACTGAAAAACGAAAATTTTCTTCAAGGAGCTGAAAGATGTGGTTTTTTGAAACAAACTATTCTAACCATAAGTCTTAATTTTGTTGTAACTGTTAGTGAGGTCAGAAATTTAATTGAGAAAATGTAGAGAGTAAACTGCATGAGAATAACGTATTGATACCAATTACTTTGACTGATTCTTAATGAGACTTTTTCTTTAAGATGCTTCCAGTCAAAGTTTTGTCTAAAATACTATAAAGTTAAAAAAGCATAGTTTCAATCCCTTTGCCTTTGTGTGTCAATGATTTTTAGAAACAACTGTACAATTCAGAAGTAGCAATAAGTTACTAATGGTCGCTTCAAACAATTCTCTTGTACTTTAGCTGATCAAAGTTATCGCTTAATGAACTTCTCAGTGGTAACTGTAAAACAACTGTAAACAAGGACGACTCATCAAGAAAAGAGAGTTCATAATTTCATTCATTTGTGTGGAGGTCAGTGTATGACATGGTGTCGTGGCATGAAATAGAGCTGCAAAGGGCTAGCTTCCGTTGGTCCTTCACGACTCCCTGGTTGAAGTCCGAGAGATAGTGCAACACAGTGGCTAGAGACGTTATCAGATATGGCTCAGAATAGAAGCCAGTGGCGATCCTGCTGCAACCTTCTTTTACTTTCTTCATAAAGAATGGTTCTAACTTTCCTAACTGAAAGAGTCTTCTGGTTGTACATTTCAGTCCGCCTTATCTTTTCATCCCTTCTCTTAATACTTTCATTATTTTGTGTGGCGCATATGTACCTGGTGCCCTTTTGTACCAATATATACGTGTTTAAATAAATAAAAAATAAAATAAACATCAAGAAAACGAGAAGCCAAAAACTCCTATCGCTTGAATTTCACCTACATCAACTCAAAATGATTTAAGAAAAGGAATTGAAGTTCAAAATTTGCCAACAATACCCATACTGTCGTGTTATTACTTCAATAAAACTGGGGTGCTTCGTTAAGTCATGTGTAGAATTCAGTAAACTTAGGTTATCTAACTGTCGACTTTCTAATTATTATCATGAGCTCAAAACTACCGAATATGCTATGTATGGTCAAACTAATGTCATCTTACCTTAAAAATAACGGCTATATATGAAACGAAAATATATTTAGCTGAGAATTAGACAAAATTGGTTTTGTTTGGTGCACAACATTCATTTTACAAATACACTTAACAAAACGTTCGCCCGGGGTTTCATATCTGACTTTTTGGGATTGTGTGTGGATATGTCATTATGAATTTGTACATCGAAGCTCAACAAGAACACTGATAACTAGGAATCGTATATCATAGAAATACTTCTCATGTACGGGTTGTGAATAATTATTAGGTTAAATATCTGGTCAATTAATATGCACAGAAAACAAACAATGAATATAAGCACTGTTTGGCAAAACAAATAAAATTCAATATGCTGTCAGAAGTAGAGTGTAATGAATAGCCGTAATGATGGATCTACACTGATAACACTGGAGTAAAAAACCGAAATATTTGTCAAGAATTCATACCAAGGAATGAAATCACCTATATGACTTCTATATTTACGTGAGTAAAGCACAATAACATAATGTTTTTGTTATATCATAAAGTTACTTCCTTCTGGTCTACTCGTTGACCAGGCCAGACTAAAACTTCTTTTTAACTAATCTTGTCTAAATGGCGTACAGTGAACGGATGGAAATTTCGTTATCATAAAACTTGCTAGTGAACGTCAAAATATTAAACACCGATGGTTTCAGAAGGGGTTTTGTGGAGATTTTAGTAATTTTATATAGTTGAGATCATAAATCGATTGAAGCTAGACCACCATGGAAAACCTGGAAGCACTGGACGGCCGTTTCGTCCTATTGTGGGACTCTGTAGCAGTGCGCATTCACGATCCCACCTCGTGAGATTCGAACCCTCTAATGTTCGATTATCGTCTGGTAAATATTCACTTGAAATGAATATCAACTTGCATTACATGGACTTTACACTAAAATTTTATTAGTTAACTTATTACAGTTATATGTCTGGATGTAACGGGATCAAAAGTCAAAATTACATTCTTTTACTCATTATGACTTTTGATTCAATATTACTTCCGTTTTTAATTCAACATGATGATCATTCGGGGTAGTATTTGTTTCTGTTTTCCAATGTGATATTTTATTCGATATGACATGATATTTTTGTATTAAAAATTGACATGAACTATGCTCATAATGACATGTAGCATATGATTTGTTATAACTCAAAGTATTTTTTCATATGTATGTGATTTTATTCTAATTAATAATCAAAATGAGTGTACGATCAATTTATATATGTGTATTTTCGACAAGGGTTGTCTTAGTGCTTTGAGGTTAATAAATCTTCACTTGTATCAGTCTTTGTGTTCTCACTTTAGTGTCGTGGAAATTGCAGTGTTTCCTCGTTTTCGAGCATAAGTGATAAGCGATTCCGACATTATAATCAGCGACGACCAGATATAACAAGGTGGCGTCCAATCTAAAAGATGTATCAGTTTATTTTTTTAAGACGAATCCCCCCTTATAAGTCTCACTTCATTAACTTCCATAAAAATACTCTACGTTTACATCATACCTGTATAATCATGACTTTTTATAAAACATGTGAAATTAAGTCCTAAAACAATTCAAATAACCTTTAAAAAAAACAATCAGCAATTAGTGCCAATTCAGCTGTCTATAACAAACTGATTTTTGTCTAGAATCTTAATATATTTTAAAAGCATGTGTTTCCACATCACACCGTAACACAAGAAATAAAGTATTCAATGAAGGTTTGAGATTGATTTCTTAAGATATTTGTCACCAACAGTTGTAAACTGTAAAAGATCGATACTACTGAGTTACGTTTGGACTAATAAATTCGTATCGAAATTCATTTGAGCAAACACAGAAGATATGAAAGATAACATTAAACAAGTAAATATATTTCGAATAATGACTATCCAACCGCATAAATTAGTTTTTTGTGCTTTTAATATGATATGTTTATCAAAATGTCAATTCCCTGTTCAGAAGAGATAGAGTTTTATTGAAGTGTGTTAGAGGTAAGCTGTTTCTACTGTAATCACAATTGCTACTGTAATCCATTTGCAAAACGTTACGAGATGGATTTCATTTTCACACAATTTTCCCTTTGGTAAGTTTGACTAAAGCAAGAACAACAAGCATAGTAGAATAGGATGAATTTGTTTATTTCGTGGATTCTCGTCAGCCGCTAACAACCTAGAAGAATAGTAATAATTATTTACAACTAATGTACATAGTTCATACCATATTAATGAAAATTAGTAGAATTGTTATATCCCCTGATGAATTATGAATGGTAACTCTAAGGACTATTTATCGACCAATGTATTATGCCTATTTCCTATTATACAATTGTTACGTAACTAAACTATTCATATTCGTGTTTCTCTTATCATGAGCTTTATTTTGATCTTTGATTTATTATCATACGATTCTTGAGTTATACTCAGTTATTGATTACTTTGGTTTGTATAAAAACCCAGTATGTTTGTAAATAATGATTCATATTGCCGAGGCTGTTATTTGTGTTCTGCACTCAACTGGCTGGGCTAGGCAGATAGCAGGGCCGATACGCAATCAAGACTGCTCGTACGATTTCAATCATCATTCGCGTCCGATCAGTAAAATACACTCCTCTCTAATTGCACGTTCATATATACTACGATCCCCATACGTAATAACAAGAATAACGACAAGTATGGAAAAATTATAAAATGGTACAATGAATGAATATTTATGCTACTAAACGTAAAATATCTAAAAGAAAAAAAATCCTTTAAACACAAGGATACACGTTTCTTGAGCAATAAAATTGATATCAAAGTTATGTAGTAACAACCCCAAAATTAGAGATTAACAGACTGTTACTTCTTCCACAACAGTTATTATTAATCCATTAAACTTCGTTAATATGATACAAAGTGTGTACATTGGTTGTAAATAAAAATTACTATTATTTATACGTTGCAAACAGCTGATGAGAATCCATAAAACAGATAAACTACTTGTAAAGTGTGATCGATAAGTAAACACACCAATGATAGGTGAAACGCTCACCACCGCACTAAATTCTTTGACCTTGTATGACTGTCTTTGTTTTATCCACCAATCACAATTTTACGTTCATTCTGAAACAATATTCCCCCTTTTTGACTTACTTTTCCTATTCTCCAGTTACTGCTCGGTATGTCATTTGTATTTCTCCCTTTCACTATGTAATAGACTGTTTATTCGCATACTAATGTTGTTAATTTACGTTTTAGAAACAGATAAAGTTTATTAAGCCAAATAGCTTACTTGTTTTGACTTTGGCGAAACCAAGACTCTGTATTCGACAGTTTAGAGAATAGCTTAAAGTTACACCTGTAGGAAATTGCTTCCTACAAAGTTTCGAGCAGTAAACTTCGATATACTTACTGAAATGGCTTCTAATAAATACTACGATCCCGATGATATTCCAGAGTTATCACCCCATCGTCTGGGAGTTTATGATGAGGACCAACTTGAAAAGGACAAACCCGAAACTAATAGCATGATAGAATTAGAGTTAGCTAGACTACGTATAACTCAGTTAGAAAAGTTACGTCGCCAGGGAAGTGAGGGTTTCGGTCGATCAATAAACAACAGCGAGGATGTAATATTAAAAAATCTGTATTTACCAAAAAGGGAAATCTTAAGATTCGATGGTACACCAATAAATTACTGGAATTTTATTAGAAATTTCGAGGAATGCATCGGATGCGGGAATATTGGATTTAGAGCTAAACTAAATTACTTGATTCAATATTGTGACGGCGAAGCGAAAGCCGCCATTCTTCATTGTGCTATACTAGAACCAGAAATAGGCTATCATCAAGCCTTAAAGCTTTTAGAAGAAACCTTTGGTCAAAAGCACATAATAGCACGCACGTTCATCGACAACTTGCTAAATTTTCCCAATATAAAAAGGAACCAACCAGTTGGTTTAAGAAAATTGTCCCGGGAAATGCAAGCATGCTGTTTGACTCTCGAACAAATGAATTACGTTTCTGACCTGAACTCTACCAGAACTATTGAAGCTATGGTTCTGAAATTACCGACGCATGTTCAACAAAAGTGGTTAAAGACAGCTTATAAGATTATCAGAGGAGGTCGTGAGCCTCTGTTCGCCGACCTTACTGCCTTTGTAAAGGAACAAGCCGATATGGCTAATACTCGATATGGATTACTCGTCAATCGCGGTAGTAATAGTGACAATAGGGATGTTGGGGTTTTAAAGGGTAGAATTAGTTCAGATTACAATGCAGCAAGGATATCTTATGCGAGTATTAATGATGACAATGTCCCTTCACTTAGTTCATTTTGTTTGGAGTGCTCAGGTAATCATTCTATAGATCAGTGTCAGAAGTTTCAAGACAAGAATGTTAGAGAAAGGAAAGAATTCGTTCTTAGACACAAGTTATGTAATGTTTGTCTGAAGGCTAACCATGTAGCAAAAAACTGTCGATCGCCGAGGTCATGTGTAGTTGAAGGATGCAGTTGGAGACATCATACCCTGTTACACGAGAAGCAGGAAGAACAGAGAGATAGCAATAGTGATGTTTACATTAATACTCAGTTCTGTACGGAGGGAAGTGTTAAGCGTATGCATAGACCAGTAGCATTTGAAGTGGTGCCTGTATGGTTAAAAAATGGTGAGAAGATTATTCAGACTTGCGCCTTGCTAGATAGTGGGTCAGATGCGTCCCTCATTGTTGATGATCTAGCTAAGGAGTTAAGCCTCGAGGGAAAACCGAAAACGGTGTCTTTAAAAACTATTGATAATGAATCGTCGTTGATATCCAAGGAGGTTGATGTAGAGTTGCACTCGATAGATTTTTCGTCATCTGTTAAGGTGCAGAAAGTGTTGACAGTCAAAAAACTACCGTCGGTTCACAGGACTGTGCTAACGGCAAATCAAATGGCAACCTGGTCTCATTTAAAAGATATAAGTTTTCCGAGAGTAAAAAACGCGAAAGTCAAACTGTTGATTGGGTGTAATGTACCGAATGTACACGAGATGAAAGAGATAAAAACCGGAAACACGAATGAACCGTCTGCCGTGAGGACTCTATTAGGTTGGACGTTGTTCGGTCCCTACGGGGAACTTCATGGAAAAAAACGTGTACTTAATTACCTCTCAGATAAAGAGGAATTAGAGGATAAGTTTGAACAATTGTACTCAACTGAATTCAAAGATCCATTTAGTTGTACTACGCCGATGGCTGTAGAAGACCGTATAGCACTCAGTGCTATATCAAATTCAGTGCAAAGGTTAAGTTGGCACTATCAAATAGCTCTGCCTTGGAGGCACGAACACAAGTTACCTAATAATAAGAAATTAGCAGAACGTAGACTTAGCTGTTTAAAAGGTCGACTTATTCGGGATACTAAGTTCCTCCAAGACTATACGAGCACTATGACTCAGTATATAGAACGAGATTATGCCGAAAAGGTAAACGATAACCACGTTGATGGACGAATTTGGTATCTTTCTCATCACCCTGTCTTTCATCCCAAGAAGCCTAACAAATTAAGAATAGTTTTTGATTGTGCATCTCAGTATGCTGGAACGTCTTTAAACAAGAATTTTTATTCTGGACCTGATTTAGTCAATAACCTAGTAGACGTATTTACCAGGTTTCAGCAACGACCGATAAGTCGTACAGCGGACATTGAAGCCATGTTCCATCAAGTAGTAGTTCCGATGCATGATCGAGATGCTCTTAGGTGTTAAGTCGGTTTCCAGAGAACTCCAACAGAGCCTCCAGAGGCTCAAAAAGAGCTCCAACCAATCAGAGCACGACAGAACATTCTGGAGTTCCAACGTGGCACGCTATCATTGGTCAGTAGCAATATATGTCGTTTATTGGATTGGCTGAATTAGGATGTTGATTTAACTTAAGCAAACATCTATAAATACTTACGATTTTCTGTACAAACCTGAACCTTGCAATAAAGCATCTTCTCGTTACTCGTGTCTTCTCTCTGGTCTTCAAGTCGCTGAGTAGTGCTAGCCTGGGGTTATCAGAATAGCTTAGGATCTGAATAAGCGTTCAACCCACAAGACATATCATTAGGTATTTGTGGTGGCCAGGTGGGGACTTAGAAAAAAAGTCAGAGATCTATAGAATGAAAGTCTATCTGTTCGGAGCAACCTCATTGCCATGTAGCGTCACGTTCGCCTTGCAGAAAACAATTTCTGATAATCTAGATAAATTTCCCAGAGTTGTTACGCAATTAGCTAAGGGACAGTTTTATGTTGACGACTTATTGATAAGTATGGATGCTATAGAAGAAGCTAAACTGACGTATTCACATCTCAAAGGACTCATAAGTTTGGGAGGATATAATTTAACTAAATGGACTAGCAATAATATTGAAGTGCTGGAGTTCGACCCAGAGGAAGACCGTACTGAAGGAAACGTTACCGTCTGCGAGTCTAATGGGACGAGTAAGCGAACTCTGGGAATCGAGTGGAACATCCGAACAGAAGAATCATGTTTCAAGGTTCGTGAGTATCATGGAAACCTAACCAGAAGAAATATTTTGTCATATGTAGCATCTATTCGTGATCCAGTAGGGCTTATAGCCTCAATAATACTACCAGCCAAAATGACCTTGTCGGCAGAAATTAGACCGGGACGCAAAGTTACACATAGATTGTCAAGTGAAGTGGAACATTTGGCGTAGACACATAAAGGAGTCGAACTACTTAAGAATACCAAAATGTTTGAAATCACAGTTTGAACCATCATCTCAGATTAATTGTTTTACCTATGCTTCTGAGCTTGCGTATGATACTGTTACGTATATTCGTTATGGAAGTGTTTCTCGTCAGATCCATTGCTCCTTTCTGGTAGCTAATTTTAGAGTTGCTCCTCTAGAACTAGTCACTATGCCCAGGATGGAATTAACAGTATGTGTTTTCTGTACAAAAGTCGGGAAGTATGCAAAAGAAGAGTTAAATATTCCCATTTCATCGGTCATCTATTGGACTATTCCAAGAGCGCTTTTATTTCAAAGTGTGCCGATCGATGAAGCTTTAAGGATATTAAATAACAGACCACTAGTTAAAATGACGGATGATCCTGGCACCCTAGAGGCTCCTATACCGGATAAATCGTTGTTGAATTACAGAGGATTATCATCCGACGATGTTTCTGTGGATAAGACTTTCTTATACAATAAAAGATGGAAAGAAGCTCGGAGGTTAACCACCGCATTTTGGTATAGGTGGATAATAAAATATCTAGCGACTCTCCAAACAAGAGATAAATGGTTAAACATATGCAAGAATTTACAACCGGGCGACCAAGTTCTCGTTAGTAACTTTGAAACGAGCAGACGTCTATGGTCTAAAGCCATTGTCGGACAGGTAAGCTATGGCCCAGTTGGACGAGATCGTGTAGCAAGGTTGAGAATGTCAAACGAAGAAATCTCTCGGGATGTGCGAAGCCTGTGTCCACTGGAAGAAGTCGGTTATCTGACGGCGACATACGACGACGGACGTGGTTCGCGTTTCAGGGGGGAGTGTAAAGTGTGATCGATAAGTAAACACACCAATGATAGGTGAAACGCTCACCACCGCACTAAATTCTTTGACCTTGTATGACTGTCTTTGTTTTATCCACCAATCACAATTTTATGTTCATTCTGAAACAATATTCCCCCTTTTTGACTTACTTTTCCTATTCTCCAGTTACTGCTCGGTATGTCATTTGTATTTCTCCCTTTCACTATGTAATAGACTGTTTATTCGCATACTAATGTTGTTAATTTACGTTTTAGAAACAGATAAAGTTTATTAAGCCAAATAGCTTACTTGTTTTGACTTTGGCGAAACCAAGACTCTGTATTCGACAGTTTAGAGAATAGCTTAAAGTTACCCCTGTAGGAAATTGCTTCCTACACTACTCTTATTCCCTAACGCTTGTTATTCTTGGTTTCATTTTACTAAAAATACTAGTTGAGCTTCAATTATATTTCGGTAAGAAGTTATTTGATTACGTAAAATGAAAATCATTTATTGTAAATAAGATATTTGCACACAATTTAAATCATTCAGCGAGTGACAGTTTGTTTATCTGGAATTGTTCGTACTAGTTTACGACACTTCCTTACCATGTTTATTTGCGATCAACAGTTTGAAACATTGAAAAGCTTCATAACTATTTTCTTAATCTGCAGTCCATTCTAATTCTTCTGTTTAAAGATAAAATTTACCACGACCAGAAATTAGATTTGTTTGATGATTTAGTGATTTAGCATGCTTGAACTTTTTCAATCGATAGCTTTCTATTTCTATCAAAATTATGAACCTAACCTATTTTGCACATTCACAACCAGTCCATTTTCATTTTTATAATAACTTCTTAATTAGTTGACACTGATTCACTAGTTTTTTTTAATGAAAACACCTAATGTTTTAACTGACCTGATTATAAATAAGCGGTTGCAAACAATCGTTTATAAACAATGTGAATGCGAAAACCCATTGAAATATTTGCTATACCTTATTACATTAACGTAAACAAAATAATTTCGGATGCTGTTAGATGTATGAGGACGGTTGTCACTACCCGACTGCCCAAACTGTAGAAGGATATTATATATGAACTTTAGAATTTACAAAATTTTTTATGAGAAACGTCTCTTCGATGAAACATACTTTTTTCTTAATTACAATTCGATAAATAGACTTGAATTTCAAAAACTCAACATTTGAAATATCTAAAAGTTACCGCGAGTAAGCATATCCTTTGCAAAACATCATATATAAGCTCTCTAACCAACAGTAGTTAACACACAAACTTGAATATGTAGCTTGAATATGTATAAACTGTTATGCGTCCTGTTATTTTAAATAACTACGCTGAAGGTGAGGGGCGTTTTCTTTATCAAATTAATTGTACAGTTAAAATTTTCACCATCTTGTCAACAAGGTAAATATAATCTGAACCATTCAGCAATATGGTCGATATGTGCATTGAGGAACTCTTCAAATTATTCATATAAATGGGAGTTACTTAATTAGCTTTTGTATTGTCATAATTAACTGGTTTTTCTTATCAACATAATTTGTGTAAACGTAGTAATAAAAGACCAATAAATCTAAATATACACAAGTGTTGCAGTGAACGCATTGGGTTCTTAAATTCTGTGTGAATAGGCTAGTCGTTACCGAATCCCAGCATAACTGTTTCGATCAAAAATAGAAATAGGGACACATTGAGTCATAGTACAAGTAAACCATCTGATAATGATATAACACTAGTTGAAATAAAAGGCGAAAAAATGTGTTAAAATAAATCACCAAAACACTTACATTAAAACCACAAAATTGGAGCATGTGATTGATATCTTTCTCAGATGGACCAATATGTCGGTGCACGAAGTCTGCTTCTGGAGCTTCCGGTTTCTCATCTATACTAAAGATATTTGATCCATTCGATAAACTTCTCATTACTCTAATCCCAAGTAAATCATGTTGATGACATAAAGTTTGAACAAAATTGCAATGAAACCGATTACGGTGAAATGAAGATAGTAAACTCCACAACATGACTGATTAGCTTATGATCAAAAACCGAATACAAGGATGAAGTGAGGTCACTTGATAGAAATTCTAGTTAATATAATATAGAAAACGAGAATTCAGTTGATATATATATGAATTTTCAAATGTCACTAATTAACCAATGAACATTAGTTCTTCACATGATGATTATCGAATGAACTAATTATTTGATTCACTTTCTAGTTGAAAAGACCAACATCAGCTAGCAAAAATACATTGGTGTGTTCGTTATTGAAATTTCTATTACTGATTTAAGATGATATAGTTTATGCGATAATAAAACGATAGGAAGTTAGTCAATTTAATACTAACTTAGAAATCTAGCAGTTGAGTCAGTGTCTTGTGAAAATAAGTTTCTGGATTTCGCCTCCCACATAAAGACATAACCATAGGAATTAATTTAAATAAACCTAACCTCTCCATTGAGAAAACATTTGTATAGCTTGTTCCTACGCCGTATCCATCAAATAAGATCTAAGCTTACCCCTTAATTTTTCATAGTTATTTCCAAGTAATTATTTCTAATAATTAACAGGCTATTAATTATAAACATACACCTATACTCCTTTTCCTTTATCATTTTTATTTAATTGATTTGAGTAACTAACTGATTTGTAAATCTAATTTTACATTTTTCAATCTTTACTCCTATGCGATAGTTGAAAATAATTAACTGATTCTTAAACCTAAAATTACACTTAAGTGTATTTATACCTTCCTTTTCATGTATTGTCTTAATAATCCACCGATTTGCATCCCATCTTTATTATTATTACTATCATTATGTGTTAGTTTACCCACCACCACTTAATTGGTGTTTTATGTTCAAATGTAAAACTACATAATAATGTTGAGCTATCATGGGAAGCGAATTTAAAAGTAATATTTCTCTGTATGAACTGTACTTTTAATGTCTAAATAAGAACATTTAATTTACTGAAAATACATCGGACATTTTATGAATATTTTCACTGTTCACTCCCCATGCCCCCGTTTATGATAATGGAGTGAAGCAGTAGGCATTTATTTAGAAGAGCTTACATCATATCTTTGATATCATCAAATGTATGACAAGCTCTGGAATATTACTAATTTACCTTAGGGAATTAATAAACACTAACTTTCTATTTTTTTTAAAATGATTGTTGAAAAGTGTTAGATATTACGTTTGCAGACTTACAAAGAAGACCACCTAGTCCCTATCAGAAGAGAGGATCTTAAGTCTTGAAACTGGTTTACCTTAAAGAAAAATATCAGCGTACTTTTATTTTACATAATTTATGTACTTCATATGCTAGATCATTTACCTAAAACTTTAATTTAATTAAAGTATAACAGGGAAAATTTATGAAACATACACAATTATAAACATTTTATTCTGTGTTGTGTTTAAAATTAATTACAACTAAAGTCAAAACAAAACGGTTACAAACTAGTGAATTAAGCAATTATTAGAAATTAAGGGCCGTACAGTTGTGTAGCTTTACTAAAAAAAAATGGATCCAAGAATTCAGGATGCAATCTCAGTAAGGGTTTAGCATGAATACACATGAAGATTTCCGAATCGAGTCTGTAATGCTGATCGGTACCTATTGATTCCTAGTGGATATTGGTTTGTTGAAAACATCTAAATAAAAAATCTCCTCTAAGCTTTCTCGAATCTCCAGATTATTTTCCGTAGACAAAGAAGCATGTCCTGATTATACGAAAGATATTCTTGAACAACTATTAGGAACAGGTCATGGGACTAACCTGTAAGCAACTTTTGTAATCGTGAAGAAACGCAGCCAGCGGTGAACACCTAGATCTAATTAAGTCTGCTTTGTAAATAACGAGTAGAGAAAAACTATCATAAAAAGGAAGTGTTTTATTACTATGGACTTCCGATCGCTATTGTAAAATTAAGAAATTGAGATCCTATCTGATTTGAATTGTGTCACTATGAAATAAAAAATGACACCCGAAACTAAACATTCAGTCTGCAGAACTATTTACAAATAATAGCAAACAATTAAAAGCTAAATTCTAAATTTTAGCCAAGCAATCCAAGTGAATTATAGTGAGGATCGAAAACATACTATCGTAGTAGCCCAACTAATTTAACGTGCAATACCAAGATGCACAGACGATTTGTCTGGAAATATTAATTTCTTCAGGAAATTAAGCATATGGGATAAATGACTACTGTTTGAGGAAAATAGAATATAATGATCGCAGTAGCCACCGAAAATAGCATTCTAACCAAATATTAACTTACCCAAATACTCTAAATTGCTTCCTTAAACTTAATGTTCTAAACGTTCCGCTCCTTATTAAAACACCATAAGCAAATGTTTGCCTTACTGTAATCATATTGATTGAAAATATTCAATTAACTAAATTTAATGTGTGTCTATTCACAAAACTAACTGGAATAGTTTAAACTTTTTTTACAAAACCATCAAACAAGCAACAGAAAGCAACAAAAAGTTAGAAAATTGTTGATATTATTTGTTTTATTTATAATACAAAAATGCTTTTCAAAAAGGGCGCGAATAGGCAGTTTCACATGTAAACGAGAAAGTGTTTGTGAAGAGGTGGAAAACAATACATCAATAAAAAAAGTTGAAGTGAAATGTAGTTCGCGTGAAAACGCATTGTACAGCTTATTTCATTGAAACTTCATTCTATGATTTATGAAGTGCGTATATCAATGTCCAGTTTGATCTACACACATCTATGTCACAATTTCCTCAAATCCACTACATTTAGGATACCACCAGGAAAGGAATTGTCACAACTGACGCTAACATCACAACTGTCCGTCATTCAATAGTGTTTCGTCATGTTAACCAAGATTATGATGGCTTTGAAAGTGGTCAACATTACTATACCACTGTGGCTACACCAAACTTTCAACAATTTTCAAAGGCTTATCATGCATGATGCGTAAAGAGACAAACAACAACTGAACATTGGAGATTATTTTACACTTCGATGATGCAATGTACATGTCATGCTTAATGACGCCGATTGCTAAGTGTTTAATTCAGACTCCGATAGTTTTTACGGTTTCACAAAATAATGCAGTAATGCTTCTGTATTACAGTTATGTTAAGGCGTAGTACAATAGGATTTTTACTTCGTTAGGTGGGTCAGTAATAAATGACCTCGAGGAAAATGGTAGATTCGAAGCCACTAAGGTGGAACAATTAAGACATACTTTGAAGTAATTTACGCCATGTTCTGAACTTCATTAAAAACTGTTAGTCAATACTCTATCTATATCAAAGATTGTCTCACTAACACCTGATATATTGTTACTAATTGTTTAGATAAAAAGAGCCACTCCAGTCAGTAGCTAAAAACATTTACTACCTCTTAAATAGAAGTGAGTGATTTTTCTAAAAAACAATACCTGAAGCATCACTAGCCATCCATCTATATCGTATTAGTTCGTATGATACTAATGTGATTACAGCGAACACCATTGACTTAAACAGTCTAGCAACTTTCACGTTCTTATAATATTATTACCGCATCACAAGAATTTAAAGAGGGATAAATTTAGGCCGAGTCACTTAAGATCATTTAACATTCATAACACTCGGTCACCTACAACGAAGGACCAGGCACATATATGCATCGGTCCAAGTTGCCATACCTCATTAGCACAACAAGATGAACACTGAATTCATAGAAGTAATTGAACCTATGTTGGCAATATATAAAAGAAAGGTTATACATAAGGATATAGTACAGAAAAAAAGGGAGGATATGAAGCAATTTTAATCTCACGGTTTAAAGGAAGACAAAGAGTATATACACCTACGCTATTGTGATCGATTCTGAGCCATGTCACTCAGAGTCTCCAACCATTGGTTACGATAGTCACACGGAACCCAACCAAGTAGTCTGCATCTACCAACATGACTCAAAGTAGACGTTAGTAACTTCAAGGACTGATGCCACGTTTTGGTTTGGCCACCCCTAACTCTCTTCCTACCATCGCCAATACTAGTCAGCATAGCGCGTCGTGGTAATTGGTGGTTGGGCATACGCAACACGTGGCCCAACCATCTCAGTCGATGAAGATTCATGACCTCATCAACTGATTTATCATCATTCCCTAATACCCTGTGTCTAACCTCACTATTACTTACCCGGTGATCCCAGCAGATGCGAGCAATATTTCTAAGGCATCTGTGGTCAGATACTAGTAACTTACGAGTATCTTCTACTCTTAATGACCATGTTCCTCAGCCGTAAAGTAGAACAGAGCGAACTGCTGTTCAGTATACTCGTCCCTTAGTTGATAGACGGATATCTCGTATTCAGCATAGGTGACGTAATTTGTCAAAAGCAAAACGAGCTTTCTGAATTCGTGCAGAGATTTTGTCAGACACCAACCCATTAGGGCTGATCAAACTTTCAAGATAAGTGAAGTTGTTCACGCTTCGACTACGTCATTCCCTATGCTTAGTTCAGGTATTGACGCAGGCCAGTCCTGGAGCAACAACTTGCATTTAGAGGGAGGAGAAACTCATCCCAAACATCGTTGCATTGTTACTCAATGCAAATAGAAGACTCTGCATTTTGTCAGCGTCTTCAACAAACAGGACTATGTCATCTGTGTATTCTAAGTCGATAAGTGGACCTCCTGGTAGGAGATCAACTCCCTGAAAATTCAGTGGACGAGAGTGTTATTTCCAGTAGTAGGTCTCTGATAAAGTCGAACAAAAATAAAGATAGTGGACAGCTTATCCGGACACCACTTGAGGTTGCAAAATCACATGAAAATTCGCTATAAGCTCTGACTCGACTGGTAGTGTTCGAGTAAAGAACCCTCACAAGGTTTATGAACCTCTGAGGCATACCTTCCAATGTCCTACACTGCCATAGAACCTCTCAGTTTGCAGAGTCAAATGCTGCTTTCAAGTCAAGAAAAAGTACCATTGTGTGACGCCGATAAGCATGCCTGTGTTCTAAAATCTGACGAATTGTGAATATGTGGTCGATGCAGCCACCACCAGTTCTGAAGCCAGCTTGATTTTCCTGCATTTGCAGTTCACGAGTCTTTGTTAGGCACCCGATAATTATTGAGGCTAGTATTTTAGATGCGGTATTAGTCAAACTAATCCCTCTATGGTTATCACAGGATGACTTCGACCCATTCTTATATATTAAGACGATCAGTAATTGCGACCAGTCAGATAGGATTACACTCATTTCCCAGATTTTAGCTAAAATATTAGTCAACCTAAACGTTAGAATTGGACCACCATATTTAAAGACATCTGGAGCCAATCCATCTGGACCAGTTGCTTTTCCTCGTTTCAGATTAGCTATAGCCTTTTGAACTTCAGCTAGATTCGGGGGACCTACTTCAATGTTCCATTCAGGCTGTTTGGAAATGGTGGGTCGTTGTAGAGTAGCTGAATACCATCTGAACTGCTCCTTAAAGTGTTCCACCCACCACTCTAAACGTCTGGGCTGAGAACATATAACAGTGTTGTCTTTTCCGAGATGGTTTCATTTACATATGACTTCTAAATTCGAGTTTGTTTTATTAGTCTGAAAAGTTGTCTGGTGCTACCTACAGCCTTTGCCTTTTCCATCTCTTTTGCTTTCGTTGTCCACCACTGCTTATGACTGTTCCGTAGACTATTTGTTAACCTAGATCTGATTTGTTTTCGCACTTCATCATGTTCGTAACCTGATGGGTAAGTTTACGAAAATTTATTAGTGCAATAGATGTCGCAGAAATCCCTTGGTTTCTCGTGACCCTTCAAATCACTAATAGATGTCGCTGCTGTTTTTACAGCTGTTAGTATATCTTTCCAAGCAACATCTGGTTTAGCCTCGTTTTCGAAATTGTCTAAGTATGACTTAGGTTGTTCCTGGAATTCCCCTTTGACTTTCTCATCTCTGAGCTCAACTCTAGTGAGTCTTCTTAATATGACTTTTCAGTGTCGAGTGAGGCGCCGGCAAATGCATGCTCTTATTAGAACATGATCAGAGTCTAATCATGTATTCCAGAACGAGCGGCAGTCTTCTATCGAGCCTCAACAACGACCACTGATGACAATATGGTCTATTTAAGTCCATCGTTGGTTTGGTACAGAGGGTCACTATGTTGGACGATGTCTCTCCTTTTGCTTAGAATTAGTGCTTGCTAAAAATAAACGATTGTCTGAGCATAGTTGCAGCAGACGATCACCATTATCTGTTCGATGAGCTGGAATACTAAAATACTCACCTAAATGTTTTCCTCTTCGGTTGAACCTACCTACTTCGACATTAAAGTCACTGCTACGAGCACTATGTCTGAGCGTCTAGCTTTATGAAGAAGCTCAGAGAGCTTTCTGTAAAAGTCATCTTTCACTTCATCCGGACTGCAGTCAGTGGTAGCGTAGGCATAAATGATGAAAAGGCAACGACGTGTGACCTTATCCTTCCGAGTTCTTACGGAGCCGTTTAGCCGAACAGAACATAGGCGACTGTTAACGGGGATCCATTCTAAAAGTGCTTGTTCTGCCCTCATAATTAGTGTTATGCCTACATCCACCAGTTCACGAGAATTTGCCATCGGTTCCCTGTTTCGACTACGTGAGGTCAAGTGAATGACCATACTAGGATCCTGTATATGTATTTCGGAGACACAGCATACATCAATGGAACAAAATCCCGGGTCTTAGCCAAAGAGGCCTGTTGGCCGATTTGACATAGGGTACGTATGCTGAAGGTTACAATGGATCTGATTTGTTTTCGCTCTACATCGTGTTTAGATCCAATCATAACAGTAGTTTCGAAAGTTCTTCATTAGTAGAATTTAGTATGAAATAAACTTGGATATGTTTAGAAAATTATTCAGTAGCAGAAATTTTCGCGCGTTTGGACTTCACACTTTTATTATATGAATTTCATTTATTGAAAAGAATACAAAAGCGGCTTTAAAATGTTCGAAAAATATCAGAAATTAACGACAGCAAATGGTTCCGTGTAACTAATCTTCGAACATGAGCTCGACGAGATTAGGTTGTACAACTTCTTTGTCTGACAATCTTTTCATCTAATTTTGAAAAATATCATTGAAAATAATATACAATAAAGACACTTACCGTGTTAAATTCGATCAGTGAAGGGATGCTACTTATTCGAAATTTCGGGTGCGTTCGAAACACGTTGTTAGGATCACGCCAACTAGAATGCTAAAAACAATGTAGTGTACTATCATACGTAGTTCGATCTCCAACTTCTACTTTTAGAAAAACTGCATTCTCTGGTAATTTTTTAAGCGCTTCTTTTACTATTGGTTCGCCTGGTAAACAAGAAAAGATTTGTTGAGCATTAAAGTGTAAGAAATGAAAAACTAGAGCACAGTACCCAAGAGTGGTAAACTTGGTATGAAGCTGATTCCCATCAAGTAATACGACATTATCCACTCCAAAAAGAAATTCTGTATATCTAAAAGTAGTTCTTATTAAGCCATAAACTAAATTAATTGACTACATTTCCTGTTTTAGAAGTGCCGAGGTTTTTCTTGAGGTGACCTCGTTTCCCCCTGAGTTGTAAGTCAAAATAGACACACTACATACATTCCAGTCAACACAGGTTTACAACTCCATTAAGTGTTTTATCTCGCTAATCCCCTTCAATGACGGTCACTATAAAACAGATGAGTGATTCTAAAAAACCCAACGAAATATAGGTAGAACTTACATTTTATCGATATATAATAGGTGTCTTTAAACATTAGAATGGAAAACAATGCAATACATTCACCATTTAGTAAGCATTCAAATAGATTTCAGATTTTATATGCAATATAGATCCATAAATCATAGTTAGGATTTGGTTAACGAAACATTAGAGTCAAATTAACGCACATGAAATACAAGACAATCATTGTCTCAATATTCGGCACACTACTGTTACAATACACAGCTGTAGGCTAGTCTTGAACTACCATTTTCAGTTCGACAACTGTTAAAATCACCCCAAACATGTCTTCCTACAACTCTCTTAGCCATAAGTATAATTGTTTGACTTCTATTACAGAAAGAGACCACTATAAAGCTGACGAGGTCAAGATGAATAGTTCGCATGAACACTGTGGCAACAATCGATCATTATGAACAGTCCGTGCAAAAAAGATTTAGAAAATACTGTTATTATTCTTTTCTTTTTGACTCAGGCTTCCTACTTTTGAGCTTAAGTTGAGAGAAAAAAATACGCTCCCTTAAAAACATTGGGGCTTTTAAAACAAACTTGATATCTCCTGGTGTGAGCGATCTGTATATTCCAATCAAATAGTGGATAGATAGCTTGTAACATTTTTGTGCACCTTTTATATATCGTGAATTTACTTTGGTGAATTGAAAGTATGAAAACTTTTTCAAGACCAACGTAAGAACCATGAAACCTAATCGACATACACATATCGGTTTGTGTGAAAACAGAAGTTGGAAATAGAAATTGTTTAAAGTTGTTACATCTTACTTTAGGTGTCAGCAGCAAGTAATCTGGTATCCTAGAAAAGATTTGTGGAACATATTATACTGGCTAACGATCTTTGAACAAACCTAAATTGAGGATATAGAGTTGAAAGACGTTTATATAAACCCACTGCATCAGTAATCCAAGCCGTAATAACCTATGTTATATGGGTGGTGAATACTTAAGTGTCTACAAAAATAGTTCATAAGCAACCCTAAGTACTAGACTGTCATACCGCTCCGAATTCAAATGATCTACCTATTAGCACTTCTGAACAATTTGTTTAAGACCGACTGTTATTTTAATGTGAATGTTAAAATTCCATCGAAAACGGGTTGTGATAAGCATAACAGGTATTGTTTAGCCACTGATCAAACTGTATTCCTTTTCAACTACGACTACCTCGTATTTCTTCGACAGGTATGTGCCTTAAGAAAGTCTGTTAAAAAGAACTTCCAACGTCACACTCAAACTACTCACATTAACTCAAATCAAAAAGGTCTCCCAATGTTGCCGTGAGATAACATGGGGACAAATTAAGTCACATTACTAATAGATAATTGGCACCAAAAAAAGTATAATATGTACTTTATTCCATCTATGAGTAAAGTGTTTTTTTGTAAAATTAGTAAGAGGTTCTACCCACGTTAAGTGATAAGCTTTAAGAAACAGTCAAGAAGATCTTGTACTGATTTAACTGTAGGAGTGTTAGTCGAGTTCAAAAAAGACCAATAACAGAGAGGTGAAATGAACTAATGCATTATTGTTGACCTATAATAGTCTGAGTACCTAGGTTTTCATACATTACAGCTAGACTGAAAGGATAACTATTAATGCATATAAGATAGAAAACCAAATATGAAGACAATCATTATACCAACCTTTAACACAATCAGGACACCAGTTGGTGCCATCGGACAGGGGTGTACCACAGAACAAGATAAATACTCTTTTTCCTTCATGAATCTTGACTTCCTTTAAAAGTTCATCGATATTTTTGATTGGTGTAATTACGCTAACAATTGAAAAATAGGTTTATTTTAACGATTCCTTATATATATATATATATATATATATATATATATATATATATACATATATATATATATATATATATATATATATATATATATATATATATATAGTCAAAGCGTGAACAACTTCACTTATCTTGAAAGTCTGATCAGCCCTAATGGGTTGGTGTCTGACAAAATCTCTGCACGAATTCAGAAAGCTCGTTTTGCTTTTGACAAATTACGTCACCTATGCTGAATACGAGATATCCGTCTATCAATTAAGGGACGAGTATACTGAACAGCAGTTCGCTCTGTTCTACTTTACGGCTGAGGAACATGGTCATTAAGAGTAGAAGATACTCGTAAGTTACTAGTATCTGACCACAGATGCCTTAGAAATATTGCTCGCATCTGCTGGGATCACCGGGTAAGTAATAGTGAGGTTAGACACAGGGTATTAGGGAATGATGATAAATCAGTTGATGAGGTCATGAATCTTCATCGACTGAGATGGTTGGGCCACGTGTTACGTATGCCCAACCACCAATTACCACGACGCGCTATGCTGACTAGTATTGGCGATGGTAGGAAGAGAGTTAGGGGTGGCCAAACCAAAACGTGGCATCAGTCCTTGAAGTTACTAACGTCTACTTTGAGTCATGTTGGTAGATGCAGACTACTTGGTTGGGTTCCGTGTGACTATTGTAACCAATGGTTGGAGACTCTGAGTGACATGGCTCAGAATCGATCACAATAGCGTAGGTGTATATACTCTTTGTCTTCCTTTAAACCGTGAGATTAAAATTGCTTCATATCCTCCCTTTTTTTCTGTACTATATCCTTATGTATAACCTTTCTTTTATATATTGCCAACATAGGTTCAATTACTTCTATGAATTCAGTGTTCATCTTGTTGTGCTAATGAGGTATGGCAACTTGAACCGATGCATATATATGCCTGGTCCTACGTTGTAGCTGACTGACTGACCTATAAAGTGGGAAACTGAACAATTTAATTTCGTTGTCACTTACTTCTGACATTAGCCACGTTTATGAAGTAGCATTAACATTAGGGCTTTCTGTGTCTACGTTTCCATGCTTCACCGTTTTACTTTGCAGGCTGCCGGAATTCGATGACAATCCATTAGCTCTGTGGATTGATTTTGTTTACCAGTAGGATAGGTTTAAGGATCGCTTTTCTCTGAATCTAAGTACAAGGTTCTTCTAGTCGTTTCGATGGCGCCCATTTACTTCTGGTTCTCTGGACAGTCTCAATAAAATCACCCAAACTAAGGTCGGAGCGGACATACATTACAGGTCTCGGTGATTTATGCGAACTTCGTGATAGATTTCGCCCCTCAATCACAGCAAAAGTGATTTTTAAGAGATACCTTGCCCGAAGACAATCTAAATTCGCTTTCTGTCCTATTCTGTATAGTCTGCGTGTGTTAACTTTGAAACTGATTGAGGTGTCTAACATGCTGGTGACTTAATGTAACTTAGGTCGTGTTAAAACTTTGCTTTTCAGTTCTTTTCAATAGACTTTTACCCTGCGGACGATCGCGGACCTCTTTGAGGGACATATCTTGGTAGGCTTCAAGGTTCCTTCGCTTAAACGTTTTTCCTCTGCGGTCCCGTTGGATAACAGGTGCGTATGCTTTATCTCCTGTTTTTTTTAAGTTGGTTTACTAGATCCCACTTTTAGTCAATTTTCGACTTAACTGAATTTCGTCCATTACGTGCGGACCAGGATCTGACATGGTCATTACTGCATAGATGTGAGGTTCTGAGGCTGCATCCAGCAACGCACGCTTTTTAGAACTACATATATTTGTTCCTTTTTGCATCTTTGATATTTTTATGTAGTTGTGAGTGCATCAGTGTGTTCATCATCTACCATTTCTCGGCGTTAAACCGAAATGGTTGTATTCAGACACTAAGTTGAATTAACGATACTAAACATTACGTCCTCGAGATGTTAGTTGATCCATGTCAACTAAAGCTTGTTGTTGACCTGTGGGAAGCTTCCTAGATCGTTTTCGTAACCCAATCGTCTCGAGTATCAACAGAGATCTTGCGTAACAGCATATTTGGCACACAAAAAGCGACTGTCTTGCAAAACCTCTTATATAAAGGAGTGAGTTCGATGGTATCACTTGTTAAAGTTATAACGTCGCACTTCATTCTCATCCGAAAAGGAGAGTGTGAGTCTACCACAACGATGTTTTTTCTATGACACTTAGATGGGTCGAAACGCAATAAAAACACTGAAAACACCGAAAAAGTAAAAGAAATTAGATACAAAATACGTCTTTTTGATAAATACGAGAATGATAAAACACGACAGCGAAAATAATTTATATCATACTCACAAAAAATGAGGTAGATGTTTCACAAATGGACCATTTTCTTTGCAAAGTACAAACCACACAAAAGTTTTTCTTTACACTCGCGAAAGAAGTACAGCCAAAAGATGATACAGTGCAAAGAATAACAACTACGATGCTTTAGTAAAAGCGTGTATTGTAAAAGTGAAATCAGAGGTCTTTAAGCGTTCAAATGTCAAAGTCATACGATGTAATACGCAGAAAAAATACAAAAGGCCTTAAGGCTCAGGATGTATGTGCGATCTTGACTGTGAACACTTCCCTCTCGTTTTTTATATGCCGTTATATACTCTTTGCTATATCACTGTAATTTTTAGCGTGTTGGGTAACACGTTTTTAATAGGTAATTAGTAAAAAAAATATCCATAATTGTCAAGTGCCGTTCAGTTTTAGAATTTAAGTGGTGGAAACACTCCTTATCATTGGGAACATTATTGTACGAGTTATCCTGTGTAAATATTTTTCGCGAAATAAAGGTTCCTTAGACCTACATTAACCTTTCCACTTGTATCAAGTACGTTGAAATTAACTAGATGTAGTAAGTAAACGTTGATATCCATGAGTATCTCGTTTGAACGCAGCTTTATATATGGACGTAAACCTCTTACCAATTTTTCTTAGATCACGATTGAAGACAACTTTTTCTGTCATTTAAGATGTGGACACTTTACCCTTTCCCTTATGTAAATGCTACTGACAACTGCATATGTAAAAATTCGGTAATAAATTATTCACATATAAGCCATTATGCTAATTATGGTCAGATAAGTGTATAGTTAGCTTGACATGGAAAACTAAAGGCTGACTTCCGAAGTATACAGTATACTAGCACGTTAAGTTCTGCCATTAATTAACTATTCCCTCTGTTGAAACTTTGAAAGACTAGACAATTGGGAGTTAATCCTAAGGAAAAGTAGACATTTTGGGAAGGTAAGTGTTAATTTCAAGACATTATCCCTTGAGGACATTTGGGGAAAATACGCACTATTTACCACAGGCTGAGGAAATAAAGAGACATTTCGATGCATTGTAGCCTATATCGACACTGACTTATTATGGGGATTTTCCTCAAAATTTCTCCAAAGTCCGCTTTCATTGCTCCTTTTTTGTTTGCTTGGCTTTCTGAATATATTTACATAGCAAACCATGCGAAAAACGTTACTAAATCCCCAGGGTAGGTAAGAATGCGATAAATAACCGTATTTTCTCTTTATTTCACAGCAAATTTTTACATAAAATGTCGCCTTTATTTCCCCAGTGATTTGAATGAGATAGTTTCGAGGCAGTCGTGTCACTGAAATTTGGACACAAAAGTCCAGAAAATTTCAAACGAAAAATGTTCAAATGGTTGTAAACGGAATAGAAGCTTCCGTTTAACGGGCTTCCGTATCTAGTAGCAATGGATCACCGATACCTCCAAGCAAGAAACTCAGTGTTATGGAAAAAATTCAAAACAATGTAAGCAAATTTACTATACCTCATGACACCTTGTGGGATGGATGCGAATAGCACAACAAAAAGGGACCGCAAAAAAGGACCGCGCTCCAGTGGTATCGTTCACTGACTGAGGTCACTTGCAACTTGAAGGTCAAAACTTCGTAAAACGATTGGTTCATCACTCCGACAATCCGTAAGGTTTTGCTGATGCAGTCAAATCAAGACAGTTTTAGATTTGATTAGAGTTCAGCCACACTATGTCTGATAACGTTCATCCTTCAAGTAACGTAAGTGATACAGTCGTAATGATGAATGATATAGCACAAATCTTCAATGATATTGTTATCGCGACGATTTACCACTTGGGACAATTTCGAGACCTTTTTGAAAGAAGTAGATAGGGTAATAGGACTTTTGTGATTGATGATTTTTTTTGTATAGTATACTCACTCTAAGTATGTCATATCAGTATGTAAGAAAAACAAAAATGACCCAACTCCGAAGTATTTTTTGCCAGGTATGTTTGCACTTATGGAGGTAAACGCAGTGCACCTGAATCAAATGATTGTCTGCAGGATGTAGACAATGATGGTGATCAACATTCTTTTGAAGAGCATTCACCTATCTCACCACCACAACCAAGACAAAGAAGGCGAGTACTGTATTATCTCTATGTCTTAAAAGCATTTTTCAGGAAGGTAAGGGTTGACTGTATAAATTACTTTCTGTAGTTCCGAAATGTCTATGTTCTCAAATGCTCGTAACATTCCATAAAACGTCAGGTGATCTTACCTGTGAGCTTCGCTTCTTAGAATGCATTATACTCAGATCTGCCCAGAAGTACGAGTGTCTGAGAATCCATTCTCCACGGGTCTATGGTTACGTGAAAGATCATTGGATCGGCCGGAATTCAGTGGAGGCTCGCTGTTACCAGCGACATGCAATAAGCCTGGGAAACCACACAAACAGTTGTGTGGATAGTGCTCATAAGCACATAAAAATGTCTCAGAAGAGGTGACTCTCTTATGTTGATGTTCTCGAAAGTCCGGAGTAAGACAGGCACTGACCTACGTCTGCGTTCATATGAAGCAATTAATGATTCTTAACGTTTCCCAAAACTTGGGGTAAGAAATTTAGTTATATGTATCACCAATTTCAGGTTCCAAGGTCACTCCAATCTCCTTTAAGTGAGCTCACAACCTCCTCAGACAAAGTTGTAGCTGCGAATTATAAAGGAGTTAGATGAATGAGATGTGAATTAATAGCAAGAGAATTCATCCGCTGCTGCTGCAGGGGCATAATGCATGTTGTTGATACTTCACGTGGACGATGCCCTTGTGAGCGTTTCAATGACCATATGTTGCCATGTGGTCATATTTTGTACTCACATTCCAAAGATCTAATTTGTAGAGGTAAGCGTGCATTTTTTAAGCACTTTAATCATCATAGATTTATTTCGACATAGTGGTCAGTGGATGATCGACCGGAAGTCATATGTACACAAGTTATAAATTCCGTTGGTGGCAATGAAGAGGATACATAGTCAGAATCCATCGTTCTCACTGACCATAGCTTTACTTCTTGATAACAAGACGCTTGATGTTGTAGTTTTTCAGTTCTAGATAAATTCATTTGCATGGCTAACAACTTGTTCTTACAGCGCTATGGCAGGGTGAGTGTACTGTGTGGTTGTGAAAAATATGCATGTTGGTCCACTTTGAAGTGTAACGATTACCAGGTTTGCGCCCAGGCGATTAATCACTCAGACTGTTTACCAAATACTGCCACTCTGAAATTGAAGAATTAAACTATCGGGTTAAATTCACTGCTGTCGTACTACTTAGAAATCACACAACAGTTATCTTTTACTATCACTAAGCTAATTTTTCTAGGCTTTTGTCTCGGTATACACGAGTAAGAGTGGGCATTCGACTTCATTATTGGAAAAAGCATTGACTCGCGATTTTTATCTGTGCTCTTTCGTCGAAGATCAAAGTCTTCATCTACTCTTCTCTCTTAGTGGCTTGCCGATCATAAACTAACAACTCTTTCTTCATCTTCATATCTGCAGGTATTTTCATGGAATGAGTTTGAAATAATTTTTCCTCACTTAAAAATTAGCACTCAGACACATACCTATACATACACCTATGATCATTAACATAGATAAGGGGCATATACTAGCTGTTTAATTGTAATATGTTTGTTCATCGAACGGTGATTAGAAGTGAGTGATCGCAAGTTGTTTCTGAGATACTTACGTTAAAACAGATGTAAATACATGGATGTACATTTTCCGACATAGTAAGCAGAGATGGATAGTGGCTAGCAGTGGAATCCAGAACGCGCATTTGGGGCTCGTCGGCTGGATATACCTGCATCTCACAGTTGATGTTCACTCTGGGACTCGAACCCAGTGCCTTTCGCTTCGAACGCCATCGTGATATCCACTCGGCCACGGAGTCCTGATAGCCATTTGCTTGTGCGATGGAGTGAAGTTTAAATTCAACTTAGCATTGTTCGTTTGAATCTCCCCATCGATGTGTTAGGACTGCAACCGGTCAGTCAGCGAAAGGCACTAGGTTCGAGTCCCAGAGTGAAAATCAACACTGAGATGCAGGTACATCCAGCTGACGAGTTCCAAATAAGATGAAACTCGCATCTTGGATTCCACTGCTAGCCACTATCCATCTTTGCCTACCATGCCTGTGAATTAAGGCTGTATCGAGGCAATATGAACAGTATGCACACATGCCAATTAGAGACAGACCAGTTGCAATCCTAAATATCAATGGGAAGATTCAAACAAATAACACTAAGTTGAATTTTCATACATAGTTTCATGGCTGACCATCTCATCCCGTAGTTACGCAAAGAACACATGCAAAACGTATTACATTGTGTTGGTAATTACTTACAAAGATATGAATACAAGCGTCTTACCGAGTGTGCAGACTCCGGATATCTGATCACGTTAAACGCGACACTTCACTTATTTTCGCCTGATTAATAAGGAAAACCAACTTCACTGAATTGCCAAGAGTTTGCTTAAAAAGTAAATAAACGGTTAAACTAGTACAATCAACATATACATAGAACTGAGTGACGTATATTAATGTACACAATTTTCATTTCCGTGATTGATCTGTTCTTTGGGATTCCTTGTATTATAGAGAAACCAGCGTGAATAAATCTAATATTTGATTCCGAAATTTTGGAAATTCCAATGAATGAGCAATCACCTTGATTTAATTCAGATTATTTCATACAACTGTGACATGTCTTTGATAATCGGTTTAAGTTCATAATTCATCCCATTTCTCACAAGGGTCAATGTGAATGCATTTAACGATTTTAATTAAAGTACATACAGCTTAACGAGTTCCCGGAATCATTTTTCAGTGGTTCTTGCTTCTGCTACTCGCTATCTTTGGAAGAATATTGGCAATCTGAAAGCTGAAACTCTGTACAGGTAGTAACGGTGAGACGTTTGCTTTGTCCCCAGTGAAAGCTACGCATAACTGTACCTTTTGCACGTGAGACAAAATTGTTTCCTGGAAAACAGCGATATGGTGGCTTATATATTTACATAGCCGAAGGGATTTCACTGAGCCCTAGCCAAATCTTCGGGCAGTTTGGTTAATGAATGTTGAACAGTTCATCGATCTCTGTCAAGTTCAAGGACAACCAACGCACATCAGTTAACTGTACACCATGACTTGGCCCATATGGTGGTGGTTGCACTATCTTTGTACAGACTCTTAGTAATACATTTCCATAACAACGTCTTTTGTGTTACACGGTTTTCAAAGCAGTCGTAGTACCTTGATTCGACGAAGTGGTAATCCGTCTTAGCGCTGGCCGCGAGGTGTGATTTCGAAGCTAGCTGGTTCATCAGACTATTCCCATCTAACTCGAGTAGTGCACCAATCATTCGACGCAGATCGTCTACGTTGGGAATCTACATATTTAACCGGAGGTTATATCAATAACTCGGAACCAGTTATTATCGCCTGGAACAGATATATTACAACTACAACCCTAAATAAAGCTAACATCTTCACTGTTAGTGTTTTCCTGGGCATGAAAGTAGAACAGAGCGTTGAGAATCAGCCAAAATCGCAATGAAGTGGACAAAAACACAAAACCGTTTAACGTTTTTGTTACTTGTTGCCTATGTTTACTAGCCTAGACAACGACACAGTTTTTATGACCATATATGCTTTATTCACGTTATTTCATATAAACCCAAAGCATTTGTCTACCTTATGTGCATAGCTGGATGAAAATCAATACTTGCTTGCAATCCAACTGCGGAAAAACTATTGCAGTAGCACCTGATACCACTGCCGTTGCCGTAAAATATTAGTCTCACTCAAAACAGCCCAATATTTTTGTCCGACGACCTTAAACGGCTTAGTTCGTGGTGTGTATTTTATCTATTGCTTCAATAAAATCAAAAACATCATTCTGAAGAACATCAGCTGACTTTGCTCTCCCATGAGCCTTCAGTTTTGCTCGATTGTTGCTATGTAACTTGATCTTGGAAATCGATTTCCCCTCAGAACCTCAACGCCCTTGTCGAAACTTGATTAGGTCAAGAAAACAACGCAAGATCAAATGTTATACTATGACACCAATATGGTAACCTACTGATAACAAGATAGTAGCCAGTAGGCGCTATAAGTATGATGCATTACGACGAGTAGCTCCACTTGTTAACATATTTACTGCGGTTGCAGAGAATAATGTTCCTATGGAACTGAAAAAGATGAGTTGTCTGTGGAATACGTAGACAGTGATTAGATATTCATTACTGACTATGTAAGTCCTTTTGGAGTATACATGAGCACTTATAAGTACAACTGTCAAACGTTTGTAACATACATACGAAATGCAGTCATTGGAAAGCACAATTTCATTATTATTCATCCATATGTGCCAACTATCGGTTTATAATTTGTTCAGTGGTTCCAGATGCTGTTGATAGAAATTCGTTTTCAACCTCTATGACGGACACGTACGTTCGTGTGAATTAATGACATAGTCAAGCTACCGTATTTAAACCAAACATCCACCATCATACTTATGAAGAATACCAAACTAATTAATGTGACTCTTACAGTGGTGTTATATACAATTCCTGTACGTGCCCATAAAGGGAGGTGAAGAGATTATAAGCATTAATTATAACTCATAAGATTTTTCCTGATCAGATAGGTTACATACTGATGTCAGTTCTATAGGAAAATGTTGATTCTTATAATTGTTAGAATTGTCTACGGTTGTATACTGAAAACTTATATAATGTTTAAAAGTAATTTAACCCAGAATGAATTCAGCCTCGATATGCCAAACAACAAGTGTGTACTTGCTTATCAATATCCTTTTAAGCAGCGAGTCATATGTAAAAGTTTTCTGGAGTCCATTTTTGCTAAAAAAATTTGACAATACTCTTTGTACGATCTAATAAACGGTTCATTTCACTTACTGAAACAACAACTACGTCAAACTATTACTTGCAAGGATACAAGCCATATTACAAGCACACACATAGGTAAAATTGACGTCAGTCAGCAAAAATGTTGTCCCAAGCTAAGAAATTAGGAAATAAAATACCCAGTGCCATGTAACACGTGGGCGGAAGCCTACAACTTTATTTACTTCTCACGCCATCGAAAACTAGGGCCGAGTTAAATTGGTATTCTTTTCATTTCTATGACTTCGACTATTTTCGTCCAAGGCAAATATTTCAAACAAGAATTCATTGAGGTTGATTGAGCATATACTAGCTTGCATGAGTTCGTAGTTTTCGCATCATCAAGCAGTTTTTTGACGTCTTAAAACCCCCAAGAATTGTTCGAAATAATTTCAGGTGGGTTTTCTTTCTTAATGAAAACATTATATTTCCTTTGGGTAATTGTCCGTTGGAAAGTTTTCAATAAGTTGGCTTCGTTAAAAATCGTATTAGATTCCAAAACTAAGGTAATATCAATCAATACATTGATATGTAGTTCTGGGGATTGCTTAGTAACGTTGTCAGGAAAATGTGTGGCTCTATTGATCAAGCCTCCAGATCCCGAAATTGTTCTGTTGAGATATGTAAACAGCTTGAGCGGCCGATGCTGAGCGAACTTTTCTTGTTTCAGGATGATTTCCGGAGGGCATTTATTAAAGTTCAAGTTGCAAGATAAGTGTAGTTCTATTGCAGTGTAGACTAAGCACACTAACTGCATGGAAGTAGAGAGGTGGCAGATCACAAATCCTTAACACATAGACCGAGCTAAATTGCCAGTAAAACGTGTATTGTCATGTACTTCAATGTGATTGCGGATATTACCTTGTAGTGACCGGCCAGTCTCGATAAGAACACGATTGGAATAACGGAAACAATTATTATTATTGTAACCAATTGTACCAGAAATTGTTTTACTGTATTTGTTTAACTGTATCAGTTTCACTTCTGCTTTCGCTCTCCGCCTTGTTTGGTTCGAACTTGCTCACGCACTGCCTGTTCGCCTGTACTCTTTGGCACGTCTCGGTATTATTTCGATACCACGAGATCGCCAATAAATACAATTGATCTGGACTAATAAAGCCTTCTGATTTACAAAGGAACCAAGTCGTTTTTGGGCGCGTAAACGAATTGTAGTGGTGATCATAGTCCGTCTTCGACTCGACATCCACTACAACTTACTCAAAAGTTTTCTATCGCCGTTAGCGAATAGTGATCATGCATTTTTTAAAATTCATGTTAGGGGCTTGCAACGTAATACACGACCAGGTAGGACATCATCCAAATGTATGAAGAACAGATACAACAGCTATTCAGGAATGTACCATAGCAACGGACTAGTAAGTAAACACTAGATCAACATTCATATTTAAATGTAATCTTATCTTGATTGCACCCCCCGCCTATATCATGATTAATACCATGAAAACCTACTAACTGCCCATCATGAATAACTAATGAGGTCAAGAAACATCTTAGACGTAGCAAAAGGCATTGGAATATATTTATATCTACAGGCTTTGAAAAGTACAGATCCATTTATTGTGAGAACTAATCATCACCGAGGCCATAACAAGAAGGTGAAAAATCTGCGATTGAGTAAACTCAGAATCGGGTTTCTGTCAAACATGAAATAGATTTTCAGAGTTGTATAACGCTTTTATGATCAAGCGGTTCTGAGCAAGTCATATCAGAAGTAGAGAATGAAATAGTTCGAAATTATATTTGAAAATTGGGATGTGTTAGGGATGTGTAACATGATGTACCCACTCGTAATCTGGTGCAGATGAGTGACCAAACACATTCATATAGAAATTGCCAAGTAAAATTAATGAAGCATGAACCAACGTTGAAAGCTTACATGACTGTTCACCTTGGGGATCTATGAACTGCTACATTGTTTTTCTTAACGGTGGCTAATGATTGGAACAACTTACCCAAATAAGTGGTATCAGCCCCAACAGTCTACCTTTTCAATGACAAGCTGGATATCCACTGGAAAACCAGCCGAAAGGATTAACACATGTCCACTGGCTTACTGTCCTCACTACTAATGACCGAAGACTGAATTGAAATCGTCACCTCAACACTTGAGATCACAATTTTTCAAACACTTAGTGATAGATTCGCATCTGATATACCCTCACTTCTCTTATCTTCCAAAAAAAATTACAAGGAAACTGTAGAAAAAATTCACAACCCCAGAACAAATTACTTATTAGCTGAATATCGATTTCCTCGTCGAATCGTCAACAAGTGGAATTCATTATTCCAACTCGTGATTGAAATCTCATCTGTTGATGCTTTCAAAAGAAATCTGAATCAACTGAGAGACCACCATAGCCAGGGCTAAAACAGGCCACTTAGCCTGCTGTCCTTACCAAACGGAAATTTAAAATGAACTTCTTTGGAAAACTCTGTTTTTTTTCATATGCTCAAGACTATTAGTAGATATTACAATGAATTATTGTCATGAAATATATACCTAGGTTTTTGCCTGGAGGTATTGGTGATCCACTGCTACCAGACACGGAAGCCCGTTAAGCGAAAGCTTCTTCTATTCCGTCCTCAACCATTTGAACCATTTGATTGAAACTCCATAAGTCGACACTTTTAAAAGGGAGTTGGAATAGCTGAGAGATCACCACTGACATAACTAACACGGGACACTTATCCTCTTTTACTTTCCATACCGAGACAAACTGATTTAAGAGTTGGAGCTGACCGCGGTATTTTGGGATGTGTCCGTTACTACACATTTAAGATGGCTCCTTATTTGATTAATAATAATATCAGCGATGTCCAGACACAATATGATTGTTTGTTGCGCATTTACTTGTATTTTCGTGGTTATACAGCTCTACATTCAGCTGTATGTACTTGTTTTCAAAAGTCCATTTTTGTCTGTAAGTTACACTTGTACATTTCAAACCGTTTTCTTTAAGACTGTCGAAATTTCAAGTCGTTTAAAGAAAAATGATAGCCAAAACAAGATAACAAAGTGTTTTCGCAGTAACAAATATGTTTGGAGTGCTTACAACCGAACACATTCCGAAAGCTGCAAACAAGTATTTATTGGTGTAGGTTGCTCTCCTGTTACATACCAAAGATTTTCTGGCAGCTTTTGTCATATTCAAGGTAAAGCTTAACCATATTACACATTTGTCTTCTCTGCAACGTATTTCTTTGCTTAGTTTCCTGTTACTAGGTATTTAATTGTTGGTTAAGCGTACAGCCAATGTTAAAATATATCCTTGTCTTTAGTAATTCACAAAGGTTTTCTAAAGTTTAAGACTCATCACACATTTTACGAGGGCAAATCTTTCGATTTCGTCGAATTGTTGGTTGATCTTTTTCTTCTGTTTCATTCCGTCCACTCTTTACCCACATAGAAGATATTGAATGGGAAAAATCCGAATTAGTATTAAAATCGAATAGCAATGGCCCTTTTAAGATTTTTAAAGTCAGTCACCCACTGGACTTACTTTGGTGTTTAAAAATTATCAACAAGTACAGTACCCTTACAATATTGATTTCTAATGTTAACTTTCCCAAGTTTGAACTCCGTATGAGACAATTTTTACTTGGTGTTCAATGCTACATATATTATTTTACTCCCTCTCCACCAGTTGTCAGCTTAAGTGCTGTTTAGACTCCTGTGTTTCTTAATATTCAGGTAACCTTAGCGAACAACCGTCATTCGTAGGATGCTTCCTCATCCGTCACAGTGACCTTATCTTCGTTAAATCAAGTGAATACAAATATGATAATGATTGTCTGAGCATCTGTCGTTCTCTGGGCATAACATATTCATGGTTAGGTCCTAGTCATACATGCCGGTGTATGATGCAGCTACCGAAGGAATCAAGAAGCATCCCTCTTTCTCAATGCAACATTACTTGTACCATTGAAGGACACGGTTTTGGTCCTAATAATAATCCAGTTTGTCCTGACCCAGTCCCTGTCCGGGTTTATGCGACTAAGGCAAGTCTTCCTTGGCATCCCGTTCCTCGTAAGTTCTAATAGTTTTACTATTTTCTGGACTAGCTTATTAGTGTTTATTCGATAAATAATTTTCTATAAGAAATGTACTTTTTACACAAGTTTATTTTGTTATTTGCATTATTCAGTCACTTGATATCCAAACAATGAGATTAGGATGGATCGAACAATGTGTATTAATATTGTATGTTTAAAGAAGTTAGTTGTAAAAATAATGATACAAACAACAACCTATGGGTTATCAAGTTTCCCTTTAGAACACTTAGATAAACTTATTTCTTAGTTTCAAAATAATTTCAAGGTTTCTCCCGGATTTTTATCTCACATATTCCAGTATTCATCATTACTTGACTTTCAAATATCGGATTACTTATTCGAACACTGTTCTACCTACCTTGGTCTGGGCGTTCTGGTTGCGTCACTGGCTTACAAAAAACATATAACCGAAAGGTTCGTGTACTTGATCTTGGCTACTTAGTTTCATCCAATTAATCTAGATTTGACCAACATTACCTATCGTGGTAATATTTTAGTTATAATTGGTCTCATAACTCATCACTTCTGCTTCATTTAAGAGACAAGAACCAGTGTCCGTGTGATTTCTTTAGTTTGGTCATAAAATAGAAAAGTCACACAAACACTGGCTCCTGCCATTTAAATGTAGCAGGAATTCAGCCGTGAAACCAACTTAAACTGAAATATTACTATGGTAGGTTTTGTGGTGCCATTCAATGTGAAGCTGTGTATAGGGTGTCCGACTTTCAGCCACTACGCTCCAGGTCTGAAACCCACTCGGGGTATTTAGGTTCAGGCAACGCAGTAGTATCGTTGGCCCCCAAGCTTAAAGTGTGCCCCAAACCAAATCACTTGCTGACTGAGTTTATTTATTATATTGTTATCAAACTATGTCGCAGCACTAGTCTATGCAAATACCTATCATCTGTAACTTGTTATGCGACTTTGTAGCTGATGCATTCTTATATTTTCTCACAGCATCCGGATGGTTGTGTTTTATTCATGCTTAACAATATCCTATTCACATAAGTTGGATTTTATTGCTTATGAGTTATCACTTTAGTAATTTCACCGCATTACCGTCTCATATTTAAGTGGCTTTTGGTGTAATATATGCTATTGTATCATCGTTTCTAACGTAAATAAACCAGCAAATTTATTTTAGTCGATCTAGAAATGTTTTATGACTGCGGCTCATTAGTAACATATGTCATCTCGGCTAATGACACTTATCGTATACTTTTACTTAAATTTCCTATATGTGTTTAAATATTATGAAGTCATTGTGTAACAGTAAACTAAGCTACCACTACTACTATTTACGTCTGATACGCCTTGCGGGGCATTGGTCATCGACCAGGATTCTCCAACAACCTCTGTCCTCGTCTTTCTAGTTGTTTCCAATTGCTATTCATTCTTTTGATGTTTGATTCCAGTTCCCGACTCAATGTGTTTTTTTATCTTCCTCTTTTCATTTTCCTTTCAATATTCCAAGTTAGCGCTTGCCTCGTGATACAGTTTGGTGATTTTCATAATGTATGTCCTATCCACCTCCAATGTCTTTTCCTAATTTTCTCTTCATTTGGAAGTTGGTTTGTTTCCTCTAACAGTAGGTTGTTTCTGATGATATCCGGTCACTGGACATTGAGTGTCTTATGTGGACAATTGTTTGTAAATACTCGTACCTTTTCGATGATGGTTGTAGTAATTCTCCAAGTTTCATTTCCGTACAGCAGAACTGTTTTAATGTTCGTATCGAAGATTCTGACGTTGATATTGGTTGACAGTTGTTTTGAGTTACATATGTTCTTCAACTGTAGGAATGTGACCCTTGCTTCGCCAATTCTCGTCTTTACGTCTTCATCAGATCCTCCTTGTTAACCGATTGTGCTGACCAAGCACATGAGAAACTTCACCACTTCCAGAGTTTCACCATCAAGTGTAATTGGGTTGGTGTTCCCTGTGTTGTATTTGAGGATGTTTCTTCCCTTGTGTATGTTGAGGCCCACTGCTTCAAAGGCTGCTGCTACACTGGTTGTTCTCACCTGCATTTACTGGTGTGTATGGGTTAGATAAGCTAGGATATCTGTGAAGTCCAAGTAATCTGGCCGCATCCAACCTGTCTTATTGTCTTGCGCGCTTCCCTCCTGATATGTGGAGGTCTTCATAATCCAGTCAACCACCGGAAGTAAAAGGAAGGGAAAAAGTAGACAGCCTTGCTTGACACCTGTTCTCACTTGGAATGCATCTGTCCGTTGTCCTCTCTGCATGACTTTGCCATGTAGTCCGTCATCAGGATTCCGGATGATGTTGATGATCTAGTCAGGTACACTATAGTGTTGAAGAAGTAACCATAAGGTTCACCTATCCACACTGTCAAACACATTCTCACAGTCATGGAGTTTGATGCATAATGATAAGTTTCATTCAATTGATGGCCACGCGAATATATTGCCTCTGTCAGGGAAGTTTTACTCACTGCCTTCTCGTGGCGGGGGTGTTGTTCACAAAAATGAGAGGACGAAAAGCGAACGTCCGGCGCTTTAACCGGGTTGGTGGATGTGGAGAATCCACCTAGGGGAGTTGGAAAACCCTGATTCCAAACCAATGGTGCACATGTGCTCCAGTATCCTGAAGGAACGAATGGTGTATGAACCGATTGTTGGTCACCGGCTACCATGGGATTGTATCTCCTTACGATGCTCCACTGCCTTGTGGACTAGACCTTTAGGTCAAAGGCTCCGGGTGTGGTCCCCTAAGAAAACCACCTGCTTCAGTCTGGGCACCTGGGCAGTATCACAGCCCTCACACAAATGGAATGAGATTTGTGAGGCGCATATTTATCTGGTGCTTCCTTGTATCAATATTTATGTGTTTAAATAAATAAATAAATAAAATAATTTATTGTTCATCAATGATCTGTAGTATCGTAATTTGGTCTGTGCACGACCGATCCTTATGGAATCCAGCCTGTTAATCTCGAAATGGAGCGTCTACTGCGTCTTTCATCCGGTTGAGCAACAATCTGTTGAAAACTTTTCCTGGCACTGACAGCAAACTGATGCCTCTGTAGTTCTCACGTTTTCTCAGATCTCCTTTTTTTGTTATCTTGATGAGGTAACCTTCTTTCCAATCCGTCGGCGCTTATTCTTCCTCCCAAATCTTCTTGAATAGAACGTGGAGCATGTTTACAGTTACTTCTATGTCTGACTTCAGTGCTTCAGCTTGTATGTTGTCTGATTCATCTGCTTTTGCACCATTGCTTTGTCTGGTGGCTACTCTGATTTCTTCGATTGCTGGTGGTGTAATATTTATAGGAAGGTTTGTGTGTGCTGCTCCGATTTCCGGTGGATTCAATGTAGCTTGTCTATTCAGCAGCTCTTCGAAGTGTTCTGCCCATATTTCCTCTGTTCTTGAATCTCCGTGATTGTCTTGTCTTCTTTGTCCTTGACTGGTCTCTTTGGTTTACTATATCTCCCCGCTAGTTTCTTCGTTGTATCATATATTTGTTTCATATTCCCTTCCCTTTTAGCTTTTTCCGCTGTTGTTGCTAGTTCTCCCATGTATTCCTGCTTGTCGGTTTCAATGCTCTTCTTCATTTGCCTGTTTGCTTCTACGTACTCTGCTTGCGCCTTGACTTTCTCTGCTCGTGTTCGGCTGTTGTTAATTGCTGCCTTCTTGTTCTTCCTTTCTTGAATCTTGTCCAGAGTTCCCATAGAGATCCATCATTCCTTATGATGATGCTTCTTGCGACTCAGAACCTCCTGACACGTTGAAGTTAGTGCTTCTTTGATCCATTTCCAGTTGTCCTCCATCGTAGTTTCTTGTTCTTTCAGTAGATCCTGTAAAGCTTGTAACCTGTTGTTGAGAGCTATCTTGAATTGGTTGAGATTGTCAGTATCTCGAAGAAAGGTTATATTAAACCTTTGTAATACTGCTTCCACATTGTCCAGTCTGTCAGTCAGTCAGCGACAACGTAGGACCAGGCACATATATGCATCGGTCCAAGTTGCCATACCTCGTTAGCACAACAAGATGAACACCGGATTCATAGAAGTAATTAATTTAGTGGTGGTAGTATATAAAGAAAGGTTGTATAGAAGGATATAGTAATAGGAAGGAAAAAAAGTTATGAAGCAATTTTAATCTCAATGTTTAAGGGAAGATAAAGAGTGTATACACCTACGCCATTGTGATCGATTCTGAGACATGTCACCCAGAGTCTCCAAACATTGGTTACGATAGTCACGCGGACCCCATTGTCCAGTGTTTCTTTAGCTTCTGTTTGATCTTGGCAACCACCAGGTGATCATCTGAGGCGATATCAGCTCCTCTCTTTGTTATCACGTCTTCCATGGGTCTTCTGAAGTTTCTATCGATCCAAATATGATCTATCTGGTTCTCTAAAATGTGATCCGATGAGACACATGTAGCTGGTTTTGTGTATGCGTTTGTGTGGGAATATTGTGCCGCCTATAAGCATTTTGTTAAATGCACACAAGTTGCAAATCCGTCACCATTCTCGTTCCTTTCTCCTAGTTAGTCCATGTCATCCCATTATATCTTCATACCCAGTGATGTCCATTCTGACTTTGGCGTTTAGATCTCCTATCAGGATGGTGAGGTCCTTTCCTGAGCACTTCGCTATGATCGATTGCAGCCTCTCGTAAAACTGATCTTCATCGTTGTCATTACTATTATTAGTGGGTGCTTAACATTGGATAACATTCATCGTGATTCCATCCTCCTTTGTTTTGAAAGATGCTTTGATGATCCTGGCTCCATGAGATTCCCATCCAATCAGTTCTTTTAGTGCTTATTTGAACGGCATCAGAGCAACTCCCTCAATCTTCGGAGAATTCAGTTCTTCGTGACACGAGTACAGCAACATCTCTCCCATATCTAGCCTTTACTGTCCAACTTGGGTCCAATGGGTTTAACTTATTCCGAGCATGGCCAAATTGTATCTCCTCTTTTTCGCAGTTATTTAAATGATCCTCCCATTCTCCCACATTGTCCGGACATTCCATGAACCCATGCTAATTTTTGCTCTGGTTGTCAGAAGGTGTATCGGCCTTGTCATTTCCGAAAAATACCGGCTTTCACCACAAGTCCTCATAATTCTTCTGAATGAAGATCCCTCAACTCACAGGGAAGATTTTAAGTAGTTTGAATTGTTTTCCTCCTGGTTAGCGTTTTTTTACCGCAAGTTTGTTTTGTATGAAATGGGTTTATGATCCCATGCCTAACCTTAGTTCTCTTTCTGGGCTTGAGACTGGCAGTAACCCTAGAAGAGCTACAGGTTGAGTTTAACCAAGTTAGGTATTACAAACATAGATTTAAACAGGATTTCATATTTTTTCGTTTGCCAATTTAAGACCCGCCATTTACCAAGCGGGATTTGTGATATTAATTTTCTATGGCTTTAGGTATATGAAGGAGACGGAAACGAACTCCTTTGGGAAATTATAGAGGTATATGATAGATCACTCGAAATGATTTCGATTTATCTACATTATGACCACTATCAATTAGATGCGTCAAGGTAGAACTGGGTATTGTCTTTATCTGGGAATCTTTAATATGTTAATTCTCATTACTGTACTTCAAAATTACATTGTAATGTAAGTTCTTAAGAGTGCTATCGAGTACTGTAGTGCCCATTTAATATCTCTATTTTCAGTTTCTCTTAAGTCTGGTCTTACCGACCTAGTATCTTCGAAACCAGTAAGAATAGTCTATCTACTTGTCTGGAATGGAAGGAGTTGGCCCCATATCCGTCGAATGTTTGAGCTAATATACAACGCTCGACATTATTATTACATTCATGTGGATGCGGTTAGTAATTACTGTTTGAAAGGCACTTTCTTTCAGTCTCTATGGGTTTGTAATCTTAACATGTTCTTATTCTGTATTACTGATCCTTCTCAGAATAAATCATACAATCCCTTCCTATCCTAACTCTCGTCCCATCTTTTTCATTGTATTCATATATAATTTGATTCACTTTGATGAAAGCATATTACATTTGTTTACAGTTTGTATGAGTCAGTGTGAGAATAAGAACACTATTCAGAACTTATGTATTCGTTATTACAGCACTTAAAGAAACACAACCATTTAACAAGACCTTACTCATGGATGAATTAGTTTACTCAGAAATATGTCTTGGATAGTACGTATTTGTAGGCATCTATGTACTTGCACAATTATTGTTAGTTTCATTTATTACACACTGTTATTTTATATTTTGTTCATATTCTATTAGAAAATATGTTATAATAAATGGATGTTCAGACGGCATATATATATATATATATAATTATGTGATTACACAGTTGTATCTCACTACTACTTGTCGAATGGTTTAGATAAGATCTCATGAAACATCAACAATAGGTTTTAAAAATAAGCCATCGGTCTATTGGTGACTTGTTCAAATCGGTTTGGATGCTCAGATAATAAATAAGTTTAAACTACAATTTCGATTTCGTACGACTAGTTTCTGTAAATTTAAGAAAATCAGTAACATAAATATTCATAGAGAAAAAGGAAAAACAAAATAAGACCCTAAAAATGATGGTCACAATTACGTTTTAGAGGAAGTTTCTAATTGTTAAATATGACAAAATTTTCCATTGTCGAAATCAATGAGTGAAATGCTAATTGATTAATAAACGCAATAATATGTGACCGAGTGATGGCTGTTCACAAAGCCGTATTATTGACTCAAGCCCTTGGGTGATTTGAAATCAAAATATGACCACTTACCAGATATGTATAATGAGATATCATGCTTATATACAGAATATGAGCACAAAGTAAAGACGACAAAATGTCATAAGTAATTGAAGTAAATTAGCTTGTAGGTCATTCGTTTTCTAATCAAGACCTAATCTTAGGGTATCATATCAAGGTGACACGTACCACTTTAAAATGAATCGTAAATATTTTTCTCACTGAATAGGAGAAGTGAACTAAATATCTGCTCTTAAAGATAAAGCGAAATCATAATTAAGGGCTCTAAGTTGTGGCTGTTACTTCTTGTTGTATTGATCATAAGGTTTTTATATCGATTTCAGAGTAGTTTTCTAAGTGTGTGCTCTAAAGTCAGTCAGTTATACGCAATTTGTACGCCGATTCACGTTGGCATACTCCATTAGAACAGCGAGATGAAATTGCCAGAGTATTAGAGGTAATTAGTGGTAATCGAAAGGTTAGACATAGCAGATATGATTCGAAAAGAAAATATAAATTAGTGACGACAAAATGTGTTTGAAGAATTTATAATCCAAGGGAAAACTAAAAGTAAATACACCTGCGTCATTGCCGACGATTTTGAATGATATCAAACATGACCTGCAATCACTGGCTTCGATAATCACGCAGACGTTAAACAGGTAGTTTGAATCTACCTATATGATCCAGCTCGACGGTGATTGTTTTCGTGTATTGACGCCACGTCTTTGACAATTTCCAGTTTTTTTCTAACCTACTACACCAGCCATCATCGCGCATCGAGGTGGTCGGTGGATGGACTTACGTAATCCATGACCTAACCATCTCAATGGGTAAAAGTTCACTACCGCATCAATCTACTTACCACACTTATCTGGCATTATGCATCCATCCTCAGAAGCGCTAACTCAATGGTCCCGAAACACATGAGCAGTTCTTCGAATACACCTATGATCGAATACTAGTGACCTACAAATATCCTCTAATTTTAGAGGCCATAATTCACAGACATTAAGTAAAACAAAGCCAACAGCTGCTCGGTAAATTCGTCTTTTAGTTTCCAGACGGATATCTCACCCACATTTCACCATCATCATCTGCAAATTATAAGTCAGCAAAATAATCTGGTGGTTTGGTTTGCAGAAAGTCAGGTAATGAGTCTGTTATCTCTAAAAGAATGCTTGGAGCAAATATTAATAAAAATGGGAAAGCGGACAACTCCGATGAACACTACTTAGAATTATCTATTTCGATGACAGTTCATCATAAGCTCTGTCTCAACTAGTTACAGCCCAATGAAGAGTCCGTACAAGATCAGTGCACTTCTTCGTTACGCCTTTCGTTTTAAGATTGCCATAAAGTCTGTCAATCCACAAGACTAAGGGTTGCTCTAAGGTCCAGAGATGCAACTATAATTTTAGGTCGGTAGATATGTCCGTGTGTCCAAAACCTGGCGAAGGGCGACTATTTAGTGGGTAAGTCCACGTCTAGTCCTAGAACCCACCTGGTTTTCGTGAGCCCTAGTTAAGCGTTTGATTATTATTAAAGCTAATATTCTAAACACTATAAATCAAACCAATCCCCCTATGGTCATCACGAGAGTAACTTAATTCTTTCTTAGGAACTGAAGTGACCAGTAATTAAAACCATTCAGTTCCCAGACCCCGAGTAAGATCTCAGTCAATGAAACAGCTGAAACTGAACCACCATCTTTAAGGATCTCAGGGGTCAATCGATCAGAGCATGCTGTCCTTCTTCAATTTAGATCAACAAGGACTTTTTCTGCTTCATTGAGAGTTATAGAACTTATGTTAACATCCCATTCAGGTTTCATGTTGAAAGTAGGCAAGTGAAAGGTAGCTGTAGTGCAGTTAAACTGTTCTTCATGGTGTGCTTTAAAGGCAAATTATATTCCTTATTACGCCTTATTAGGAGTTAAATCATCTATATCTCTTAAGTTTTTCGCATTAATTATTTATGACCTTCATTTAAAATTTACTTTGAATATCCATCTCACATTACCATTTAAAACCATTCTCCATTTTAGCGATGTGGTTATCTGTACACAATGGTTAAATCTTTTATTGGAAATTACCCGTCAAATGTCTACCTAACATCTCGCTTTTCGCCAATATGGGGTGGACAAAGTCTACTTGATATGTTCTTGTCATCATTAAAAGATATATCCCTAAATATGAGTAGTTGGGAATGGGACTTTGTGATCAATTTGAGTGAAAGCGATTTGCCCATCAGGTGATATTTTATGTTTCATCTTTAAAATACTCATGAGTTGGTACTTATATAACTGATAAAATTCTTATACTGATAATAATCACTTTATTCAATACTATATGTTTGGATTACAGTAAAGAGATATCAGCATATTATATTATCACTCCGATTTGTTGATTGAAACGACTGCCCTTTATTTTGATTATCCTAAAACAGTACTACATATGAAGAACGTTAGAATCAGCAGTTTGTTTATTGTTGTTTTACTGTACTCCCCACTATCCTTCCTTGTGTCATAGTTCTAGTAGATTACACTTTGTATGGATATATTTTACTATTATTTTGGTAATCGTTAAACCGATTTAGTGCATATCTAAATAATTTGCTTTTTCCAATTTTATTTTTCTTTTAAATACACAGACCTAATCATGAACTGGTAACGTATTTAAGTCACAATCGGGATAAAATTTTTCTACGCTCATTCAGTCATACCGGGCAAAGGTAATTTATCATCTGATACACTTGTAAATTAAGAGTAATCTAATGACCGTTTTGATGTTCCATATCTCGTGTGACTAAGACTTCAAAATCACCTTTCATGAATGGGGAGTACAACATTGTTACACATATAGTTTACTAATGACTAGTGCTTTGCAGTTGTTTATGAGAATAGTGCAACATTATATAAGCGTACTGACAATTATAGAAGTTTGTTGTACGCTTTATACCAGTTTTCCTACAAACTATCTTCAACCATTAAACACGAAGCATTATCACTTTTCTGTAATCAGATTATTATCACTAGTCAATGGATATCTATCATTACTCGAATCTTGAAAAAGTACTACAAGCATTTCTTGTTCGAAGTATACCTTCATCATTCTGAAGTGCTCATATAGGAGAGATGTAGTAATTTTAACCGCAGAAACCCTTAGGAATGGGAAAGTACTTATAAGCATCTATAAATTAAGAGTTAAGATAGCAGAGTTGATACAATAGCTGCTACAGTTTTCCTTAGGCTTGCACATGTCAATAGAATTGTTTCATATCAGTATAAAAATGCCTGTGGTCTGTATCTTAAATGAATTGAGTTCCTGTTTTGTTTTCACATAGCACTACACATTATAACGGTTATTTTCCATTTGGGTAACTTTATCATAAGGTTATAAAACCCAGCGAATAACGGTCCCCACTAATTATGAATAGTTGAAATCATTGTTAAAACGTTTTATTATTTCATCCGCTTGAGTGAAATTAAATTTCTGATAACACCAAAATAAAACTGGTTTTACAGCGGACACAAATGTTCGTTCTTTGGTTGACAGGTTAACCTTCTGTCTCTAATTTGCTTGTTTAAAATATTAAAGAAAACTATTTGACAAGCAACAACTTACGCTTGCATACAGTTGTTCTATTAAACGTCGTCTGTCAACTTACAGTAAAGGAATATCTTCCATTCATAATATTTGTCCCTTAGTAATCCCGTTTTTAGCAACAATTCAATCGCTGTTACCTGTTGTAAAACACTGACAGTTTCAGCATGAAATTTGTGTTCGACCCAGTTAGTGCCATAAAGTCTTTCCTAATTTTAATCCGTTATCATTCTAGTTTCCTAAGAAACCAAGGTTTCGATCAGTTATTCCTCGAATGTGATTCATATGTATGGCACCTAGGTGAACGATCGATCCCATCTGGAATTATTTTAGATGGTGGTTCTGACTGGATGATACTGCCTAAAATATTTGTGGATTATGTTATTTACAGTGATTCTAATTTATTACGCGATATCATGGAATACTTCCGCTATAGTTTGCTACCAGTCGAGGTAAGTATATTTTATACTAAGATAGTGTAAGTTTTATACTCCTTAGTAGTTTTCGTAATGTTATAGTTTACCTGTTCCTCAATGGTGTTGCTGATTCAATTGTAAGCTATTAGGTCGAGCGTTTAAATTTCGAAACGTTCACTTTCTTTCGGGAGGTCGGATAACAAATATTTTTAGCCCAAATTGTGAATCTTCATAGATTGGAGTGGCTGAGACGTATACCTAACCACCGCTTACCCTGATTTCCACTACTGGGGGAAGTAGAAGTGGGTTGGAAAAGTGCCAAGGGGCGGCTAAACTGAAACGTGTCATCATTCCATAAAATCATTGATTGTTAGACTGAGTCATGTTATAAGGTGTAGGCTTCTGGGTGGGGGTCCATGTGATAGTCCCTACCACTAGTTGGAGACGTCGAGTAATCAGTCACCTTGGCTCAGATGCATTTCTTCAGATTTTCAGTTTCAGTATTCACTGTATTTTTAGTATTTATCTTCGTTAAATATTAGTAATGCTCAATTATTTTGACTCTTTTGTTATCCATCTTGTCTGTTTTATCTCGTTTTGCCGATTTGGTGTGGCAGCTTGGGCTAACATACATTTGTATCATGCTCTACGTCGACTATAACAAACTGATCATACAACAAATGTAGATCAATTCTCAGTATGTGCGTGCACTTTTAGAACGGGGGTTTGTGAAGATTGTAGTAATTCTTTTAATAGTTGAATTCATGAGTCGATTTAAGCTAGACCACTAGTGAAAATCTGGAAACACTGGTGGTCTAGCTTAAATAGACTCATGAATTCAACTATTCTTTTTGTCTCTGGGTGAATTGATTTCGCTTCCGTAGTTCCATCATCATAAAAAACTTAAAGTTTATTTGTGACTCTGTGAGGTTTCAAAATTTGAAAAATTCCCATATTGTGATTTAGAACAACATATATAAGCGAACAATATTGTTTTCGATTAGATCCTCATCAGGCTATACTCTAATATACAGTAATATTTATATGCATATACGAAATTATTAAACCAATCAAGGCAGTTTATGAGTCAATGATAACAGTGAAATAGATTACATAATCAAAATTAATAATAAGTAGAAAGTACGATTACATTACCAATTTGTACTTTCTACTTATTATTAATTTTGATTATGTAATCTATTCAGTGAGGTTTCACTACTGGCTCAAGTAGCAAGACAAAAATTAGGCATCCGGCATTTTGCTGAGCATTTTTTAGAATTCTTATGAAATTTGTTTATTAAGTAAACTAATATTTGTGGTAACTTCAAATTTCAGCAATATTCTAACTCACCTAAATGCTATTTGTATGGCACATACTATTTTCATTGGCCATTTGTTCCAGGTTTTACGTAAAGCAAACAAACTGTTCTCGTGTAACTTTGAACACTTTCTTATTCTGCCTTTGTTCCGATGTCCCCTATCTTCTGGGATCACCAGGTAAGTAATAGTGAGGTTAGACTCAGGGTATTAGGGAATGATGATAAATCAGTTGATGAGGTCATGAATCTTCATCAACTGAGATGGTTGGACCACGTGTTACGTATGCCCAACCACCAATTACCACGATGCGCTATGCTGACTAGTATTGGCGATGGTAGGAAGAGAGTTAGGGGTGGCCAAACCAAAACGTGGCATCAGTCCTTGAAGTTACTAACGTCTACTTTGAGTCATGTTGGTAGATGCAGACTACTTGGTTGGGTTCCGTGTGACTATCGTAACCAATGGTTGGAGACTCTGAGTGACATGGCTCAGAATCGATCACAATAGCGTAGGTGTATATACTCTTTGTCTTCCTTTAAACCGTGAGATTAAAATTGCTTCATATCCTCCCTTTTTTTTCTGTACTATATCCTTATGTATAACCTTTCTTTTATATATTGCCAACATAGGTTCAATTACTTCTATGAATTCAGTGTTCATCTTGCTGTGCTAATGAGGTATGGCAACTTGGACCGATGCATATATGTGCCTGGTCCTACGTTGTAGCTGACTGACCGATGTCCCCTCATACTTCTATCCACCCTCCATATTATCCTAATCACTCGTCGTAACTGGTGTTATGTCGTCTAATCCCTGTCTAATTCTATTGACTGGGTCTCAACGTTGTTTCTATTCTAAGTGACTTAGCATGGTGGTTCACTTGTCTTGATATTAGGTGGTTCCCTCAAGATCGATGATTCCCGTTGATGACAACTGCCAACTACCAAGAAACCTAGGTCAGTGACTTCCTGCCGATTGTCTCCAACCGTCTTTAATATTCTTTACAGTAATTGTTAGATGATGTTATTTCATTTTCTGCTTGGAAAATGACTGCTTTTTGTTATGATTTGCTATAACAATGGTAAATTCCACCTACTCATTGATACCGGGATACCTAAGCTTCTATCCCTCCCTATCCCCGTCTATTCTAAAAGACAAGCCGTACAAAAAATAATTGATTGGTAGATTTTAAAGAAGATTAACCATTTGAATTCTTCCATTTATATATACATTGCATGTGATAACTACTAATTAAAAGAATTGTCTCAGTGAAAAAATACCACACAGTTAAAACAAACGAATATCTTTATCAGTGGATGAAAAGCCGTACTAGATTAATTAATACAATAAAAGTTTCACTGAAAGTCAAATGAGCAAAAACTACACTAAATCATTATGGTGATTACTTTCTAGTAAATGGTATTTAGGGATTTAACTTCTACAATACCACCCAGTTAGTAGAGAACTACTTTCGGATTTCCGTGGTAGTGTATTGTCTGCCGCTTGGATTGGTTGGACCATTCTCTTCAGAAATCCGGCTCAGGCATCCGAGATGTTTAACTTTATTCATGGGTTAGTAAACTGTAAGTGTCTAGAAAGATATTCAGAGGTATTTTAGTGTTTGTGACCGACCCGGAAATATTTCCTATACACAGGTGAGTAAACTGTTAAGTCCATCTATCTTTACCCACAACTACTTTGTACAATACCACTATTTGGATTCTGCCTACACAATCTTCTGTTCGGTTATGGTTAGTCAGGTAGTCACGGACAAACACTAATGTATAAACTTGGGATTCTAAAAAAGCATCAGGAGGTAGTGAGTTGTTTTTAGTTTTCTACCGATGAAGGCTTCCGCTGAAGATAATTTGTCGGGCGCCGTGTTACTAGGCCCTATGTGGCATGCAGATAAGAAACTTTCTACTATTTTCTATGTTTTGACTTTTGCAGCGCTTATCTAAAGGTGTGAACGAAATATTCAGCTCTTCCACTTGAATGTGGATGGTAAAGTGATGAGAGAACACTTTGAAATGTCCCAGTATGAACTAAGATTCATCATTTAATGCTAAAATCAAGTGGAAAGGTTCAGCTTCCTAGTAAGAGGAATCCACATCTTAAGGAAACTATCTAATATAAAGAGTTAATTCCATAACTACTTTATGAAGTTTCTTACCACATTAATTAAACCATTTTACTGATGAAAGTATGATGGATAAAGCTGAATCGATTTTAGGAAAGGTAATAGTAATACAAAACAATCTAAGATAAGTTTTCGTGCTGGTTCTGTGGTGTGGGTTCCTTATATCCATATAAGTAGTATATGACGATGACCAGACATAGAATGTATTTCAGTAGAAGATCGATAACGAAAGAACGGGAACAAAACGGAATTGGCATGAAAATGCATGGACAATAATAATTGGAGACGATGGACTGGAATTTGCAGAAGGAACAGTCAAGATTGAGACGATTGATCAATAGTTTGCAAATTAACTGTTTACTGTATGGTTGTCAGATTTTAGTGAGATATTCTATAATTTCGTGACAAATACATTCGATTGTCCCTATTTGTCTTCTTGTTCACTACAGTTCCACTAACTCTTCGTCTCAGAATTTATATGATTCATTTCCTGTTAGTTTTGCTTCATGAATCGACTACCTGAAACGCTGCAAGGTCATCTAATCCAATCACCCTTTGTTTTAAACAGTCATCTACTATGATATCAAGCCGATTTATTTTAGACAAAAAAACGATGGTTTCCCATCTTTTTAAAATATATTTATTTATTCCTTTTTACTTACAGAGCTTTTTTCATACTGTTGCACAAAACACTCACTTTTGCACCTCAGTTATCAATCATTATCTGCGGTTTATCAATTGGAAAAGGCCACAAGGTTGTGGCTGTAAATATGGCAGTATGGTTGATTGGTGTGGTTGTTCTCCACTTACATTGAACGGACCAAAAGATGCAGAACTTTTATGTGAACTAACCGGGAAATGTTTAAAGCCAGATTACAGATTACAGCCATTATTTTTCGCTCGTAAATTTGACTCAACTATTGATCTGGGGATAATAAATTTTGTTGTACATAAATTGTTAGGGCGTTACGATTTAACAGGTAGTCTAGTGCCAGATGTATTTTTCTTCCAAATCATTTTGATATCATAGTGATGAGTTAAATTATTCAAACGTAAACGTGTGTGGGTTTTGATTTAACTTCATTTGGATAGATTCGATTAATTTAAGGAGAAATAATGCTACTAGTCCAGTGAAATTTATAATTCTTGACAAGAAATCAGAAATGCCCATTGATATTAATCTCTCTTTTCCCAATGTGACATACATTAAACATCTACATCTACACTAAACATAAATCTCATAAAAATTTCCTCAGTTTTTGTGGGCTATTTGTTGACTTTTTTTCTAATTATCAGTAACTATTTTACGCTAGTAATGTCGCGATCGTGTTTGGCGTATATTTAAGCTTAAAATATCATTTAAAATGTTGGCCTATATTTCACCTTATGTACCTTAATACAAAACTGTAGAAGAAATTCATGTAAAGTTCCTCGCTCTATTTTGACTGGAAGTTAGGATAGCAATCTAAAAGCTGTGTTCAGTCTACTTTCCACCCAAACTGTAGTTAAATCCACTTAATCTGTAAAATAAGCTGCAGAAATTGCGGAGTATATTTATTGTGTCCTGAGATCCGATTTCGGTTGTTAATGCATCCTTCTAAGTGCTCTACCAACCGGCTAACCAGAGTGGGAGGCATGACGAATGGATTGCCAAAACATAATAATAAACACAACTTCGTTTATATAATTTGTCGAACTGATCCATACAGAAACCTAGTGGGATCATCTTAGGTAAGTGAATAGTTCACCCCCCGCACACACACTTGCGCCACTCACCTCACTGTATACTTACGACAGGATATGACCCTTTTAAGTTCGTCCAGCATAGCAATGCTGATTCTGCATTTATCAGTCCTATTTTTCTTTTGTTTCAGTTAACCTACGTAATGACAACTACTATTTGGAAAATATCTACTCAAAAGAGGAGGATTCATTAGTAGATAATGCACATCAACAGGCATTGTATTTAGCTTTGAAGTGTTTATCAAAGAAACTAATGTATCAACTTTTACGAAGTTATAACTACAATCCTAATTTGCTGTGTAAGTTGAAGTGTGTTCATCTAATTTTCAATTATTTGACGATTTTAACGAGCATAGTTTTCCCAATATGCAGGATGTTAGCTGTATTTATGATGAATTACGAAAGCTAGGCATAGTGTATTGGCGCATAAATTACTGACATTGTAAACAGTTCCTACCTCTTTTGTACATGCTGTTTGTGATAATTTTATTTATTTATTTATTTAAACACATATATATTGGTACAAAAGGGCACCAGGTACATATGCGCCACACAAAATAATGAAAGTAGCAAGAGAAGGGATGAAAAGATAAGGCGGACTAAAATGTACAACCAGAAGACTCTTTCAAATAGGAAAGTAATAACCATACTTTATGTAGAAAGTAAAAGAAGGTTGCAGCAGGATCGCCACTGGCTTCTATTCTGAGCCATATCTGATAACGTCTCTAGCCACTGTGTTGCACCATCTCTCAGACCCCAACCAAGGAGTCGTGAAGGACCAACAGAAGCTAGCCCTTTGCAGCTTTCTTTCATGCCACGACACCATGTCATACACTGACCTCCTCTCCGCTTTTTCCAACCAGTCCCAGGGTCGGCAAATAATGCACGACGTGGAAGTCTCTGGGACGACATTCGCAAAACATGTCCAAGCCACCGAAGTCGGTGTTTCAAGATGGTGACACCAATTGAATTATCGTCTCTGTGCCCGAACACACGATGCCGAACCTCTGCATTACTAACATGGTGTTGCCACTGGATGTCAGCAATCCTTCGGAGACAACAATGATCGAACACAGAGAGACGTCTAACATCCTCAACTCGGAGAGGCCAGGTTTCACAAGCATAGAGCAAAACTGCTCTCGCCGGCGCGTTGTAAATCCGACTTTTTACAGCCAGACTAACATCACGAAGGCGCCAAAGATGGCTCAGATTGGCATAAGCCGATCTGGCTTTCCTTATACGTGCATCAATCTCATCAGTCACGCCACCACCAGCACTTATATAGCTACCTAGATACACGAACTTCTCAACTACTTCGATCTGCTCACCATCCAGGGTGAGTACAGGATTAGAATCCTGCCAGTCTTGTAGAAGTGCTTTGCACTTGGAGGGTGCAAAGCACATGCCGTACCTGCGGACACTGATTGCCAACTGATTAAGTGCTGATTGCATGCCTTGGGCATTATCGCACAGTAAGACAATATCATCCGCATACTCAAGGTCGAGAAGTCGTTCTCCAGGCAACATATCCACACCGCCATTACTTACATCCACCAGAGCTGTTTCTAGGATGTCGTCGATGGCAAAGTTGAAGAGGAATGGTGAGATCGGGCAACCCTGCCTAACCCCTTTGCTTGAATTGAACAAGGGAGAAAGGTGGTTGTATGCCCTCACTCTGCCTGAGGTGTTCGTGTACAGGGCCTTTAAGATGTTAATGAACTTCTCAGGCACACCCTTCTTCAATAGACAATCCCAGAGAACAGTCCTGTCCAACGAATCGAAGGCCGCCCTGATATCAAGAAACTTTACGATTGTTGGCCTGCGATAAGTATGACGGTGTTCTAACATTTGGCGGAGGGTGAAGATGTGATCAATGCATCCTCGACCAGAACGAAAACCAGCCTGCTCCTCGCGAGTCAATCGTTCTCGGGTTTTAAACAACCTACGAAGAATGATAGAAGCCAATAGTTTGGACGCAATCGGAAGTAGACTTATCCCCCGGTAGTTATTGCAGGAACAACGCGAACCCTTTTTAAAGATAGGGACGACTATTGACTCATTCCATGATGTTGGAACACTTTCTTGCTCCCAAACCTTTGCAAACAACACAGTCAATTCCTTAGTCAGAAAGTCGCCACCATCTTTAAAAAGAGCCGGAGGTAAGTCATCTGGGCCAGGTGATTTGTAGCGCTTCAAGAGTTGGAGTTCCTTGCAGACTTCCGCCTCGTTTGGTGGAACAGTCGTCACCGGCCATGGGGGGCAGGACAAGCTGGTTGATGTTGCCGGAGCAGCAGGCCAGTTGAACTGCCCTTCGAAAAATTCCGCCCATCGTCCAAGTCGTCGGGAGATGTTAGTGATTGGCATCCCATCATCCTCGTAGATTGTTTCACTCACACCAGACTTCTTGCTGCCAGTGGCTCGGATGAGTTGGAAGAGCTTCCGGCAGTTACCAGATGCAGCTGCTGCTTCCATCTCATTAGCACGCTCCGACCACCAGGCTTCTCGGTCCTTACGCAAGCTTTGCCCAATTTCATTACGTAACAGCCTTCGTTTGTGGTCAAACTCACGGTCACCCGGAGTAGACCGACGGGCTTCCATCAGTTGTAAGGAGCCAGAAGAGACCCAGTGCTTGTAAGCGGGACGTTTCGCGAAGCCGCAAGCGGCTTTACTCGCCATTTTCATGGCGTCGTGAAGATGCAACCAATGCTCATCTATACTTTTCGGTGGGATGGTAGCTAGCCTAGAGGCTAGCTCCGCTCGATACTTACTTGCAACAGGAGTTGCAGCCAGTTTACTAATATCAATCCGTTGGTGGTGGTCAATCCTTCGGCCACTGAAAAGTAAGGTGAGATTGGCGCAGACCAGGGCATGATCAGACTCCAGATAGGTACTCCAAAAGGAGCGGCAGTCTTGTACACAACCACGCCAGCGGTAGCTGATCGCGATGTGATCAATCTGAGTCCAGGCTTGGGATGCAGAGGGAGGACGCCAGGTGGCACACCGGCGATGACTGTGCCGGAAGTTGGTGCTGGCCAGAAACAGGTTGTGGTCTGTGCACAGTTGCAGCAAACGGTCCCCGTTATCTGTCCTGCGACCAACAAGTCCCCATCGGCCACCTAGACGACTCTCTTCTATGCCTAGACGCCCGACCTGTGCATTCAAGTCTCCGGCTAGTACTACAATATCTGTCGAACGCGCTTTCTGGAGAACTGTTAACTGATGGTAAAACTCATCCTTGATTGCATCCGGGCTGCAATCTGTTGGAGCATAGGCGGAGATGACGAAAAGACACCGTTTCTCACGCCGGTTTCTTCTCACTTTGATGGAACGTTTTAATCTAACAGCACATAACCGACTGTTAATGGGGATCCAATCGATTAGTGCTGCCTCAGCCCTAGCGCTTAGTGCGACGCCAACGCCAGCAAGACCAGACGAAGATGCCACAGGGTCCCCGGATAAACGCACGTGAAACAAGCTTTTCGAGGCGACAGATGGAGAGCGGATTTGTAGTACTTCACTAGAGTCTTGAATACGGGTCTCGGATAGACAACAAGCGTCAACATTAAGACCTTCCAAAGACATAGCCAGCCCTATCTGTTGTCTGATCTGCATTAGTGTGCGAACGTTGAAGGAAGCCAGCTTGAACGGCGTACGTGGTTTCAGAAAGACTGCCTCAGTATTCATAATCGGTGGAAGCATTCACTTTCAACCAGACAGTGACTGGAGATCGTTTAGATAGGACAGATTTTCCACCAAGAGCGAGCTGCTGCATAAGTTGAAGAGTAAGGTTACACAAATTGGGGATAAAAGGGGGTGAATTAGCGATATGGTAAGTAATAATAACAATAATAATAATAATAATAATAATAATAATAATAATAATAATAATAATAATAATAATGTAAATTGTCTTGCTTATAATATGAGCAGGAATAGAATCGTCAACAGAGTTCATCATTTCATTCAATTGTGTGTGGGCTGTGATACTGCCCGGGTGCCCAAACCGAAGCAGGTGGTTTTCTTAGGGGACCACACCCCGAGCCTTTGACCTAAAGGTCTGATCCACAAGGCAGTGGAGCATCGTGAGGAGATGCAGTCCCATGGTAGCCGTTGACCAATGACAGGTTCTTCCGCCATTCGTTCCATCAGGATACTGGAGCCCATGTGCACCATTGGTTTGGAATCAGGGTTTTCCAACTCCCCTAGGTGGACCCTCCGTGTCCACCAATCCGGTTATAGCTCCGGACATTCGCTTTTCGTCCTTTCACTTTCGTAAACAACACCCCCGCCACGAGAAGGCAGTGAGTAGGACTTCCCTGGCAGAGGCTATATATTCGCTGGCCATATGAGAGCATTTCGAGAGGGAGAGTAGACTCTCCCCACTCTCTGTCGTACCAGGGCATTTGGGGGCTAAGACTTCATCACGCAATACATTTTTCTGAACACTTTTATTATTTTATTTTTAGAGTACTAAGTCAGCAATAAAACATGGTTGTTTTGCGGTATATTTGACCAATCTGTGTCTTCACTCTTGACTTAATTAAAATTATAGTTTGCAGTAATCCTTTAGAACCTGATTTAATTTATTTCTCCTGTTCACTAAATGCATTTCTCTAATAGTGTAGCTTAAAAGAAATGAGTGATTTGTAAATTGTAACATAACAATACTAGAAACAGATCAAAATATTTCTGGTGTTCCCAATACTGAAGAACGTAGTTGTCCGTAATTTGCGCTAACTTTTTAAAAACATGATTTCTGTTTTTATAAAAGAAATGATAACCACCCACTAAATAAAAACGTTTTTTGTGCTTCTCAGTCATATTTTCCTATTCACTCTTTTCTCTGATCCATTCATTTACTCAATAATTTTATTGGTTTGTCTATAGATATAAAATCATCGTTGTTGAATAGTTTTGCGTTGTTCAATGCAACAGGTTGGGAAGAATTCGATCATATTCCATCGAATGAGCTATTAAATATGTGGGTTAATAAAAGGAACATTGTACCTCCATTAGTAATACAAGTTCGGTTGACAGAATTTACAAATTTGAGTATCATTAACGATAGAAACCACTTTATCTTAGAATTCTTGGTACATCCACCGTCACTTAGTTTCACTACTGTAGATACCATTAATAATTTATTACCCGGTGATATTGGGTTTCTAGAAGTAAGTTGTTCAGTTTTAATTCATATTGTATATTCTTTGTCCAACAAATTATGCAATGAAAATCATTGCATTCATAACAATAAACAGAATGGTAATTTTATATTCAAAGAGAATAAAGATAATTTTGCTTTGAGTTAAATATGGTTCCATATGGTTCCCATCTGTGTATGATGTTATTAGATTGTGATTTTAAAAGATTGTTACTATCACTTATTTGTAAAGCAATACATTTTACTTATAAATAACCTAAGAACGTTCGGTGATCCATATATTCTAACTTTAATCGATCTGTCATCACAGGAAAATTACCGCCTAATATCATCAATGGATATCTGTTTCGCTTCCAGCTTTGAACAAATAAACTAGCCAATGTTTTTTCAACTGGTATCAGTTTGACAATAATTATCTTTAAATAAACCAAACCTCTAATAACTACTGAGACATATTGGTTGTATCTATTTTGGTATTAGTTTCATCATGAATGAATTGTTCTTTTCGTAAATAATATTCAAGTATACTTTCTGTTAGATTTCAGAAAATTATAAAGGATACAAATTTATACATTGTCAGCTCCATACTACGTCGAAGTTCGAATAGACTTTATATTCTTAGTGCTCTATCTTTTAAGAAACCTAAGTATTTCAGTTTGGTACAAGTGTCTTAAATAACGGTCAACTGAGTTAATAATTAAAGTTATCCGACAGCTCCAAGCTAAGTTGCTAAACTAGTGAATCACATTTTACTAGTTAATACATCCAACGAACAAACTTGTAAACCATATTCAAGATTATGATCTTAGTTGTAAAGCATGGTTGCTTCAAATTAATAGGATCTATGTACCATTGAGCATAATTTAGTACAACTAACCGGGATCTTTCTGTACTTAAGTTTTAGCCTAGTTATCAAAATATGTGTTGTGATGTCCATGAATTGATACTGATACGCAATCTTCCTATACATAAACTCAACCAGCTACTCGAGTTAAAAAACTGAGAATGAGAAAGGAGGTTTGTTGACTAAACCAAATATATATATATATATATATATATATATCCCTTAAAAAATTAAACCGTCAGTGGTGTACGTCTCATCCTTTAGAAATGTGATTCCTTGACCAATCACTGATTATTTGTCTTGTTCTTATCTCAGTGTATGAATATAATTAGCGATCTTATCAAAATAGCTGTTACTTTGAAAGCGATATCGTGCTAATTCCTATTTGGTTTTAAAGGATATTAAGTTAATGTAGAGTTCAGTATGTAAACTAAACTTAAGTAACTGTATTTACTAGGTCAAAAATTATGAATCGTACTTGGTGTCTGTTAAAGGTTTGTTCCCAGACGGTAATATTATGGTTGAATAGTTTTCCAGCATCCCAATTACCATCACCTGTTAGAAATGTAACTGCCTTATTTTGTTAGACTCACGTGATTAATATTTGTAGAACTATATAATTTTAAAGTTTTTTTTGTAATGTTGTAGATCAGTTCAAATTTCGATGTCAAAGAACAAATATTTCGCAATTATCCACGTTTTTTAACATTACAAGAAACCCTAACTATTTTAGTTTTATGGAAAGGGAATTCCAATCATAAAATATACAAAACTTCAGTTGTATTCACTTTAATCAATCCCTTAGGCATACCTTGTTTGAAACAACTCAAATTACCACTTGTACAAAATGAGCATACTGTTCGGTCATTGGCTATGCCAGAACTATATATCACTACGAGTCTATTTAAAAACACAATTTTAACGAATTGTGTACAAAAGGATGTTAATATTGTTCCTGGTGAATGGACCATCATTGCCGTTGCTTCAAGTGGACAGATTAGTCGTGCCAAATTCGTTCTATTCGACCCATTGAAGCTTAGCCAGTCATTAAGACTTCCTCACAAATTGTTGGCAGACAAGAAATTGTTCGATTCAGAGTCTTGGAATTCTGTTCAAGTGACTGACTTTTGTATAATCCAACAGTTGACTAAAGGGAAATTGAATTCGCTGTATACTAACAAGATTAACAATATTAACTTTCGCATTTTTAACGGTTTTTTAAATGATTTTCATCGGAATTGTACTACTGTTCAGTGGAGTTCCTTTTTTAAATATTCTCATTTGTAATCCTTTTTTATTCGCGAACTTTTGACCAGTTCCGCTTCCCTCTTTGTAAATATTCACAGTTTAGCTTTAATTATATCCACTTTCTTAAAGTATTATTTTGTTTTCTATAGAAATATGCTACCTATCTGAAAAAGGGTGCCATGAATAAATCATTATATCCAGTCTAGTGTAGTAGATGCTACATCTCTTCCATTAAACGTACATAAGACAATTTAATTAACTGCTATAAAGTTAACAATATTATAACAGTTGTAAAATAGAAAAATGTGCTGGCCTATCTCCAAACTTACCAGGGAATGATAAGTCTTTGGATTTACGTTATTTAGAAAAAACATTTGAACTAAAATAGAATAAGAAATCTGCTAACGAAGGTTTTATACATAAGATATTGTAGTTCTTGGTGTTATCATTTTCATCATTGGAATCATTTATCTGTAAATCAGCTATATTTGGTATTTTAATTCCGTTAGAAGTGTTACTGTTCTTGTTGTACCTTTGCCTACGCTATTGATAATTCACTTATTAACTCCCTTACTGTATTCATCACTCGATGAATGGACCACTCAGATTCCCACGCTGTCTAATTGCCTATCAGAAAGCCAGATGAATGGTTCAATACATTTATTATTTAGACTAATAACTCACGTGATTATGTAAGTTAATTTATAAATCCCAATAGATACATATCTAGGGTATAGATTCTCTTACGTTATTTCCTTTTTTCGTCTATTCTCAACAATTCGGAAGCTATTTCACGTAAAATTCTACCGCAATCTGTTTTACTTAATTCAGTAACGTAACAGCGTTTTCACTTCCGTTTTAGGTAACAAAAGGCTGGGAAGATCTCTCGTAAACAAGGGATTGCTTCATGTCATTTAAATTACGGGTCTGTAGTTTGCTATTTAGACACCGAATTTCTTTAGGAACCCAACCCTTCCTATGGTTTTCGGTAGCTTTTAGGTGATGTTCCCTACATCCTTGTATATAAACTTGTTAATAAGATACGTCTCAATCATATTGTTAGCGATTAGATGTCTTCTGACGTTTTGTTTTTAAATGTTATCCTGTTGGCCATACAAGATAAGGGAAGTTATTTTTATATCAAGCAAATGGCATTATTTCTTAGGCTGTCCTGTTAACGATAATTTCGAGTTTATTTTCCTTTCGTACAATTTTTATAAGCTAAATCTTGCAAGGACGAAAAGTATTGCATTTTAAGCGTTTGCGATAAATTTTCGCCAAATATCGATCTGCATCGTTTAGCAAATCAGGTTAACGCATAACTGCATTTAGATTTGATTGGTTTTCTCAGTAATCAAGTTCACTATGACAACAGTGTACAACCGCGCTTATTTCTCTTTTTAATTTTTCACTACCTTTGTTATTGCACTAATAAGAATAAAATCAAATCTGATCACTACTAACTAGATAAACAACAAAATAAATTTGGCCAGAAGCAAATAAGCCCATATATACATACAAATGAATTATTTACTACCATTATGTCAAGGTCGTATAAAACCTGACGAATTACCCGTTATCAGTCCTAGGACTATCTATTTTTTCATTTGTTCAGCTTACACAGGTGAGAAAATGTATTTACTTTAATCTTTAAAAAATATTTCAGTCTCATAATACAATTTATGTTTGTCATAAAAACTAACTGAACAACAAGTTTGGTACAGTGACGTACTTAATAAGTTTTCATAGTAAAATTCGTGATAGCGTATGTAAGAGTGAAATTTATGTGCTTCAATAGGCATACACCTTAATATTTCTCCAATCATATTTAGAAATGAGGTCGTAGATATTAAAATTACTGTAAATATAGCAGTTTATTTCATACCATAAGTTTATAAAAGTACTAAAGTATTTCGCGTTAAGTGTTGGTGGATTTGTGTGTTTGTTCAAACGTGGTGAGAATCCTCAATGAGTAGTTACGAGGAATTCCAGAATACGAACAAATGATTTGTCAAGGTTTTATGGACTTGTGGTTAAAACTAGTTTCTAAAAGAAATTGCAGTAACTTAACCAAGTCTATTATTTATACCTTAAATTTGAATATTACTTACGCCTGTTACCCCTCGTGGAGGAGCATAAGTCGCACACCAGTATTCTCCATCCAACCCTGTCCCGGGCAATCCTTTCCAGTTGTTATTCATCTTTTTCATATCTGCTTCTATTTCCCGGTGTGATGTGTTCTTTGGCCTTCCAATTTTCCGCTTCCCTTCTGGATTCCGAGTTAGGGCTTGCTTCGTGATGCAGTTTGGTAATTTCCTTAATGTATGTCCTATCCACTCCCAACGTCTTTTCCTAATTTCTTCTTCAGATGGAAGTTGGTTTGTCCTCTCCCATAAAACGCTGTTGCTGATAGTATCCGGCCAATGAATGTTGAGTATTTTGCGTAGACAATTGTTTATAAATACTTGTATCTTCTTGACGATGATGGTATCAGTTCTCCACGTTTCAGCTCCGTACAGTAAAACTAACTGTCTTGATGTCTGTATTGAAGATTCTCACTTTGAAGTGAGTCGACAGTTGTTTTGAATTCCATATGTTCTTCAATCGTAGGAATGAGGTCGTTGCTTTGCCAATCCTCGCCTGTACATCTGAATCAGATCCTCTTTGTTCATCAATGATGCTTCCCAGGTACATGAATGTTTCCACATCTTCCAGAGTTTCTCCATCACGTGTGACTGGGTTGGTGTTCTCCATGTTGTATTTAGAATCTTGCTTTTTCCTTTGTGAATATTGAGGCCTATTGATGCAGAGGTTGCTTCTACATTTGTTGTTTTCGTCTGTATTTGCTCGTGTGTACTGCGAAGTCCGAATCATCTAATTCATTTCGAGATGTCAATTGTATTCCGTGCTTTCCCTCAGATTTCGGGGTCTTCATAATTCAGTCAACCACCGGAAGTAAAAGGAAGGGAAAAAGTAGACAGCCTTGCTTGACACCTGTTCTCACTTGGAATGCATCTGTCCGTTGTCCTCTCTGCATGACTTTGCCATGTAGTCCGTCATCAGGATTCCGGATGATGTTGATGATCTAGTCAGGTACACTATAGTGTTGAAGAAGTAACCATAAGGTTCACCTATCCACACTGTCAAACACATTCTCACAGTCATGGAGTTTGATGCATAATGATAAGTTTCATTCAATTGATGGCCACGCGAATATATCGCCTCTGTCAGGGAAGTTTTACTCACTGCCTTCTCGTGGCGGGGGTGTTGTTCACAAAAATGAGAGGACGAAAAGCGAATGTCCGGCGCTTTAACCGGGTTGGTGGATGTGGAGAATCCACCTAGGGGAGTTGGAAAACCCTGATTCCAAACCAATGGTGCACATGTGCTCCAGTATCCTGAAGGAACGAATGGTGTATGAACCGATTGTTGGTCACCGGCTACCATGGGATTGTATCTCCTTACGATGCTCCACTGCCTTGTGGACTAGACCTTTAGGTCAAAGGCTCCGGGTGTGGTCCCCTAAGAAAACCACCTGCTTCAGTCTGGGCACCTGGGCAGTATCACAGCCCTCACACAAATGGAATGAGATTTGTGAGGCGCATATTTATCTGGTGCTTCCTTGTATCAATATTTATGTGTTTAAATAAATAAATAAATAAAATAATTTATTGTTCATCAATGATCTGTAGTATCGTAATTTGGTCTGTGCACGACCGATCCTTATGGAATCCAGCCTGTTAATCTCGAAATGGAGCGTCTACTGCGTCTTTCATCCGGTTGAGCAACAATCTGTTGAAAACTTTTCCTGGCACTGACAGCAAACTGATGCCTCTGTAGTTCTCACGTTTTCTCAGATCTCCTTTTTTTGTTATCTTGATGAGGTAACCTTCTTTCCAATCCGTCGGCGCTTATTCTTCCTCCCAAATCTTCTTGAATAGAACGTGGAGCATGTTTACAGTTACTTCTATGTCTGACTTCAGTGCTTCAGCTTGTATGTTGTCTGATTCATCTGCTTTTGCACCATTGCTTTGTCTGGTGGCTACTCTGATTTCTTCGATTGCTGGTGGTGTAATATTTATAGGAAGGTTTGTGTGTGCTGCTCCGATTTCCGGTGGATTCAATGTAGCTTGTCTATTCAGCAGCTCTTCGAAGTGTTCTGCCCATATTTCCTCTGTTCTTGAATCTCCGTGATTGTCTTGTCTTCTTTGTCCTTGACTGGTCTCTTTGGTTTACTATATCTCCCCGCTAGTTTCTTCGTTGTATCATATATTTGTTTCATATTCCCTTCCCTTTTAGCTTTTTCCGCTGTTGTTGCTAGTTCTCCCATGTATTCCTGCTTGTCGGTTTCAATGCTCTTCTTCATTTGCCTGTTTGCTTCTACGTACTCTGCTTGCGCCTTGACTTTCTCTGCTCGTGTTCGGCTGTTGTTAATTGCTGCCTTCTTGTTCTTCCTTTCTTGAATCTTGTCCAGAGTTCCCATAGAGATCCATCATTCCTTATGATGATGCTTCTTGCGACTCAGAACCTCCTGACACGTTGAAGTTAGTGCTTCTTTGATCCATTTCCAGTTGTCCTCCATCGTAGTTTCTTGTTCTTTCAGTAGATCCTGTAAAGCTTGTAACCTGTTGTTGAGAGCTATCTTGAATTGGTTGAGATTGTCAGTATCTCGAAGAAAGGTTATATTAAACCTTTGTAATACTGCTTCCACATTGTCCAGTCTGTCAGTCAGTCAGCGACAACGTAGGACCAGGCACATATATGCATCGGTCCAAGTTGCCATACCTCGTTAGCACAACAAGATGAACACCGGATTCATAGAAGTAATTAATTTAGTGGTGGTAGTATATAAAGAAAGGTTGTATAGAAGGATATAGTAATAGGAAGGAAAAAAAGTTATGAAGCAATTTTAATCTCAATGTTTAAGGGAAGATAAAGAGTGTATACACCTACGCCATTGTGATCGATTCTGAGACATGTCACCCAGAGTCTCCAAACATTGGTTACGATAGTCACGCGGACCCCATTGTCCAGTGTTTCTTTAGCTTCTGTTTGATCTTGGCAACCACCAGGTGATCATCTGAGGCGATATCAGCTCCTCTCTTTGTTATCACGTCTTCCATGGGTCTTCTGAAGTTTCTATCGATCCAAATATGATCTATCTGGTTCTCTAAAATGTGATCCGATGAGACACATGTAGCTGGTTTTGTGTATGCGTTTGTGTGGGAATATTGTGCCGCCTATAAGCATTTTGTTGAATGCACACAAGTTGCAAATCCGTCACCATTCTCGTTCCTTTCTCCTAGTTAGTCCATGTCATCCCATTATATCTTCATACCCAGTGATGTCCATTCTGACTTTGGCGTTTAGATCTCCTATCAGGATGGTGAGGTCCTTTCCTGAGCACTTCGCTATGATCGATTGCAGCCTCTCGTAAAACTGATCTTCATCGTTGTCATTACTATTATTAGTGGGTGCTTAACATTGGATAACATTCATCGTGATTCCATCCTCCTTTGTTTTGAAAGATGCTTTGATGATCCTGGCTCCATGAGATTCCCATCCAATCAGTTCTTTTAGTGCTTATTTGAACGGCATCAGAGCAACTCCCTCAATCTTCGGAGAATTCAGTTCTTCGTGACACGAGTACAGCAACATCTCTCCCATATCTAGCCTTTACTGTCCAACTTGGGTCCAATGGGTTTAACTTATTCCGAGCATGGCCAAATTGTATCTCCTCTTTTTCGCAGTTATTTAAATGATCCTCCCATTCTCCCACATTGTCCGGACATTGCATATACCTATAAAAAGTTTTCTCTTGTCTCGCAACTTCTGAAGGAACTCGGCTTTCATTCTGTGGCGTCATGAGTTTTTCTACAACTCACGGTGCAGATTTTAAAGGGTTTGAATTATTTTTTCTGGTTAGTATGTTAGTTTTCTACGGGATTTGGTCGCTTACTCCATGCCCAACCCTACTCCTTTACCGGAGCCTGGGCCCGGTAGTAAATATAGAAGAGCTACAGGTGGAGTTATTTTTGAATATACATATTTAAAATTTTTATTGAATCGATAATTAGTTAACTTCTTATCAAATATTCAAACATCTAGATCAAGATCTCAGCTTTCAATTTAAATACGTTTAGTGAAAGGGAATAGAATGTCCATCATGTTTATCTATAGCTATCGAATATATTCTGTGATTATACACTTGACGTATCCTATTTTTGATGAAGTGAAGACCGGTATGTAACTTGTGGGCTATATATCTTTAGTTAACTGAAATATGACACCCGAAAATTATTTATGTATTTACTTTTTTATTTAGTAGTCGGATGTCAAAAACGTCAACCCTCTTCACTTTGGACTGCATTCCCAAACAACACCAGCGAACCATTCAAGCAGTACATGCTGAAGAAGAAGCACTTTTAAAGTTACTGGTTGTAATATCGTGTACTCATTATCGATCGAATTTGTGTTGTTTAATGGGATTGCTAAGTTAAGTGATTTGACTGTGAATGGCGATAAATCGGGCTTCAAACTTCAGTTCAATTTCCTGTTACTCATGATCATCCGATAGGGCTTGACGTTTTTAAAAGCATTACTCGATCATATAAATTATATTCTGTTTATATTTTCATAGAGATCGGCACTCAAGAAATAAATCATTTACATATATTTAAATCTTGGTTATCGTTAAAGAAACAGCACATATCTTTAACTAGGGAGATACTTCTGAGAATCGCACCCTGTAAATCTAGGCAGTTTTTCACTTTTAACCTGATAATAAATGATGACCGTGTAAAAACAAGTATATACTAAATTTTCATTTAAAATAAAATTAATGTAAGAGACACGAGAACAAATCCTAGTGAACACTTGAGAACATATGTTTATAAAAAGTGGATCTCTTCGGAATGATTCATCACAATTTAAAGAATGTGGCTATATATTCTAGGCAATTGAGTGTTATAAAATATATGTTTTTGTTTTTCTAATTGGATAGATTTTTCTTTGGAAAGACGCATATTACAAGAGAGTACATATCACGATATTCGTAAATATTCGCAAGAAAAATATGGGCTTGATGTTTGTGTAAGTTGAAAAGGTTTCCATCACTTTTTTTGTAGTATTTGTGGTTAAATCAAATAACATGTTGAACTATAATGTTCATTGTTTATCGACAACAGTTTTCTCTAGTAATCAACACTACTTGATAGACCACTAGAAACTGTAGAACCATTGCGGATTGCTCCCTATTTTTAGGTTTCTTTGGAGATTTCCATAACACAGGTACCAACCTTCAATTATAGTGTTACATTTACATGACTGTTGAACTCCTAAGAAAGAATCACTTGGTCAACTCTTTTTAAATTCTATTTAGCTGAAGTGATTGAACTTATTCATGCTGGAAGTGATTAATACTCTTTTTTTTTAAAGTGTGTATTACTGGTTCAACCATCAGGTTGTAGTGAAAAAATACTAGTACTGTGATGTGGGTTCCTTATATCCATATAAGTAGTATATGACGATGACCAGACATAGAATGTATTTCAGTAGAAGATCGATAACGAAAGAACGGGAACAAAACGGAATTGGCATGAAAATGCATGGACAATAATAATTGGAGACGATGGACTGGAATTTGCAGAAGGAACAGTCAAGATTGAGACGATTGATCAATAGTTTGCAAATTAACTGTTTACTGTATGGTTGTCAGATTTTAGTGAGATATTCTATAATTTCGTGACAAATACATTCGATTGTCCCTATTTGTCTTCTTGTTCACTTCAGTACTTATTCGGTTGTAAAGGCCGGACAATTTTATCTCCGAGATGTTCGGATTTTTATAAGTTGAATAATAATTTTGGACTTGACTATGTAAACCAAAATAATTAATGGTATCACACTTCTTTATCGATAAACATTCGGAAATCGACAGCAGCATATAAAGAGAAATCAATTAGTCAGTTTGTTGTAAGCACTCACTCGTAATTTTCAGTTTTATGAATTTCTCAAAACTGTAAAGTAACTAAATAGGACCCAATTTAGTCCTATCATTAGTTTCTTATTATCCCATAATATCCTTCTGTACATTCATACACCTTTATGTTCATTTTCCATAGACCAAACACACCGTTTCAACTTTCTAAAACATTTTCTCTGGATAGTTAACCCTTTTCTGTGTTAAATCTCTACTGCTCTTATGATACATTTCAATTAACTATTATTTCATTTTGTCTTGAACCATGTGTACCCACAAGCTTGGCAACTTTTCATGAAGGTTTGGTATTTGTATACGCCGAAATTCATAAGATCCTATACTTCTTAGGTAGATATATGAAGCAGCTAGATTCTTGTAAAATAATGGAAATTACTTCCTCTGCAATGCGAATTTTCACTGCAAGTGTTTTCGAGTAAAGCTATGAATTATATAACTAAGTTATTTGATATTCTTTTAAATCAGGCGTTCAGATCAAGTTTTGTTGGATAAAAATTGGGTTTTCACATAGGTTGTTTTGTTTTTAATTTCCATTTCGAACATATCAGTATTAGAGTTATGGTCATAAATTAATTAAACTAACCATCATGTGTATATATGCAGTGGAAGTATTTCGCGTCAATAAATCAAATTCAGTGTGATAAAGATCTATGAAACCAATTTAGGGGACATTACTTTTTATATAAAACTATCATAGATCAGTACTCGAAAGAGCGATTAGTAAATAGTAAAACTAAAAATGTATACACGATTGGATTCATTTGTTCTATGGTAAAAAAGTCAGTACTCCTGAATTTCAGAAACTAAAGCGTCGGTGAACTGATTTTAATGTTTTCTAACATAAAGTATTCGATTATTCTTTAAACTGATGTTTCCACTTTTTCCTGGTTATTTAATATGATCCGCAAAGCAGTGTTTTACTTACGCAATTATAATCATATGGTTATGTTAACAGTTTATCGATCCCAGACCATTGGAAGATATCGTGCCATTGGAACATCTTGGATATGCTGACTTGTTTAGAAAACTCAGCTTTCAGTACTGTCGTAATGACCTTAATTGCTCTCCAATTGTAAGTGAATCATATCCTATGAAGTATAATATTTTAATGTCCCATAAAAGCTGTGATTTAAAGAGTAGTAGTCAGTAGTTTCATGCAATTAGTCCCTTGATAAACTTTTCAAAACCAAGATGTGTTGTTCTTGCTTCACAAAAGTCAATAATCTGTTTATTCTACAAAATAGTTTTACTAAAGCTTTCCACTCAGTAACTACGTGAACAATGATTTGCAATAGCGCCTATCAAGATTCCAGAAGTAATGAATTTAATGTTAATTTTTTACTACAGCCAGTTCAAGATGTAGTCAATGGTTTTTGTCGAGGTATCCATTTTCACTATTCGGTTACTGGATGATAACTTATACCATGTTGTTCAGTTGCTGAGAGAGACTGAATTCGATAGATCCCCTGTTATATCCTAGTGAAGATTAAATTATAGGTGACTTCTGTAATCTATTAATGGACTAATTATACATATACATATTTAAAATAAACAGAGGTACTGTCTATTTTTCCTTGTATCTGAAACATTGGAATAATTCTAAGATAGTATCAGTTGATGGATATTAACGATTAGTGTTGGGACTCTTTTCACGTATCTGATAACTGAACATTCACGCTTTTTTAATTCTAAGCCTCCATAACTTGTGTTTTTCAAGTCGTATGTTAAACGATCCTTTTGTTTTAAACATTTTCGCGGTGTTGATTTGACTTATGTTCATACAACATAAATACAGTTAAATAGGCTCCGAATATCCTACATGTTGCGAAGTCACTGAAACACGGTTAGAATACAATTTGAACTAGAATTCAGACTCTGTCATCTTAATATGGTTAAGTAGCACAGCAACATGTGGTTCAATCTTACATGGTCAAATACGGAAATATGACAATCGACATTTATCGAGAACCACCTCATCCAAGAGAAATAGGGGTTCGAAAATTTTACTTCAGAAATCTTTGAGAATTCTTCTATGCATATTTTGACTGAAGAAAGTGAGAACAAGTAAATTTTAGTTTTAAGCTGATAAAAACATTCTGGACAATGGAAACCAGTGTTTGTATTTTGAAAAAGTAGAACATATCTATCCATTTTTCCTGATGGATTATAAATATCTCTCCGACCATCAGCTCGACCTAACAAGGTTATTTCTATTTACTCATAAATACTGTTTCATTTTAAAAACATGGTTTGGAAATTATCCATACCCTCTGTAACCGTTATCTCCTTCTTTCAAAAAATAAGTAACAAGAAAACAGTTCATTTATTTCTCTTTAAACTAGTGTTCATTTATCTACGTGAACTGTTTCACAATATTTTGGACCTGTTGTCAATGTTCATGGGGTTTGTTACGTAAATATTCCCTAAAGTGGTCTTGAGTTCTTATATACTTTTATAGATACTTCTCGGTCAAAAGTATGGTTTACCATTATTACCAAAACGGATATCTGCCAATATATTTGAATGTATTATACATCGTATGAGGCAAAAGACCTGTAATCCATATTACAAAGTTCTTCAAGCAGTCGACTTAACAAAATGGTATCATCTAAACCCAAATATAATAGGTGAACCTGAGTGGAATTTGAATTCAATGGACTGTCTAGGAGACAAGCTGAAAGATGAAGTAGGCATACATTTCTGTGTTCATTATCATGTTCAACCTCAAATACATTTGTGTATTTCACTGTTTTTGTTCTTTTGAATGGGTTTTTCGTTTAGCTTTGGAGACAAAAGGAAAATATTTCTCCCGGACTTAGCCTCTCAAATCTTACCAGTTTCCTTGCTTGAATTATTTGAATGATATAGAGAACTGACTTGTCGAAGGCCAAGTATCATATGTTAAGGAATCCTTTCAGAAGAGTAATCTTCTCTGAATTTTGATAGATGGTAGCATATTCTTTAATATAAAAGTGTTTTTAGTACTTCGTATAATACATTGTGTCGTCTAATGGAGTACGGTTCATGCGTTATCAAGTCAACCATACAGCTTAAGTGTACAAATAGAACTACAAATCTTTCAGTTAAAGAAACTTGCAGTCACACAGTTTATTCATCATCAATAAATTTTCTGTCATACCAGTATCATTTCTATTCATGTGGATAGGTCGAGACTAAATATATAGTGAATGTTGGTAGTTGATATTTTTATACATAAGCTGGAAATTCTTCTGCTTTTTAAGAGTTTAAGTTACTTAATTAAAATTAATTCACTGAATTTCCATCTCAAGTCTTTGACAAATAAGATCATTTTCTTCGTGACCGAAGTTAACTGGAGAAGCTTTTGAACTAAACAATGAACAGACTGCTGTTTCGTTGAGAGACTCCTTAGCAACATTCACCTATGGCTCCGCGTAAGATCTAACTCAGGCCTTACAAGTGTTTTGCTGTTCACTGTATGGATAGAAGTGGATAGGATAAGAAATCTTAATCTATCGATTATGTAACATGAAACAGAAGGAAACCCAAAAGTATAGACTGTATAGATTGTATGTAGCATATTAATTAACCTTATTTAATTTGAATTGACACTTAAAGCGCTTTTTCCAAAACGATGTCACTCGTAATTAATCTTATTTATCGTTAAACAGAAACGCTTCGTACTCATGTAGACTACTTATAAGTAGACAAAATCATATAGCAGACATTTAAATGTAAAGTTATTCGACTATCAAAATTATAGGTCACATTTACCAGAGTTGCAATTATATCTTCTTTACATCCTTCAGGTTTTATTGAGATGATATTGTTTTTATTCTCACGCTAAAATAGTCATTTGAAAGTCGCAGGAAGATAATAAAAGAGTGGAACCATGAGCGGAATATTATAGCTTGGATTTTATATCACATTGGAAATCTGTGTTTACGAGAGAATCTAATAACAGAACAAGATTTTAATGCGTTGGTATTAACAGGTTAGTTTTTTAGTGTTTTCACCTTAGAGATAAAACGTAGAAATTTCAATGATTATTTCTTGATCAGCCCGGACTTCAATGATATATTTATCTGTAGAGAAAGATGAGCGTTGAGATAAGTGTGTTCATTGATGACTATGAATAAATTTTTCTTGTAGCGATAATTAGTTTTTCGGTTACCTTAATTCGGTCGGTCATAAGTGACAGGATCTACTACAAATTTACGCTACCTTTATTCCCCACATCTATTTCGGTTTGAAGTATATTATTCACATTCCAGTTTGTATACTTTGGGATACTTAATCGGTATCAACAGTAAACGCTAATAAATTAACTATCAGAGAATACTACGTTAAATCTTCATTCCCTTCTGTTCACGTAACGAATAATATACCTTATATAACTAAATTCAAATAAATCTTACTCTGGCAAATCTATCAGGAAACTGATTTCATGTGAAATTACTTTTCGAAAGTTTTTCAATTTACTTCTCAAGAATAGGAAACTAGACGAGTTATTATAACCCATGGACACTGCTAATAAAATATCTCACTTTCGATCTTACCTCAACAGCAGTCACCTTGGGAGCAGTACTTGACAAATCAAAGCAAACAGATTACTATTTTCAAAAGCTAACTGATGAAAACCACCTCTTTACTGAGTTACTTGATGATTATCTTCTTAGTGTAAGTAACACAAATTACAAAAGCTTGTGATAGGCCTTTCGTTTATGAAAACTAGAATTTTTATTCCTTCTAAGCAAATCATGTTAGATATTATGGGAAGAATAAATTTTATTGCTTAATTTAGACCCGATTTAATTCTTTTTTAATCTTCACCATACTTCGAAATCGGTAGCCAACTACAGGCTATCAGCAGATACCGAATAACTTTTTGACTTTGTGTCTTCTTGAAGTTATTATATCCATTTGTTTTATAAATCTGTACTAGCATGATATTGTAACTGCTGATGAAACACTACCCACCCATTATTGACATCCTCTATATGATGAGTTCCGTTTAGTAAGTCATCTATAATACAGGCCTATTAACCCTTAATGGAAAATGTCAATCTTTTACCGTACGTATTCTTAAATAGAAAAGACATAAGGAATTGAGAATATAACTATGAATGAGTTTTATTTCGTTAGCTTCCCATTAGCTGCTTACAATCTATGAAATTTTGAAATCAAACTTATCATAAAATGATTATAATTTTTATAAAATACTTAAAATAAATGTTCTCCTTGCTCTCCAAACGAACAGACTTTAACTTTCATAGTAAGTGTTGAAAATAACTTTCTAAACGTTCCAAGGATGGCTTAATTTCTATACAGAATATGGCGTTTTTTGCCAACTATGAAATCAAATAAAAATGATTATTTACTAAGTATCAACTATTACTACCTTGATACATTGGTCAATAAACACGCTCACACTAATAAGGAAGTTGTTATTGCTAAAAACTTGGTGTTATTTGATAAGTTCTGAGTGGTACGGTAAGTGTGAAAAAGCCAGGTTTATAAACTGAAATGTAAATTTTTCACCAGGCTAAAAAAGTTTAAAGACTATCAAAGAATCATTTTAAATTATTGCTAACTAATATCTGTTAGTTAACTCCACATGAAGCCCTCCTAAGGTTACCACTTGTCTCAAGAGCGGGTAAAAGAGGAGAGTCGGGATCACCAGAAAACTTCATTTAAACCATTTGGACTCTGACCTGTGAATTGTAGGGTCTTTATTTATGAAACCTATTATGTCTCATGGTGAATATCAGGATTCTTTGGAAGCTACAAGGTAGATACCTCTTCTGACAACTAAAGCGACAATCAGCATTGATTCATAAAACTTCCCCTCTATATATGACTTTCTAGCAACAATGGAAGAAATTATCATGGTCATTCGAGTAATCAAGAATGGCAAAGTAGCAGGACTAGATAGGATGTCAGCTTCGTCACTGAAGTCAGATATAGAGGTAACTTCAAAGATGTTCTATGTTCCCTCCAGAAATATTCGCGACGAAGAACAGCTACCCATAGACTAGGAAGTGAGATACCTCATCAACCTTCCGAAGATAAGAAATCTTAGAATATCTTGGGACTATAGATCCATTTTGCCAGTTGAGTCCGTTTGATCTCATTCAAAAAGTAACAACGACATAGTAAATATTTCGCTTTTGCTTTGGAATTTCGAAAATCTCCTCATACTAGATTCACCAAATGTCAAATTTATCAAATTCTAAACCATACATTGTGAACTTTTCTGAGTTAAATTGTTCTCAGAAAATTGGCTTTTAATACTTGGAGTAATTTTAGAGGTAGATGCTCACAATTTATTCATTCAATGTTTATGAAGTATATCCAGAGTTACTGAGATGTAATCAGCTGCTAAATTTTAAGTTGTACCAATAATTCATAGCAATAGTAGTTCAAATGAGAGTTTCTCGTGTAATGTTTACTAATCAGATTTTTTCACAAACACCACTTATTATGACAATTGACTGATCACTGTGTGGTGATCAATGTCATGTATGTCAAGTCCTTCTTAGTGCCGATCGAATGCTATCGATCAAGTTGCGATGTGGCCACTAGTCTAGGTGGCTTGACTCTGCGTGCACTATGTTGGAATAAGATGGTGGTTGGAGGTGGTCAACAAGAAATCCTGACCCCAGGTTTCGTGCTACTTAACACTCGTCACTAAGGTGCACCTGTAATCTTGGAGGAACTGGTGCTCCCTGACGGATTCGACCCCGTGTCACCCAGCTCCACAGTCGGAGACATTACCACTGAGCTACCCGGACCGCGACCGACTTCCTGTAGGACTGAGATGTAATCACAATTGATTGATCACGGGGTGGTGATCAATGTCATGTGTGTCAAGTCTGTGGTAATGCAGATTGAATGCTATCGGGATCGAATCCGTCAGGGAGCACGAGTTCCCTCAAGATTATAGGTACACCTTGTTAACGAGTGCTAAGCAGCAAGAAACCTGGGTCCAGGGTCCTGTTGACCACCTCCAACCACCATATTACCATTTATTATCTACAAAACAATACCAGTCTATCATCTATGGCTTTATTAATCAATCCCATAATTTATGATTTGTGGAGAAGTGATGATTGTTGGTTTTTTTGTCTATCGCTCAACTGTCTAGTATTTGCTTTTCACTTATCAAATTTAGTGCTAAAGACACCACAAGCAACTGTGACCAGATCTGTCAATTGGGACAACTGGCTTCACTATACAATAGTCTTGAGTATAAAATTGTGGATATATATGATCTATTTAATTCTATGCAAATTTGTTACATAATTTGCTCCTGAATCGTACAAAACTCTTCCTTTTACTATCACTAAAAGCTTCATCTTTCAAAAGGTTTCATTTAACAATACTTATCTTCATTTCAGAATTCCCTCATGCATTGTCGCTATTAATCAACTCAAGTGAGCCACATTGTAACGGTTGGACGAATAACAAAGGATCATCCGTAAATACCGACTGGATGTTTTCGGATCCAATAGTGCTACAGAGGGAAATTATTGATATTCATTACTATTTGAATGATGAGTTGAATACTGAGAAGTATATTGATATTGTACCAAAGTTAACACCTATTTTTGGAACGATATTTGATAGCCAGGATTCTGATATGTTGGGAAAACAATCCATGGTTGATCAGGTGCTTCAGGATAATCTACAGGTTGTTACAAAACATTTGATTCAAAAGATGCTCAACAATAAGCCGAAATTCGAAGACCAAAAACTAAAAGTGCTCTGGAGATCACCTAATGGCATTGATCGGAAGGTATTTTGTGCTATCATGCTTTAGTATTTTATACATCTTTAATGTAATAACTTACAGTTACTCGATGTTTCTGTAGCTAAATGTTTGGGTTACACTAGATGCTTAGTACTTCATACAGTTTTTGATATTTTTCATGTAAAACTAAGATTTTGTCATAGTTTTGAAAGGAGTTACAAATAAATAGGCTTATGTATTCAGTGATTTTAAATCATAAATAGTTATAAAGTAATCGTCACAACTAGTAAGAACTCTCCTGACAGAAGTATATATGACAGCTGAATGCTAGACTGTTTCTTTCAATGGTTACTTTAATTTGTATGGAGATAAATTGTTATCTATTAGTCTTTTTGAGGACTTCACTTACCAACAAGATCTAGACATTTTAGTCCAGTAAATGAAAGAGACTATCAACGGTCCCATGATAGAAATTTGATTTTAATTAATATCCTTATAAGTGTGTTATTTGAAGTAAACCGTTCCTGTCTAATTAGATTAGTACGATCACATAAATTACTGTTTGCTTAAATTCATGTATAAATGAACATTATTTTTCTGAAAACTGTTAATAATATGACACATTCAATTAGCCGCAAAGTCACTAAATTTATTTTATTATTTACTTGATGAAAACTGTATCGCTTCACTTGTTGATTCCGTAATTGTATTTGTCCCCTAGTTTTGTCAGCACTTGTAAATTGCATAATTTCTCAATAAAAAGGGCCATTGTTATTCTGTGTTCAATGTAGACTAAATGCAACCAAACATTTATCATGTTCAATGAAACAACGTTTCTTTGTGACACATTTTGAGTGCAACAATTTCCGTCCATACTGATCAATAGTTAATGGAGATACGATTAATGACTTGCCAGTTGGTTATGCGTTCATGGACAAGTTGTGTGATGTATGGTGACAATGAAGGTCATCAAATCGGGTAATAAGTCTTCTCCTGTCACCAAATGATAGAAGTGGCAAACAGTGGTCATTTAGAAAAGGTTCATTAGAATATCAACTTCAAGAAATAATTGTTTAGCTTTTGATCTGTACAAATGCAGTTTATGTGTATTCCTGATGAATCTTAGAATATACGAAGTCAAATATTATGGCTACACTAGAGTTCCTTATGGAAAATGATCGGTCTATTGTCCATATGAAAACGGAAGTGAACAGAGAAGAATTATTAATTTCCTTTATTTACATGGCTAGTTACTCGTAAAAATTCTCAAGTGTATACGTATATACTAGTACAGAAAACTTTGAGCTACATTGCATAAAATTTCCAAAAGCAGATTACAATTTTCTGAACTGTACAGTAAGAAGATTCGTTACATCGTCCATTGGCTTGTCTCCTTTACGTAGTACTCTACACAAACTATGAGTAATCAACACTATAAAACGATCATATGCTTACAGTATACTCCCTTCACTTTCAGAGACGGTAGCGTAGGAGGGCTGTTGTAAGATTATATATATATATATACTCGTTAATATGTTAATATTTTGCCTGCCCCGAAGGCGGCTCTCGTTGAAGAAATGCGTCCTGAAATGTAATTAGATACGAACATTCTGATATTGTAATCATCGCTGTTCATTTGATAGAGTATAGTTATTTTTTACCTGAAGTTCATGCCCTGATATATACAAAGAGAATTGCGGGTAGCACCATAGAAAAGTCATTGCAGATCACGAAATTTCCATACATGAGTATTTAATTAAAAGACAAAATACGAATCATATAACTTAAAAGTGGGTAAAATAAAACATATTATCGGTATTATTCCCACTGGAAAATCCCGGATATTAGATTTAGATTGGTTAAATGAACTTTGCTTTGGGTTAAAGAAAATATGACCAAGTTAACTGAAGTATAAAATTAAGTAGTCTTAAATGGATATATTTAGTTAAACTGTAGTATACAGAGTAAGAACTATTGTCCAAGTGGACTTTATCCACAAAGTCAAGGGTATTAAAGCATAAGACATGTCTCTTGGAGTTTATTAATAATTTCTAGATGTGATAATGGTCATTCACTTTCTGGTTTGCCTTAATCCCATTTTGTGAATAAATGGGATTCAAATCATACTACTTACAAGTACACAAAATCGTTAACCAAAAATATCTCGTAACTTAGCTGAACCAAACTGTTTTTTTTACTTTAGTTTCATAAAGATTATCTCTCAGAGTTTGTTACACGATTCAAGAATCTTGCGTGTGATGCGATTGACAGAAGAGCGAGGGCGAAAGTCGCTCTCATGTTGTCAAATCTGCCAAGGGATTCTCTACAATTAAAAAGTGAGGAAACTGCTGTTCCGTCTATAGAGTTTGAAAAAAATGAAGATATGGAAAATACCTTATCGGCATCTGTAATCACTTTTCCACAAATTCAAAACAGACACACTCATTTGTCTAGAAAATTCCAAAGACGTATTAATCTCTGGGATAATGTGTGGAATTCGTTAAATTATGTTGGGTGGCTAATACCGGTTGCAAGTTCGTATATAAACGAAATAGAAACTTTATTATGTTATGTAGAAGATGCTGATCCAACAGCTCAGGTTCCCATGCTGGTTTACAGTACCTGTAGAACTACAGATAAAACAAATGAGGAACAATTTTGTTTGGCTAATGGCGTAGCTGCTTGCTGTTTTCAAGAGGTCAGTTTTTATATTCTTAGAGCAAAGCAAATTTGGACAATTGTTCAAATTATTATGTTATTCAACCACACCAGGTCCGATAATTATTTTTCATTGGTAACATATTTCACCCTGACTTAATATGCATAACAATAGTTTTTTTTACTTTCATTGATAGAGTAGTCTTATTCTCGTTATCTTAACGTGTATATTTGAAAAAGTGACCCAAAATGTTATGACATTAGCTTATTTGTATTTGTTTTACTAAAATAAACAGATTTAAACTAGGTGGAAGATGTATTCTAAATAATTGTTTTAATATTGTTTGATAAGGAAAATTTATTGGATATAATAATGCATATTCAGTTGATTTACTTCCTGGTAACAGAACGGCAAGTGTACAGAGGAACGGGGAAGATTTAGCACTATATTACTACTTGTGTTACCTCGAACTCAAACTTGCACCATTCTTTTATATTTGTGTATCTATCCATAGGCATATTAAGCTAAGGAATTTTCGACCCCTCCTATTTTTAAGTGGTTTAATCCGAATATCTGAAATTTGATCTTTTTCACATTAAGTTTCCTATGTTGGTCGGAATTATTCGTAAGGATCGTCTTACCTTACCTTCAATATAGCAATCCTTATTTCACTACGATACTCACGAAAACGGGATATCTTAAGAAAACTTTTATTACGTAGATGTTTTACAATACTTTGTTCTTCAACACATCAAAATCCAACATGTTGTTTGAATTATCTCAAAAGTATCAGTTTGAATAGATCTTCGTGGTCGTAACCAGCATACAAACACCTTAATTCGAAATTGTTAATCCAACTGTATTGTGCTTTATACCTTCTTTAGTATGGTAAGTAAACGATGGAAATATGTCGTCTCTAGAGCTCAGTACGAGAATATGATTACACCTAATACTCGTACTTCTATGTATTTTTTCCGGTTTATGGACTATTATGTTTCGGATCATTACAAATTTTTAGAATGATCTATTCAAAACACACGATTTTAGAATTACATCACAAAAATTAAAATATAATTTTATCCGGACATTGCAAACACCAAGTCGTTCGTTAATTTAGTCTTTGGTTTATTTGTCTTTTATTTTAAAATTTATCTTTTAGGTACAAAATCGACTTAATGCTAATTCAACCGATTGTTTATTACTTATTCGGATATACACAAATCCAACTCTGATCACAGATGCTTTGTTAGATCTGGCTGAACAAATCAGTGTGGTTTTACAAACTGATATCGGTATATTAGAAACTACAACTCTAGCCTCCTTCCTGTATTCACTGTCATGCTTACAAAGAAAACATGCTTCAAAATCAATTATCATCATACTTGGTGGCATAGAACACCTTGAAGTCAGCGAGTATCAGGATTCTATGGAAGGCTTACTACCTATTCTACAAGCAAAACAATTACCAAGACGTCTGGCCAGCGGAATAAAGTTGATATTATCTGGTAATCTGACAATGACCAAGCTAAAGGAGAACATTAGAGAGTCAGAGATGGAAATTAGTGATGGAATTTTATTACCTACAACAAGTTTAAATTTGGAGGTATGCTCTAAAGGTTTATCTGGAGGATTTACAAACTGCATGCACAATTTAACTAAATTAAATCATTGTTTAACAAACGACCAACTTCTCAGTGTTCATCAACTGTTTCAATTAATTTCCGAAGAAAAGAATTTACCGATTTTAGCATGTGCTGCAGGTTCATGCATTTTACCGAATCTAGCATGTGAATATATCAAAGAAAATGACTTATTATGTAAGCTGATCCACACACATTTGAATGATTTCATCTCCTATTTCGGAAGATATTTCTATCATCATACAGTTGAACACTTTATTTATCTACTTATTATTGTAAGTAACGAAAAACTTAATAGTCCGGGTGCAACCATACATGAATTACAGGAGATTTTAGGTTTACCATATGAAATGCTTTCAAATCAACCGTCTCAACAGTATTTTGAAAACAGTAATACTCCGGTTTTTGATAATGGTTGTTTATTGTTACTGTTACATTCTTTTGAGAAAAGCTTAACTGCCCGTCTTGGACATCAAAGTCCAATTTGTTCTTTAGATGGGTACTTTGTTTACAAACTTTTTACTAAAAATCAAGTGGATCCAAAGACAACAAATGTGGTCAGCAATATGTTGAAGAGTTATTTTTTGAATGAATGGTATGAAAAAATTAAAGATCCGTTTTCCCTAAAACCATATAACATTTCCTTTCATTCAGTTTACTACACTGTCCCTTGTGGTTCAAACAATCCTAAGGAGGGTTATAGTTGTGATTTACGTGTTTTAAATTACAATGTTCGTTACCTGCGACACCTGTCATTCTGTTTGCTGAATTCAAAAGATTATTACGAGTTCAGCTATCGAACAATATTCTGTTTTGAATGGCTTTATGGGAAAATTTATTCAATTGGTGTTGAACCAGTACTGAATGATTTGCAAATTCTCATCGATATGTTGTCTAGTTTAGATCAGTCCAACTTTACTGAAAATATTGAAACAGTCAGATTTGAATCAAGTGTTGTACAAAATATACTTACACAGTTAAGTAGATGTTTATACAATAATCCAGACTGTTTACCAACTGAAATTGTTGGATATCTGATTCGTTTCACTTCAAGATTCATTAACTTTGGAAAACAAATGTCTGGACCTAAAAAAATTTCTTTAATTGATTTACTTGTAAAACAGTGTGAATTGGAGATTGTCAAACGAAGTCATCTGTTACCACTATATTCTTATCCACTTACTCCGGGTAACCCCCTCCTAGGACAAATCACCTGTGCGACAACTTTATTAAATCTACGCAACTTGAATCAAAATAACGATGCGTGGAAATTAAACCATCAAATATTGATCAAATTGAGAAATGATCCAATTATTTATCGATATGATTGTCAGCAGGAACGGGAGGTTCCTTGTTGGGAATCAAGTTCAGGATATTTATACTTGACACCTAATGGTAAATACGCCATTATTATAGATGAAGAGAAGAGAGACACGCTAAAAATTCATCAAATCGACATAGATATCAATGGTTGCGTACCGTTAATAGGTCAGATTAATCCAGGATTGTGGATTAAACCAATATGGATAAGAGACCCTGACAAGGAAACGTTGAGTATGGATATTATCTTCCTCGATATCACTGACGATTATGTGGGGTTCATCGTGCAGACTAAAAATACACGAAGTTTCTTAAATCCAAGCGAATATGTTGACTATCTAGAAGATGGAGATGAGAATCTCCACAATAACGTCTGTGACTGCAATGATGGCACAGACAAAAATAAGACTAAGGGATCAATTAATAAATCTATGTCTTTGCACCATCTCTCCGAAAGTTTATCTGCTGGTACAATTAATCATGTGGTTATCTTCGAGTTGACTACAGGAAAGCCTTTACATCTAATAAGTCCAACGCCATGTGCTACGCTAGTTAAACTTGTTCAAGTCAGTAGAATAAATGAGAAATCATCATCAAATGTTAGCATTGATGATAACAATGAAAGTATCAATAGAAGTCGTGATTTATTTTTTATAAATTCAGCAGACCATTTACTTGGTTTTCATCTAAAATCCGGTGAACAGCAATTCTCAGTTGATTTACAGTTTATGCCACGCAAAATTTTAGTCAGTAATGACAATCAAAGATTATTCATCTTGGATAGTAATCACCCATGTGTTTTACAACTATTAATCAATAAATTGGGTCAAATTAACAAATCGTTTCGAATTTCTTATGATGATCTAATCACAAAAGATAATATTCTTGATATCAAGTTATCAAAATATCACTCATTTTTACTGATCCATGCTAAAAAGAATGTATTAGTTTATGACTATGAAAACGATGCTGTATTTGTTCATATTACACGTCCAACTGGTATACCAAGAGAATTCCGACTCCCAAACACAAAATATCAGAGTTTAGTTTTTACAGCTGTTGAATTTGCACTAAACGATCAAATTGTCTTAGCTGCAATATTTCGTAATATTTTAATATGGGATGTACGCCTAGGTGTACAATTGACTACACTAACATCATCCATCGGAGTTATCTCACGTTTGCTAGTTGATCTCTCAGAGAGGCAGTTGATTGGATACATAAGCACGTCAAAGATTTTAAATCTATGGAATTTACCATTAGCACTCACAAACGCTGCATTAAAACAAAATTCTAATATAACGCCTGCCTCACTTTTAAATGAAAGCAACAGGATAGATTGTCTAACTAAACCAATTAGTCAACTAATTTACTCGAATTCGTCCAACATACTGTTGGTGACCTGTCACAACAGTGATGAGTTAGGCGTATTTGACTTACGCAGCGGACATCTTACTGACGTGTTTACGCATAATGGAATAGTTCAATCAGTTGTACTTAGTTCATGTGGTAAGTATGCTCTAATTGGTTTGTCTGTAAACAAACAAACTGAGGAAAATGCAAATTTAATCTGGGATTTATCCAAAAGACTGATTGTTGTAGAATATGGTAATCAGGTTGGATTTCATATTGAGCGTACTAAAAAAAGGGGCCACTTTCTTCATCTAATGCCAGAGCTGTCTTTGGATAACAATATTCAGGGGTGTTCTTACGTAATTTTACAGGTGGAAATTGATAAAACGAATAAGGAGGAAAATAAAGCTACCATCAAACCAGTTACATCCGTCAGACTGTCATCTATTGTCCCTGGCTCAAAACCTTTTGTGACATCAGACGATGAACATTTAGTCGTCCAAATGGAAAGTAATGATGAATTAAAGCAAGGTGCTTCTGTGTGCCAAGAACTAGCATTCTGGAGCTTTTATTCTTCCGAAAATGAAAGTACAGAACAAAATGGGAAATTATGGTACACACATACAAAAGAACTTAAGACTTTACTGACTGATAACACAGAATATGAGTTACACATTTTAAACTGTGCGCCTATTCAAAATGACTCCTCACTACTTGTTGTTATCTTTGCAAAATTTAATGATCGCATAAAATCTGACCTTTCAGTTGATTGGATTACAGGTATGGGGTTACCAAAAGGTATGCTTTTAGCTGAAATTGTTAAAAATGATCAAAGTGAATCATCAAAAGAATGGATGCTTGTTCTATTGAGATCAATTACAGGATTGAGTGAATGGTCCCCGTTTCAAACTCTTTATTATTCTTTTCCTAAGCACGAGCTGTACGATTCTACCACTGGTCAATATTATATCCTACCACCAGGAACAAGACATGTGTCACATGAGTATTTCAAGAAGCACATGCCTCATTTCACAGTACAAACTAAGCAGTATACAAATTGTAACCCAGTAAAATTTCATGGTTACATACTGAACGATAATTTGTGCATTTTCTCTCATCATTCAACAATCTATTTAGTTAGACCAACATTAGCCAAAATTGTTACTTTTATTGACGTACAACATACCATAACAACTATCAGTAAAAATCCATTTAGTGACAGAAGTTTATTTATTGGTACCCTTGATGGCTATATTATTTCATATTATATTGCCACTGATGAGAATTTAAACAGTAAAACCACCGATACCCAGTTAGTATTGAAAGAAGCTCATTTAAACACGAATTCAAAAGTAACTGAAAGCACTGGTCAACACCTAAACTTCCATTCTACTCAAGATAAGATGAATGATATAAAATATTTAGATCCAATAATTCATTATCTGCCTTCTAAGCATATAAAACCAGAAGACTTTAAGCTTTATCAACACTGTGGACACTTTGGTGAGAGACGATCACGAACATGTTTACTTATTTGAGTATAATAGCTAAATGAAATATAAACTGTTTAGATTAATTAAATGGTTCCGTCTTTTGAACATCAATTTGTTTTTAGTTGCTGAATATTGGTTTTAAAACTAATGACATATAAATAAATTACATTAATTAATCACTAATTAGTGACCAGTGTCAGTTTTGCCTAGTTCTTAGTGCTGTTATAATTCTGGCGATCAAGTCCTAATATGTCTACCTTTCCCAGTAGCTCGTATAACGCGGATTCGGATCTCCTAGAAAGTGTCAACTCCATCAATATTGTAGATCCACCTTGTTGGCGAGTATAAACTATCACGAAACCTGGGTCCAAGATTTCTTGCCTCGTACTTCAAATCACCCAATATATAAATAATTGATAACAGTTGTATTGATTGGAGAAAAAACGTTCTTAGTTATTCGAAGTCTCTCCTAGAAGAACGAGACAAATCACTTAGGCTACGAGCTGAATGATCAGTCTTTCAGTACAACTGGATGGTTACATACTACGTTTATGAATAACTTTTGGATACCTATGGCACTTATGCTAAGCATAAGTTTTCTTCATAACATTCTTTTTGTGACATTATTAAATACCAACTTTGCTCTACATGGTAAAATGTTTTAGGACTACAAAGATGAATGTAAAAGCTGAATGCATATCACATTTTGATGAAGTCTATTGCGTCTGCTGTGATTTAGATACCAGTTTCTGACAATCAAGTTCATTTAGATTAAGAAAGTCAATGAATTAGTCTCCAAGTAATTCACATTTCTAGTCAGCTGATGCATATCTCATTAATTTTCTAAGCTACCTTACGTATATTTTTCTATCAAAACTTTTAAACCTTTCAAATAATGTGAAAATTTTATTGCGGCATAGAGAAAATCCCTCTGATGATACTTAGATGGTGGACATTACTTGAGAGTCTGAAATACCACCACTCATTAAGTTCTTGGTGCCAACATGCAGCCTACAACTAATGTGCTCTGAATATGGCTTCTCATGTCTAAATGTAATTAAGAAAAAGTGGGTACTGGAAGTCGCATTTTAATTAATATGCACTTCCACAATGTATCTTCAAATTTTAAATTAACCCTCTTTAGTAATCAAGACATGACACTCTAGAGTAAAGGTCAAAGCTGCTCATGCCTAACAGTTCGGGTAGCTACAAACATAAACTATAGAAATTCGAAATGGATTTTTGAAGTAAAATAAATGATGTCAGAGTAATGACTTACTAAATCGTGTAAATAAACATAATTGTTGTCGTACTGAAAGGTATACCGTCCTTTTTTGCTAAATAGATAAATTCAACTTTAATCGTTTGAGAGTTAGTGACAAGTGTTCTCACTACATACTATTGTTCTCATTTATCTTAAATCACTAATATAATGTTCAGAGTCAACTAGATGGCTAACATTAGAACAGTTTCAATAGTCCTCACCTATGAGTTTAAAATCCTTTAAACAGTGATAAAAAGTATAGCTATAAAGATTAATCACTATTGTTCTAGTGTACGCGCTCTGAGATACAAATAAGAACTAGTAGATGCAATTAAAAGCAAATTTCCAGACATTATTTTAGAATGTATTTGTAATATTTTATCAGGATCCGTTATGTGTATTAATTTTGTGTTTTGTGTAACTATGCTTACTGGAGTATTCTAGCAATATTTAAGCATGAAATGAAAATGTTTGACAGACTTAGTCATAGCAACAGTAATATAGGTACACTCACCTGGCCTACCACATAAATAATTTAGAGGATCCAATTACATCTATCAGCTAATATTTTATGCGGTTATTAAGCTTACAACAGCAGATTAGGTTTGGTAAACTATTTCCTAATAATTATACACATGTTGTATATCAACGTGAGAGCTTATTTCGGTTATTCTTGATTCATATTTCATCACTTTTTAGGTAAATAAATATTATGAGAAGTATTGGGCTAATTTATTTATCAGATAGTCATTCAAAAACTATTGTTTTCACTGAAAGCCAATTAAATGATTGTTTTATTCTCTTCAAAGTTAAACTATCAATAAACATCATCAACCTATTCCGTCCAAATTTGTTAATCTCCTCTATAGGAGTATTACGCCTTAACGATTCATTTCAAAAACACTACCCAAAACGTGGTGTTTCAGTAATTTGGTATATTGTACATTCATATTCATGTGCGCACTGCTGAGAATTCCCATAATAGGACGAAACGACCGCCCAGTGCTTCCAGGTTTTCCATGGTGGTCTAGCTTCAATTGACTCACGCTTTCAACTATGAAAATAATAAATCTCCACAAAACCCCTTCTGATAAATACAAATTGTTATGCTGATGCGTAGGGGTTAGTATTAGCAACTTGTAGCAGTTGTACGTCTCACTAATGAAAATCTGTTTTAGATTTTCTGTAAAATATGAAAATTAAGATCTCATAATATCTGTTTATCCCATCCCTTAACCTCCGTTGACAAACCTAGCTAGCTTCATAGAAATAACAGAATATTTACTAATTTACTGTTTGCAAAAGAATAAACATAATTTTTTGCTGAAAATTATTTAATAAATATTGACTGACAAACAAAACCACGGCAAAACATTTGGTTTAAACAAATATTTGGCGTAAATTTCAAATGTTAATAAAATTCTTGATAAAACTAACAATCTGGTTTATCTATTAAGACGAATCGTTGGGTTTCTAATTTAAGCTGATTGAGTGACTAAGTGATTAGAATCAAATAGATTTCAATGTAAAAGTCTGGAGGTGTGATCATTAACAACACTATTGTGAAGAAAACTAACAAAAAGGGTTAAATGATGAGAGTGGATATGATACGAGTGAAAATGAGAAAGAAATAGGATCCTGAGGAAAGAATTAAAACTGAATTAAACAAACAATAATCTCTTAGAAACCTCATTTATTCATCTACAGATTTTTTTTCAACCAGATTATTTTAAATCTTAGCACTGAACAGAACATTCGTCTCTTCCATGTTAATCTTATCAGTGTTCCCTCCCGATAAACCCATAGACGGGTAAATCCCTTCAGCCTAAATGTTTTCAGATATCATGCAGCCAAACTCAGCGTCAAACAATCAAAACGGCCTGCCAGAATTCAATTCATTTTGATACGATTTATCAAAGCTGTTGATTTGTGTGAATGGTTTCCAGTTAACCATTTTATTCACTAGCATAAAAAGATAAATAATTCCAAAAGCTTATGCAGTATTGCTTCATAATTATTCTAATTATACTTTGTCCTATTTTTCAAGATATTTTTTCTCCGTATATGGCTGCTCTTCTCATTCATTTTGGGTATTGTAATTGCTGATTAACAAAATTTCACTTGACCATAGATCAAGTCATACTATGTCCTACAAATTTCTTTGATAACTATATAAGTTAACAAAAATATAAACCTTACTGAACTAATATTTCTGCACTTACGCTACTTTAGATGAATATTTATCAGGGTCATTTTGTATGTAGAAGATGAACTGATGAAGTTTCTTTTTCCGGAAATGACGATAGGATTCCGTTTGATTCTTTGCGGTAGCTAATTAAAACCAGAAAACCCTAAAATATCTTATATTAAACCGTAAGATTATTTATGAATTCACATAGGTATCTTATAATTTTTAAGAACTATTTACCTAAAATTAGTTACTTAATCTTGTACAGTCTAGAGGAGTACAAGTCGTAGTTAAATGCCTGAAGTTAATCTTAGAGATAATAGTGACCAATAAAATATGGTTATTTCAGACAACTAATAAAACCAGGATTTAAGTTTTTTTAGAAATATGCTTGATTTCTATGAGGAGAGGTAGTTTAGTAGCTAAAGTACTCGATTTTCAACTTACAAAATCTGGTTTTGAATCCGATTCTACATATTATGGTCTGAGGAACCTAATGAAATCATCAGGAACCTTATAAAATGTGTAGCACAAAATCAAATACATTAACCTCTACTTAAGTTACTGTTGACTAGATTCTCTTCTTCCTTAGCAACAACTGGATAGCTCACGAACTCAGGTTTCATTTTAGGAAAGTAACGTGTACAACTGTGAGTCACTCTATTCATCAGTCGTTTATATTGAAGACTCTCTTACAGAGATCGATAGTTCCACTCACTCGTTATTTCATCCTTTTTGCTTTTTTTATCAGTAACTAGGTATCTTTAAACGCTTAGTAATAAAATCTGTCCACTACTGCTCAAATGAAAACTCTTCCAGTAATAACGATCAAAGCATTGAGGTGTATGATGAAAATAAAGATACTGGTCATGAATTATCAAGTTATTGTATATTAAATCCACTCCTGTTTTCTCTTTCTACTGATTTTTTACTTTAGTATTTTAGATGATCTTTAAGGGTTAACGGGCAGTATCACATTTAAATACCTTTTTAGCATTAGTGGAACTTTCGGTTTAAAAAGTTTGATTGAAAACAAGTACATAGTATGCAATATCCTACTGTCACTTCAGACTGCCGTAAAGATTTGTATTGAATAATGTAAGATGACTTGGTTGCATATATTCATTAGCATAAGGCTTTTATTAATAATCAAATCTGTTAGATCAACTTAGACATCATCTCTGATACAAATTTGCGAGGAACAGAATTTGAGGTATTCGGTATTAGAGTTCATAAGTGCATTCGGTCAGTAATTTCTGATTAATCTGTTCTTTCAAGGAGCAGTTGAATGAACTGAAATGATTACTATCAGTTCTTGGACTATACGTGCCATTGCCTGGTTAGATTTTGTATCTAAACGTTTATTCAGTTTGATATGTCTTGTTGATTGAACATACGTACTCAATTTTGTTTTCTTTGCACTTTTATATTCTACTGACAATTCATGGTGAGTTGAATTTACATGGAAACAAAATTGAGAAACTTTCTTCAGTCTGTGATATTTGAACGATAATTTTGTGATTCAATCACGGAGAAGAAATTACTATTCGCCTTAAAGTTCAGAGGTACGTACTCTCATTACTGAATGATTGCAGCATCTAAGAGTGGTTACGTACTTCGGCTTATAAATGAATATTTTTGAATAATATGA